CGAAGTCGAGAGTGCGCATCAAGGCGCCAATCTCTTAGTATCAGATGAAGCTCAACTAGTACCCACGCCGTCGCCAGAGCCCGAGCAACTTGCTAAGGACGACGACGGTTTCCCGGTGTCCAAGAAGGATAAGAAGAAGGCGAAGAAGAGCAAAGGAAAGCAATCGGGAACAGCCACTCCAATTTCTGAACCTCTCCTCGAAGTCGAGAGTGCGCATCAAGGCGCCAATCTCTTAGTATCAGATGAAGCTCAACTAGTACCCACGCCGTCGCCAGAGCTCGAACAACCTACTGAGGACGACGAGGGTTTCCCGGTATCCAAGAAGGATAAGAAGAAGGTGAAGACGGGGAAAGGAAAGCAATCGGGAACAGCTACTCCAATCTTCGAAACTGTTCCCGAGGTACAGCCCAAGATTTCGCCTGAAAGTGAAAAGGTCCCTCCTGAGAGCCTTGAGGAGGACAGGGATCCTACCATCGCACCTTCTGTTGAACAAGAGGCGTCCTCGGTTGATAAATGGGCATTGCTATCTTCGGAGGGTAAAAATGTAAAGGGTAGAGTGTCCGCTCAAGAGAGCCCTGCTCAGAATCTCAAGGGTCCCATCATTGAAAGCAGCCAAGATTCTTTCTTCACGACTCCGAAACGCCCCTTGCTCGATACTGAAGAGATTCTAAATACCCCGGAACCCGAATTCGAAAAGCCAGGGGTGATTCTCGATCCTGGGAGCGCCAAAGAAGCAAATAATGACTTCGAGAAGCCGGTGTTTAGTAGGAAGCTTAGCAAGAAAGAAAAGAAAGCTAAGAAGAAGTCGACAACCTCGGCGTGGGATGAGGAGCCACTGTCTGAAAGCCAAGCATCCATCCAACCTAAAACTTCGGAAAATATGCTTATGCCCGATTCAGCCCGTCAAGAGCCTTCGGTTGGTTGTGAAATCCCTAGCGACATTCAGATACCGGCCGTCCATCCTCATATGCGCCCTGAAAGCGAAGTTGAGGGTGAACGCGATGTTCCTATGCTCGAGCAGCCATCTCAGCAATTCCTGGAAGGACAGCCAACCACAACGGCACAGGAGGCCGCAATGGAGCCCCAGGTACTTCCCGCCGCTGAGGAATCTGCCATTGACAGAACGGTACAAGAACCTAGCGTTGGGTTGAGTACCGAGCAACGCACGGAAGTGCCCACAGAGGACGACTGGCCAATTACCACTCCGAAGAAAACGAAGAAAGGCAAAAAAGAGAAGAAGGACAAACGGCAGTCTGCTCCTCTCGACTGGATCGATGAACCTGAGTCCAAGTCCTCTGAGATTCCAGAAGAGGTACCCGATAAACCTCTGCAGCAACCCCCTGAGTCAGCAGGAATTCTTGAAACGAAAGAGATTAACGACGAATTTACTCCAACACCACAGCCTTTAGCCATACCGCATGACATCGCCGAGAGACCTCTACGTGAGGATTATCAGCCTGATATTGCTCCAGAAGTCGTCGAGCCGCCTTTACCGGAAGCAAATCTCCCTTCAACTTTGGACGAGGTCAGAGAACAATCAACCCAAGGGGGAATTGCTCGCGGGGAGCCAGCACCACAACGTGAAGTTGTTCAGGAGACGCCCCGCAAACCTGAAGAGGACAACCTGTGGGCGCCACCCAGCAGGAAAGCCTCAAAAAACGGAAAGAAATGGAAGAATGCGAAAGATGCCCCATCCCTCGATCTTCATGAGGATCCGAGCACTCCGTCCGCTTCAGAGCCAGAATTACCAATCAAGCCCTCTATGTCCTTGCAATCTACCGAACCCATTCCTATTCCAGAGAATATTCCAGAGCCCGCTATTAATAAGGATATTCAGACGGATGAGCCAGTGGTTCCTTGGAGTTCTCTGTCGAAAAAGTCAAAGAAGGATAAGAAAAAGGGCAAGAAGAGCAAACCAGCTTCTGGCGCCGCCACTCCTATAGCTGAGAAGGACGCTGAGATGTTGGAAGAATCACCTCTGGGTAAGGATATTGCTGAAGTGCCATCCGTAGCACAATTAGAAGAGTCTCAGGTTCAGACAATCTCACCCGATATAAAAATTCCCGAGGATGAAAGGCCAGGAGAAATTCATGTTCCATCATATGAGGATGAACTGCCAATCTCTATCGAGGATGAACCTACTCATCCTACTCTTCCTCAAGGTAAAGTAGAAGCGCAGCTCTTACACAACACCGCCAACATCCTTCCTAAGACTACTCTCCAAGATATCCCCGCTCCATCTGAGCAAGTGGAAGAACCTGAACGATCTCCCGCAGAGGATTCCAAATTCCCACTCTCCTGGTCAGAATCTAAGAAAAGGGGAAAGAAAGACAAGAAAAACAAAAAAAGTCGAAATGGTGGCGATGATGCGATATTAGAGGACGCCCCTGAGTCTACCATTTTGCTCCGGCCAGATCTTGACCAGGCAATGTCGATTTTGGAAGAGCGTGAACCCGAGAAACTCAAGATCCAATCTGAAGCGGAGCAACTACCAAGGATCTCTCAGGATGATGAAGTCAAGCTTATGCGATCTGTGTCTCCCCCGCAATCCCCACTCCTCGGTGGGAAGCACGAACATCTTGGGTCACAGTTTGAGAGAGAGATCTTAACTTCGTCAGTCGAGGACGCTGAAACCAAACCGCAGCACTCTACATCCACGTCGCGATCTCCTGTTCTTATGCAGCAACCCTACAAACTCGAAGCTGAGGCACAAACCGAGTCTTTACCCACACATGGCCAAGCTGTCATTGTTGAATCCCGGCGCGTTGCATCTCCGCCAAGACCTCCGGCGCTTGAACCAATGCAAGATCTGCAGCAAGCTGAATCAGAGAATGTCCTCGCCCTGTCAACTCAATCCCAAGCTACCGCATCTTTGGTCCCAGATGAACTACCACCACCCTCAAGCCCGGCGTTTGATAAGGGCGTCTTCCACGATCTCCCGACACAGACTCCAGAACCGGCGGATGTGCCACGTGATGTGCAAGTACCAAGCCATCAAACCGACTCCCCAGCAACTCCGCTGTCCCCTTCAACGAAGGCGTTACAAGATGACATCGCCGATTTCAAACAGCGATTAGAAGTGCTTGACGAAGCTCTCCAAACCGCAGACGAACTATCGGCTTCCCAGCCTTCATCAATCTTCGATCCTGTAAGCAAGCTCGGTAAGAAAGACAAGAAAGGCAAGAAGGCCAAGGGTAGCGCTTTTCACTGGCCCGAACCCACAACACCTGGCGTGGAAGCTGTGAATGTCCTCAAAGCTGAAGAGCGAGTTCAGGAAGAAGAGTCTACGCTGGTTGAGGTTCCTGCAAGGAAACTGAGCAAGAAAAACAAGAAGGCTAAAGCGGCTGCTTTGAGTTGGGATGAAGAGAACGCACCTGTCCTGGAAACACAAGAGCCAATCATCGAAGAGCCTGAGGTCGTTGACACTCCTGAGATACCCTCCGAAACCCAGGACATCCAAACAGAAGGGACGAGCGATTTTGCCACTCCTACACGCAAGCTTAGCAAGAAAGACAAAAAGAAGGCGAAGCCTGCTTCTTTGACTTGGGATGAACCTCAAGAGGAGCGCATACCTGTCTCTGAAATGAAGGAACCAATTGCCCATGAGCCTGAGGTCTTTAAAAATCTTGATATACCCTCCGAGATCCAAGCTAGTCAGGCAGAAGAGACAAGTGGCTTTAGCACCCCTACACGCAAGCTTAGCAAGAATGACAGGGAAAAGGCTGCGAAAGCGATGGCGTTTGAATTTGCCGAGCAGTCGACGATCGACAACGAACCAATGCCCTTGCTAGAGACTCAAGAGAACCATCAGAAAGAAGTGGATTCAGTACTTTCCGAAGCCCAGATCACTCTTCAGGACGAGACAAGACCGAAGCTAGAACCCACAATCATCCCAGAGGTGCAAGAGCCAGTCATGGATGAAGGTCCAACCTTATCTCGCAAACGGAGCAAAAAGGACAAGAAGTCAAAGGGAGTGGTGATATGGGAGGAACCCGTACCAGACCCCCCGAAAACTCCAACACTCTCTGATCAGAGTCTCGGTCGGACTGAAGTCGAACCATTGCCCACCGAGCCACAGGGAATAGTGACAGCAGAGCGCCCTACAGTGTCCCGCAAGCTGAGCAAGAAGGACAAGAGGAAAGCTAAGCAAACCTCTCTTAGTTGGGATGAGCCGGCGACTTCATCTAGTGATCTAGTGAATCTCCCTGAGTCTCAGGAGATGTTGGATGCTGGCAAGGATGAGTCTGAACTCACGCTAGTCGCACAAGCGTCAGATATGCCGCAGGACAAAGCGAGCGGTTTCAGCACGCCTACACGTAAGCTCACCAAGAAAGATAAGAAGAAGGCCAAGACTGTTGCGACAAGCTTGGAAGAATCTGCCGAGCTTCGCAGCCAGCCATCATCAATTCCAGATGTTCAAGAATCGGTCAAGAAGCAGGAATCAAGCTTTGGTGGGGAAGAGGAGGGGGTGACTCATAGGAAAGATTTTCCGCAAGACATAATATCAAATCTAGGCGATGCTCAAGAGCTGCCTCCACCGAACGAACAGCATGTCGAAACTCTAATACTTGAGCAGCAAATGGAAGCTTCGTTGGCTAGCCACCCCTTCCAGGCTCCAACCGAGCAGCAAATCGAGGGTCCATTGCTAGAACCACAAGCGAAGACTCCCAAATCCGAATGGGAAATTGAGACACCAAGTGAACCACAAATCGAAATCCCTTCGGCCACAGCGGTAGCGAAACCCAAAGAGCCAGCCAAAGAGCCAGAGTTGGACGTTCCCAAGACGGCCATGGAGGACGAGCTTGTAGTTACTCCGGCTTTGACACGCAAGCAGAGCAAGAAAGATAAAAAGAAAAAGGGCAAAGCCGCTGCTACTTTCGACTGGACCGAGGATGCCCCTGGTCTCGAGGAACCCATAGCCATCTCTGAGCCTCAGGCTTCTGTTGACCAGGATGCTCTAGTTGATGATTTCGCGCCTGTTTCTAGTAAGAAAGGCAAGAAGAAAGGTAAAACTGCTGCTTTCAATCGGACCGTACCAGCCCCAGCTCTCGAGGAACCACCAACCGTCTCTGAGCCTCAGGCTTCTGTTGACCCGAATGCTCTCGTTGATGATTTATCGCCTGTTTCTAGTAAGAAAGACAAGAAGGGCAAAGCTGCTGCTTTCGATCAGACCGAACAAGCCCCAGCTCTCGAGGAACCCACAGCCATCTCTGATCCTCAGGCTTCTGTTGATCGAGATGCTCTAGTTGATGATTTCGCGCCTGTTTCTAGTAAGAAAGACAAGAAGAAGGGTAAAACTGCTGCTTTCAATCGGACCGAACTAGCCCCGGCTCTCGAGGAACCACCAACCGTCTCTGAGCCTCAGGCTTCTGTTGACCGGAATGCTCTCGTTGATGATTTAGCGCCTGTATCTAGCAAGAAAGACAAGAAGGACAAAGCTGCTACTTTGGACTGGACTGAGGATGCCCCTGCTCTCGAGGAGCCCACAACCATCTCTAAGCCTCAGGCTTCTTCTGTTGACCGAGATTCTCTCGTTGATGATTTCACGCCTGTTTCTAGTAAGAAAGACAAGAAGGGCAAGTCTACTGCTTCCAATCAGACCGAACCAGCCCCAGCTCTCGAGGAACCGGCAACCGTCTCTGAGCCTCATGTTTCCCTTGACCAGGATGCCCTCGTTGACGATTCCGCATCCGCTCTCAACAAGAAAGAGAAGAAGAATAGCAAAAAGAGGGCGTCGGGTTTTGGTTGGACCACTGCGGAGGAACGCGAGAGTGCGAGTGTGCCTGAGCCTCAGACCACACAGACTAAACCACCTCAGCTTAACGCTGAGCAACCGACCGTCGGAGTAGTTCCTGTCATTTCCGAGACCCAGGAACAGATCCAAGACATTCCCGTAGTCAACGCCCCAGTATCTGGACCCCTCCCTGGCAAAATGCAATCTGAAGAGGCTGTGGAGTCAAACATTCCCCAGACAGACGTGGCCCCCATTGTGCCAATCTCACTGCTTAAAATAGAAGATCCTTCTATGCATGTGCTCACAGACCAGCCAAAATTGGAGCCTGAGTTTAAGTTCACCCCCAAGACGAATAAAAAGGAAAAGCGGAAGTCGAAGAGGGCCACTGCCGCCTTCGAAGAGTCCTTGGAGGCAGTCGGATCGCACACTTTAGCGGGTAGTGCAAACCCCATCATAGAGCAGCCCGCTCCTTTCCAAGCCGCGCCGACTGATCAACTGGCTAAGAAAGATGTCTCTACTCTCCTTGCAGAGCCCGAGATTCTAACTCCTGCCAATGAGGCTAGTGACATTGCATTCCCGACTAAGAAGAGCAAGAAGGAGAAGCGCAAATCGAAGAAAGGAAATGTCGCTATCGAAGAATTTGCCCAACCTGCGGAGCTATTAGATGAGCAAGAATATATAGAGCAAAGTGTGCGAGATATTCATACCCCTACGCTAAGCACAGAGGCTCGCGAGACCGTTGATATCGATACCAGTAAAGCACTCAATACCAAGGAACATATTGTCCCATCGACTTCGGTGGAGGTTACGCAACCCCCTTGCCCGGAACCCGAGATATCATCATTTTCCCCTATTGATGCCAAGCCGGCCAAACGCAGAGGGATGATTGGTAAACTTGCCGCTATGTTTGAGCAAGATACGCTTGCGGAGCAGGAAAGGCCACCCATTGTGCGGCCTTGGTCTCGTGCGTCGAAGAAGGAGGCAAAGATCGAAACAACTACTCCAGAAAGTGCGCCTGAAACTGTTCTTGTTCCGCAGACTGAGGCCCCTGCACGTGCTTCTGGGGCAACTCTAATCCGTAATCTCGAAGAGGAATCGCCGCCGCATCATGTTCTTGAGAGAATGGAGTTGGGCGGGCAAAGCAAAGCGGTCCCCGTTGAAGAGCCAATTATCAACCATGATCTTCCAGAAGAACTCGCTGCTCATGTTGTTCCTGAGGAGATGGACCTGGGCAAGGAAATCAAGGAAGAGGTCATTGTAAAAGATATAGCACCACACCCTTTCACTGTGCCCCGAGCCTCATCTCCCGACAAGACCACCGATTTCTCAGCTGCCGTTATGGCAGGTTTGGCAGAATCGGGATTCAATACGGACTTGGTTCTCAAGGACCCGTCATTCCACCGATCGACGTCTCCGCCAGGTACTCGAGATATTTCTCCAGAAGAAGACATCGCAATCGCTCGAAAAGAAGCTAGTAAATCCAAACTCGGTGATCTGGGACGAACTTCACCAATCCCCGTATCTCCAAAAAGCCAACCTGTTACTGAAGTACCGGCGGAAGTTCCTCATACCGAAGTTGCTACTGCCTCAACTCACAACCCAAGCTTCGACCCCATCGATGTTGTGAATGATCCGTTCTTTAGCCGACGGAAAACGCCTCCAGGTGTTCTCGAAGAGGGTGATCCTGAGGAACTTTGGATGTCTTCGAAGAAGGTGAAAAAAGGGAAAAGGAAGCGGGCCTCGGCACCTATAACACCTGTCGAGAGCGGGATTCCTGGGGCTGAGCAGGCTGGGATGATCCCCATGGAACTTGAAGACAAGGTGGAGACTGATGGAAAGCGGTTCATCGAGCCCAGCGCAGATTTGGGGACTGTATCAGCCGAACCCGATCATCAGGTTGAGCCCATAGTGCTTTCGGGTGAGAAGGGCCTTCGAGAAACAATCGCCGAACCTATTGCGACAGCCTTAGTCAAGCCTCCTAAGACAACACACGACACGCCGGTTGCAACAACGTTTACTGAACAGCAGGCCCACGCAGAGTCCGCCGGTCCCGTGTCATTTGAACAACCCACATTCGAACCCGTTGAGTCTTCCGACGCAACTCCGATTGAAGAAGAGCCCGAGCCCCCATTGACAACATCAAAGAAGAAGGGCAAGAAAGCAAAGAAAGACAAGAAACGAGCTTCTCTTGCACAAGACAACATCGAAACATCAATCGTTGATGATCCGGTGGTTGAGGTTCAGGCGGTTCTACCTCTCGCCGTTGAGACTCCAGCCGATTTAAACGGCAGAGATATGCAGTCTGAGAAGCCAGCGCTGGCTTCGACTTTTGAGTCTAAATCTCGGGCGCTACCTGAACATGGGGACTTGGCGGACACCCTAGGTGACAAGTCATCATTCGACGTGGCACACAATGCCAACGTGCACCTGCATGAAGATCAGCCTAAGCCAACTTTCGACGAATCTAAAATCCAGTCGAACGTGATTGAGCCGGTGTTACCCCATGAGGTGAACGAGAAGCCATTGGAGGAGCAGGTCCTCACTCCCAGTGCAGAACCAGAGACAATCGGCGACATCTGGGATGAGCAGTCAAGGAAGAAAGGTAAGAAAGGAAAGGGCAAGTCAAAGCGCTCCAGCACACCAGAGCGGCCTTTCGAGCCTAAAACACTATCAGGTGCAGTTACACCACGCGCAGATGTCACTAATTTAACACGCGAAATCGAAACGGATGTCGTCGAAGATGATCAGCCATTGGAGACGGACGATTGGACAAGTTCAAAGAAGAAAGGAAAGAAAGGAAAGAAAGGGAAATCTGGATCAACAGCGCTTCTAGCCACCAGTGCAACGGCTCTAGGCTCGATAGCCCTTGGTAAGAGCGATAGCATCAAACAGACCCAGGAGGATCGCGGTGCAATGATCAACGAGGCTCTAGAACCAATGGGGTCAGGTGCTTACGAACCTCCTTCTATGTTCGATGAAGGGCAGAAATATTTGGATGAGGTCAAGGGGTCGGACTATCCACTTCTAGAGGTAGCGACTAAGAAAGTGGATCTACTTCCTGTCGAGCAATTAGAAACAGTGAGAGACGATATGATGGATCAGACGGGGGAATGGGCTTTGCCGTCAAAAAAGGATGGAAAGAAAGGCAAAAGAGGGGCAGATAACGTTGAACAAGAGAGTCGGAAATTTAAGGAACCGGGAATAGAGCAACTCGGAAAGACCGCGGGTGAGGATACTTTTGGAGGAGAGGGATTTGAGCAAGGGTTGTCGACTCATGATGAAACGATAGAGCAGTCTCGAGAACGGGTAACTGAAGTGGCACATGTGGATGTACCTGATCCTCTTGTGGATCCTCACAAAGGGAATACCATTCATTCCGAGGTATCCACCCACGAACTTAGAGATTCCATGGGCAAGAACATCTCTCCTCCAAGACAGCCAACTGGTCTGTTCCCTAGCGTCGAGTGTATCAAGCGACGAGTACCATCACCTGAAGGACAACCAGAAGAGAAACGCGTGCATCTCTCGGAGCCAGCACCAAAGAAATCCGAAGTCTCAGTGGAGATGCCACAGGCTGAGTACGAATTGGCACCCATCCGGCAAGCTCCCGACCCCGTGATTCGTGGTGTACCTGACATTGAGCCTCCGTATCAAACCACGGATAAGTCAATTGCGGAAGCATCCACGGTGCCAACTAGCAGCCGTGATCGTTCTCCTATCATCGAACCAACATGGTCATTTGGTGGAGTTCGTGACAGCGCTGTCCACGTGTCAGACTCACCGCTCCTCTCTGCGGGCTCACGCTTCGAGTCCAATGCCCGAGACAGTGGATACCATGATGCAGGATACAGTCCTTCGATGCCGCAAGGCTCAAGCGAACCAGTAAAGGAACTTCACTACGAAGGGAAGACAAAAGACACACAGGATCGAAAATCCGATTATAGCATTGTTGAACGAACGATCCATGAAGACCCGGGAGTGGAGCCTCGCTCACGAAGCCCTTCTCTCCCCGAGCCGAGTTCTTTCATCGGCAGTATAACATCACCGTCCGCCGTTGATTCGGCCACGAAGGAGCGTACATCGTACTTGTTCAACTCGTCGCCATCGACACGAGGTTATGTTGAGTCTCCTTTAGCTGCTGTGAAGGCTCGCCAGCACGACATAGTTCCTGAGGCGTCTCCGTTAAAACACCCGAAGGATGTCAAAGATAACTCGAAACATGTGAAGGATTCGCAAGCCAAATCGCACAAGGAATCTGAAGAGTCTCGCCATTCGACGGCCAGATCAAGATCCAAGGATAGAAGCTCACCCACTAGGCAAACGCCCATCAGAGAGCCACCCCCGTCGATCTTTGGTGACCCGCGTGAGAGGCAGTCTGAGAAGTCAGCAACATACTCGACTCCGAGACATATGAAATCACCAAATCCACAACTCGACACTATCAAAGAATCCAGTCCAGATGATTCGCCACTGCATAAAAAGGGACGACCGATCTCTGATGTCGGTGCCCCTGAACGAGGTGTTAAGTCTGCGCGACGAAGTGAGAGCCCCAAGCCGTTCTCAGAACGGTTGAAATCACCACCTCCTGTCACGCCTACTCCTTCCAGCCGCAAGCCCAGCAGTCGTAAGCCCATTCCTCCCACACTAGAAACCTCACCAGCCGATACCCCTTCAAAGGATACTCCATGGCATCAAGTCCATGAGGGTGTTGATCGGAGCATGGCTCTGAGTCCTGCACGAAGACTGCGCTCTCCCGCGGTAACTGACCCAACGAAGCAACGCATGGGTGAACAGCGATCTCCAAGCGTGCTCAGTGACCGTTCTACGGGCGGGGTTGCAAGGCACAAAACTCCAGACCATTTTCAAGCATTGAGCCCTGCGAGCAACCGATCAGCCACTCCACCTTTACGGCGAGTGGACAGAAGCTTGTCAGGTGACCTTCGGAGTCGAGCGAGCCTTGGCGAGGTCCAAGCGCGGGACACTAAAAACGCGCAACCTGATCTCACAGACATTGCGATCGCTGCTGGAGCAACTGCAGCCATCGCAGCCATCGCGAGTTCATCAAAATACGATCCGGTCAGACACAAGGGCAAGGGTCGCGCGGACATGTCCGATGTCTACGTAAGTTTTCACTGCCATCGCGACGCGTTTAATGATGATAGCTGACAATATTTGTAGGAGGCATGGGGCGAGGCTCAAGGTTCGCCAATGTCCCCGACGCGCCCACCTAGTGTGCGTAAGCGACAAAGCATGCAAATAATGGACTTAACAACACAACTCGAGCAACTCGCCGCGCAGAACCGATCGCTGGAAGAAGCTAAGGCTAAGGCTGAGGAGTCTATGCAAGCTGCTCAGTATCAACAAGATGTTGATAATCAGGTGATTCAAGAAACTATTCAAGCAAGAGACCAGGAAATCCACCAGAAAGACATCGACATTGCACAGCTGCGCGATACACTTCGCACCCTTCAGGGAGAAGTGACAAGACTCACGCAATTGAACAACACACTTACCGAGGCCAATCATAATCTCACCAACGACACAAACGAGCGATATGCTCAACTCCAATCCGAAGGTCAACAGGTTCATCAGCAATGGCAACAATCTACTAGGGAGCTCGAAGATCTGCGGACGCAGCACAACCAGTTAACCTCGGGAATGCAAGATGCATTGCGAGCGGAGATTGGACTCGCGATCGACGAGCGCAATGCTGAGATCGAGCGTCTCAAGACCGAACTAGCAACCGCTACGGACAAGATCAAGACTCTACAGAGACAGATACAAGCTTCTAAGCAGGGCGACAGCTTCCTTGTCGTACGAGACGAGGACTACTTCGATAGCGCATGCCAGCAGCTCTGTCAACACGTGCAGCAATGGGTGTTGCGATTCTCCAAACTCTCAGATAGCAGGGCTTGTCGCTTGTCGTCGGACGTCGCGAGAGATCACAAGCTTGATTCTGCGACCCGAGAAAAGATCGAAACTCGTCTAGACAACGCTATCTTAGACGGCTCTGATGTCGATATGCTATTAGCAGACCGTGTCAAGCGTCGAGATGTCTTCATGTCAGTAGTGATGACGATGATTTGGGAGTATGTCTTCACGAGATATCTCTTCGGTATGGACAGAGAACAACGACAAAAACTCAAGTCGCTGGAGAAAACATTGTCGGAAGTTGGTAAGTCAATCCCAACCTTCCTAGTTTGCGCTCAAATTAATAACTCATTAGGCCCCACAAGAGCTGTTGCCCAGTGGCGAGCAATAACGCTCACCCTACTCTCCAAACGCGACCCATTCATCCAACAGCGCAAACAAGATACTGAGGCCGTGGTCCAGGAAATTTACAGCACGCTCTCTACCCTCCTCCCGCCAGCATCCCATCTGCAGAAGCAGATTCAAGAATCTCTCCGCAATGTCATGCGCCTCGCCGTCGAACTTTCCATTGAAATGCGCACCCAGCGCGCAGAATACATCATGCTTCCACCTCTCCAACCGGAGTATGACACTAATGGCGACCTCATCGCCAAAGTAACTTTCAACGCAAGTCTCATGAACGAACGTAGTGGCGAAACATCAAGCAACGACCAACTCGAAGCACGGGGGGCAGTGGTCAAGATCGTGCTGTTTCCGCTCGTTGTAAAGAAGGGAGATGATTTTGGTGAAGGCGAGGATGAAATTGTGGTGTGTCCTGCGCAGGTACTAGTGGCGAGGGCGACGAATAAGAAAGTTGTGAGAGTGCTAAGTGGTGCGATGAGTATTGATAGTAGGCAGAGAAGTGTGATGAGTTTGGCGCCCGAGAGTTCGGTCATGGATTTGGATGGGGGAAATATGATTTAGTAGCGATTGGCGAGTTTTGTCTGTTGCATGGCGTGGGAATGACTCTTTTTGGTCTTTTCTTTTAGTGAGGGTTTGGGTTTGGGTTTGGGTCTGATTTTGGTGTTTAGGGGATTTAACGACTCTCTTACTGTCATTTTCCCTTTCCTTTATTTCTTGATTTCAAGGTCTCCAAAGGACATGTTGGCTTTAGTTTGTAATATTTAGGTTTGTAGGATTGAAAAGAGGTCATTCGGTTCTATACACTCAGGGGTTTCTAAATGATGATGGCTCGTTCGCACAAGTCGATGTGATGTTGAAACTAACTAGATGTTGATGTACCCTTCAAGAGTCGGTACCAGAAAATAGTTCCACAGTTCTAAACACGTGAGATGTCCCAAGGTTCACAAGCTGTCGTCCCACCTCCTCGGCTCCGCTCCTCCACAACGGTAGCTAACCCCGCACGTTGGTGAGCTGCGCCACGCCCCAGCTTGACCTTATGAGTCGACAAGTGCGTGAGAGCTACGGATCCGTACAAAAAGAGAGACCTCCCCTGAACTCGTACTTATTCCGTAACACAGTTCCCTGAACTGGGTAAGAAAGCGTCGAAGACTAGGTCGTGCCATTGTTACACAGGATGCCCATTCGAAGTGAATGGAGGCTTGCGCGCGAAGGTTAGTACAATACCTCCTTTCCCTTCCACAGCTCTGCACCTATCCTACCCACCCCTGAAAGCACTCCCAACAAACCACTAACCCCATCCTCCAGGCATCACGCCCGACACCATTGTTCGCTTCGCGTCGCGCACGCTCCTCAACCCAGCCCTAACGCTCCCACTCATCCTCCTTGCGCACTACACACAAAAAGGCGCGACCCTCTCCACAGAACATGCATCCACGTTCAAGCACCTAAAAACGCTACTCTACCTGGGATTGGCGTCGAAAGCCAGTTCGTTCCTTGATGACGCTGTGACAAATAACTGGACGAGCGATGCATATGATTGGGAGAAAGAGGTTGTGGTAGTGACAGGCGGGAGCGATGGCATTGGGAAGATTGTTGTGCAGTTATTTGCGGAGATGGGGGTTAAGGTTGCGGTTTTGGATGTGCAGCCTTTGACTTATGAGGGTGGGTGACCTTCCTATTCCAATCCCTGCGCTTCAATGGAGTAAGTTGAGAGAAGTGAATGCAGACATACTGACAAGGGTCCCAACAGCACCCCCATCCGTTCAATACTTCTTTGTCGACCTTGCCTCCCCCTCCTCCATCTCCACCGCCTGCGCCGCCATAAAATCCCAAATCGGCGACCCGACAGTCCTGATCAATAACGCCGGCTGCGCACGCGGCAAGTCCATTCTCGCATCCTCCGAATCCGACATCCGCCTCACCTTTAACGTTAACACACTCTCCCACTACTTCCTGACACAGCAATTTCTCCCTTCCATGATCGCCGCTAACCACGGTACTATCGTCACTGTGGCGTCCCTAGCCGCATACGTGACCGCCCCTAGCATGGTCGACTACGCCTCCTCCAAAGCCGCCGCCCTCGCCTTCCATGAAGGCCTAACCTCCGAACTCACGACGCTCTACAACGCGCCCAAGATCCGAACAATCGTTATGTGTCAGGGGTACACGCGCACCAAACTCTTTGAGGGCTTTGATTCATCAGTGTTGTACCCGGAGACGGTCGCGGAAGAGATTGTGAAGGCGGTGTTGAAGGGACGAAGTGCACATATGTTGCAGCCGGAGAGCGGGTGGTTTTTGGCCGCGAAATTGAGGGGCATGCCTTTTTGGCTGCAGTATGGGTTGAGGAAACGGTTGGACAATTTGATGAGGAAGTGGAATGGGAGGCAGGTACAGCAGCCGAGTGTGGAGAAGTTGGGGGAGAGTGCAGTCCTGGTTGAGGGGGAGAAGTAGGTAGAATGGAGTGGGATAAAGAGTTTGCGTGTGCGAGTGGAATTTGTTAAGGGTATTGGAGTATGCCTTGTAGGGAATACCATCGTTCTACAGACACTATGAGTCAGCTCTGAGGTGGATGGATTGGGAGATCATTTTCCAGACAATCTTTTCAAGCGGTGATTCTTCGAAAGCGTTGGAATGGGTGCTAATTATACTGGGATAACAATTGGTATTACCGCTCAGAAACTTCTATGATACTACAGGTTCTGAGTCTGAAATAATAATAAAAAGTAAAACAAACGCCATCTGTATGCCCAAAAAGACCGGGTATCCCTCCTCGTCCAATCCTAGAGACCATAAACTAACCCTTTTCCGCCCTAGAGCGCCAATTTGCAAGGCTTAAAGCTCAACAACGGGCATTGGGACTCTCCAAGCTGCCCTGACCAGACAAATTCCACTTCTCAAGTCACCAACACCGGTCTCCCCGGCGAATTCGACCTCGAAGAACTCTTCCTATGCGCATCCGCACCATTCCCAAAAACCGGCTCTAACCGTACACCTCCAAAACTCCAGCCATCAAGAAAGACACCCTCCTCAAACCTCTTACTAACGACAAATCCAAGCGCTCCATCCAGGCCAACACTAACCTCAATATCGCCTTCAATCTCCAACCATCCCTTACCCTTATGCTCCGCATATCTCTCCCGTCCGACACGGACCCTAACGGCGTCAGGATGCAGTAAGACAGGAACGACATCAGGCGTGATATGCACGTCGACGAAGCGATTCGCGAAAGTTTCCGCGTCGAAGGGCTTGCCGACGGAGAACACCAGGTCCGCGGGAGGCGTGTATTTGCTGTTCTGGAAGGACACGATGAACTGGACGCGGTATCTCCCCTGCGGAATCCCTGTTTTGATGGTGCGCAAACACACATTGTCAGTGCGGGTGCATTGGTATACAGCAGCTTCTTCCCTGCGACCATCATGATCCAGATCTTCGGCCACGGGATACACTTTCCGCAGCTTCCCATCCTCATCAATGGCAAGCCCACCCTCACCCGACGGACTACTCGTCCGAAATTGTGACATCCTTGGCATATCTTCAAGATGCGGAGCCACACCCAATGGCATACCGGTCTTAAAATCGACCTGCACCAGTTGGAAAGATTGATCTATTAGCCCCTTTCCATCCATACCGACGCGGAAATGGGTCGCGCCGATTTCAAACTTCGGCGGTAGCGCCGAGAGCTTCGCCATGATTTCGCCAAAGTTGCGGGCTGACCGGAGTTGTTTAGCATCGCGCATGTACTGCTCAGTCAGCGCGGCCATTTCGTCTTCTTTCATCCACTGCTCCAGCGAGATGTTGGCGAGTCCACGGTCAACGTCAAAGCGGTAGTATTTTGTATCGGTGTTGTAGTACATACGCTTCATTTCGTTGTCGACACGGGCAGTGCTAGTAGCCATACCGGCGAGCGCTGACGCGAGAGAGATGTCGGTTCCCAGGCCAAACGGGAGCCAGGACGCCATTTTCTTGACGGAGGGGATGGATTGGAGACCTGTGCCAACGGAAACTATGACGCCGATTGAGCGGCCTTCCCAGAGTGCTTTGGCGGCGTAGTCGACTTCTGCACAGGGGTTGTTGAAGCCAACGCCTCCGTCTAGATACGTGACTTTGGGCGTGCCGAATTGCATTTCTTCGAAGAAAGTCGGGGCCGCTGAGGTTGCTCGGAGAGCCTCCCAGATCCGGGTTTGGCGGTCGTTGGGATCGTAGGTTGATAGGATTCGGGGCAAGCCTAGTGCGTTCTTCAGCGAGGTCAGAACGAACCCACGGCAGCCTTTTTGGTTGGCTTTCCTATGCACCGAGCCTCGAGGGTGGATTTTCCAAGTTGCAGTCCTTAGCCGTGGGTCCGAAAAAGGGTCTTTTGGTGCCGGCGGTTGTTCGTCCGCTACATTGCTGATAGGCATTGCAGTACTATCATTTGGTAAGGTTGCCACTGAACCCTTCAACGTAGCGGTTGGGCTTTCAGTGAGTATGCTAGGAAGTGCGTCCGCCCAGATGCTATCACGTGGAAGATCGTTCTCGTCCACTTCCTCGAAGAGGGAGTCATCCCACATCAACTCATCCTCACTGTACTTAAGGTCGACTAGGGCTGACTTGATAGCTTTCTCGAGCACAAGACCGGAGAATCGGGTTGCGCCTGTGGGGAGCTTGGCTCCGAATAGCATGATGGAGCGGTCATGTTTGAAGATTTCTTCGGCTAGTTTGGAATATATGCTGATGCACTGCTTGCAATCGAGTCGTAGACGTGAGAGTAGGATTGCGATTATACCACCAGTGCTTGTTCCGCCGATACTAGAACATGGGTTAGCGCTGCATCTCATCGAGAATAACAGGCGTCGTTCAGAACAAAAACCAGCATCCTATTGCCGTCCTCGTTGATTCCAGAAGGTGGTTTAAACAGTCGAGCCTGCCCGCAAGTGCCCCCGGTAGGTGCGGGTGTACTATCGATAGGGAGACTCACAGATCGAAGTAGTCGCAAGGCTTCAGTGGTGTTGTGGAGCTTTGAGGACGTCTTCCGATTCTCTTTTCTTCAAGCGCAATGCTCTCCATCAAATCGTCTAGCACCATCAAACTTGAGAGCCCTCTGACACCACCTCCATCTAGCGATAACAGGCGCAAAGGTGCATGGGGGTTGGTTTCTGGGTTGGATAGATCCATGACTGTAGAGGCAGCAGCCTTCATGAATGCTAGAGATCAGGCCGATATTTGGTGTGAAGTATGTATATATGTCGTTTCGATATTAACAAAGTGTTCAGTCCAAAATGTGAATGCGGAGCGTATATGTAATGATGCGTGGCAGATCAACGGAAGAAACGACCAGGGTATTTAGCAATATTCGAGGCCGCCCGCAGCAATGTAGCATCAAACCAGGGCGAACGAGGCGTGAGTCAATTTCCAGAGTGTTGCGGTAGGGCAAGATGGCCTCACGTCTTCGCTCAGAATCGAGGTAACAGCCGCAACGTAACGGAGAGTCCCAGAAGAGGCTGAGAGAGGTGGTTGCCTTGTGGCTGCGGTCCGGTTCCCAATATCTGCGTGTAATTACGATGTTGGAATGGTGTCGAAATTTTGTTCTTCGGCATAAGCACAAGACACGCGTCTTTATACAGTCACGATCTCAACCTCCGCACGACACGGAGGCTTGCTTTACCTAATGATGGTGGCAGCGACGATGAAAGAAACGGACAGAATCAGCTTAGGCGGCTATCCGTTAGGACGCCAACATCCACCAAAGCAGCAAAGCTGCACAAAAGCTGAGAGTGGCACAGCAACCCCAAACCTCGAAGAAACGCTAAAAACTACGTCAAGCGCCTGCGCGAAATCGAAGCCCGAAGGCGGGATCCGAGAGAAAAAGGAAAGGAAAGACGAAAAGAGACCTCGTGGTCAGACTAGTGATGATCGCTGGACTGAAGTGAAGGGGGGATGCTCAGCTGCGCCCCGTTAGAGGAGTTTGTGGAGGTCAGCACCATGCAGCCCGGCTGACGTGAGCCCTGGCGGGTGAGGCTCTTCTTGCAGCCAGGTGCATCCAAGATCGCCCATTCCAAGTTGAGATTGGCGAGTGCTTACGGGCGGTGAATGTAGGCCAGAGTTCATGAATAGTAGCTGTTAGTTCCGACCGTATATCTAGCTGTTAAATGGCCTTGCTATATTTGGAGCACTAAATGCAGGTACCATTGCAGGATGGCTGGAGAACATCATACCAGAAAAGACTGAGAGTTAGGGAATATTATTAGAGAGGCTCAACAACCACCCATCCTTTGTGACAGGAAGCTTGAGATGCGTTCATCGATTGTGTAAAATAGCCCCCAGGCAGAAGTCACTAAATCGCAGACTCATACAAAAAAGGCAACCGCTGGAGATGAGACAAGACTGGCCCGCTGCAAATGAGGCTCCCTACACAAAATACCTAAATCTATCTGTTTCATCGAATGGTAGGGCAAACATGGCGCAGTTCCCTCTTCGAGAACTAATCGAGCAGATGCAAGCGGCGTAGCAAAATCGACTGGCTCAGCTTACCGAAGGGGTCACTCCATTGCCGCGCGGTCACAGAAGACGGAACATGAAGGACAGGGGAAAGTACTGGGTGAAACGGCGTCAATGCTTGAGCCTCTCACCTCACATCACACCGGTCGCGGAAAGTCGTCCACATCGCTCCTCTACTATTGCACCTACTTAGGTAAACGGATGTACCCAGGTGTGGCAAGGAAGGCGTAGTCTCTCAGAACGATGAAAAACACGCCAGGGGTCTGTATCCGTTCCATAGAGTACGCAATTCTAGCAACAAGCCAGAACAATAATCCAATCCATGTTTACTTTTCGAATATGCCTTCAGCTCCATCTCATATCCGCAAAGGCCAGTAGTCCACAGTTCCATCCTAGGATGCTGCAGCAGGAGCCCTCTCCCCATTACCACTCCCCGGTCTCACCATCCTAAACACCATAGTATCCCTCAACCCCAAAATCGGATTCTCAAAATCCTTCTCCCTAACCTCGAACAACTCAAACCCGGCCTTCTTCAGCACATTCTGGCTCGAAACCAACTCCGGGTCCGTATGAGCTTCTGCATACTCAAACCTGCCTTGTTTGCCGCCAGAATAATGGTTCCAGAACAGCGGCATGAAAGCTCGAAGAGCTTCTGTTGCAATTCCCTTGCCCCAGTAATTGTGGTTCAGCATATATCCCACTTCAGGGGCACGAACGGCTCCAATCATGCCGATGACGCGGGGTCCTGTGATGGGAGTTGGAGTTGGAGTTGGGGATGAGGATGAGGATGAGGAGGGAAGGAGCTCGATGCAAAAGTTCCAGCAGTTTTCACGGTCGTGACAGCCCTGGATCCATTCTTTAGACTTTTCGATGTCGTTGGTGGGTTTCAAGGGTCTGATATTCCATTCCATAGTCAGTCACAAATCACAAGTTGAATTTAAGGACTCGGGCTCCATACGTATGCTTCATAACTTCCGGGTTGGACCGCATTAATACAATGTCTTCCGCATCGTCCATGACAAGAGGCCTGATGAGCAGCCTCTCAGACCTCGCGATAATGCTTGGATCGACGACTACCATTTTCACTAAAGTTCAGAGAAAAATTGATGCTTGAGTCCATCGTATTGCGGTGTAGAGGTCGTGGACTCAAGAGTCATGGGCTTTGAATACACTGGTTTTAGGCTCCCATCCCGTGTCCAAACATCCAAGGTCAGGAAATACGCTAGCCGTTTTCGGACTGAGACTTCAACCACGGCAACTTTGAAGCACACCGCATCAACATATCTGCCAGACTCGGCAACACCATCACATCTCAATGGACCAAGAACCTTCTCCGTAGTAACCCATTCTCCCGGTTCATGAACCTTCTACCATGTCCTCCAAAATCCTTTCCTCCTCCGCCAAAGGCGCCACATTCCTCATCCTCTTTCAAGTCCTCTCCCGCGCCCTAACCTTCATCGTCAACCAAATCCTTCTCCGCTTCCTATCCCCCGAACTTCTAGGCATCTCAGCACAACTCGAACTCTTTTCTATCTCCGTACTCTACTTCGCCCGAGAATCACTTCGCGTGGCCTTACAACGCCAAGCCCCCAGTCTTCAATCTGTCATCAACCTCTCCTACCTCTCTATCTTCTTCGGCATCCCCCTAATCTACAGCCTTGCATTCCTCTGGCTGTCTCGGGAGACGCCACATGTACCATATTTTGTTGATGCATTGAATTTGTACTGTCTAGCGATTTTTGTAGAGTTGTTGACAGAGCCCGCGTTTGCGGCTGTGCAGCAGAAATTGCTGTATAAGATCCGCGCGTCTGCGGAGAGCACTGCGACCCTGCTCCGGTGCTTCGGAACATGTGGGGTTGCGATCTGGGGAAGCTGGGCTGGTGTTGATGTAGGCGTTTTGCCGTTTGCAGTTGGGCAGTTGGGGTATGCGGGAGCGTTGCTTGGGGTGTATGTTTGGAGGATGTGGCCGGTTGCTCGGTCGGCACAGTTCTCTCTATTATTGAAGCAGGTGCCGGGGACCGAGGGGGTTCCGATGTTGCTCAACTATTTCTCAGCACCACTCTTGAGGTTAACAGGATCTCTTACACTTCAATCGGGACTGAAGTATATCTTAACCCAGGGAGATTCTCTGCTTATTACGACGTTGGCATCACTCTCCGACCAAGGCGCCTACGCTCTAGCATCCAACTACGGCGGTCTGATCGCGCGCATGCTGTTCCAGCCTATTGAAGAAAGCAGCCGGAATCTATTCGCCAAACTATGCGCCGATATCCCTCCAACCCCAACCCTTGAACCTCAACCTCAACCTCACGATTCCAATCCCCAATCCCCACCCCAAACCCAACCCCTAACTCAATCCCGTACAATCCTTCACACAATTCTTCACCTCTACCTCCTCCTCTCCCTTTTCGCCCTTACCCTCGGACCCCCCCTGTCCTCTCCCCTCCTCTCCCTCGTCGCCGGCAAATCTTGGTCTACCACCTCCGCACCCGCCGTCCTCGCAACCTATTGCTACTACATTCCGTTCCTCGCCCTCAATGGCGTAACCGAAGCCTTCGTCGCCGCCGTCGCCACCAACGCCGAGCTGCACACACAGTCCCTATCCATGGGAGCTTTCTTCGCGTGTTTCGCTGGTAGTGCGTGGGTTTTCATTGCAGTGTTGGGGTGGGGTGGGAGTGGTGTTGTTGCAGCGAATACGGTCAATATGGGGCTTAGGATTTTGTGGAATTGCTGGTTTATTAAGCGGTTTTTCACCCAGCGAGGACTCGAATTTAGGATGAAGGATGCGTTGCCAAGTATGTATAGCACGGCTGCTGCGGTTGTGGTGCCGAGTTTGTTGAAAATGAGTCCGAAGCCAAAGGTTTTGGGGAAATATGGTTTGGTAGGCGAGTTAGCGTATGTGGGCGTGTTTGCGGTGGCGTTGGTGGTGGTGGTGGGCGCTGCTGAAAGAGGGTTTTTGCGAGAGTGTTGGGGGATGGTGAAGCCAGAGAGAGAGGAGCGGAAGGAGGAACGAAGGAGAAGGTAGCGAAGCGTAGCGTAGCATATTATCAGGAAATGGGAAAAGAACTTAAGTTACTTTCTTGAGATCAGTGTTTTGATAGTGATGAGGGAGAGCGGCTACAGCCACCCGGTTCCCCATAAATCATATTGTGTTGGGTTATAACCCGGTACTTTTGTAGGCAAAGTTGCAAGATATGGAGGTTTGTAAGCCAACAAATCTGGGAACGTTTCTTAACTAATAAAACAGTTTCATAGTATAGAAATCACGAGTAAAATTAATTAGCCCTTTTTTAAGCTTACAGTATGCATGTCAATTCTTCTGCTACTACTTTGCGAAGTCGGAGGCAATATTTAGTATTATTGAGTAAAATATTATTTCCTCAGTATCAAAAGAACTGCACTCTAATAGCTCTCCTAAAAGCTTGAGTATAGCCTTAGACACTATTTTCAATGGAATCATGCTTTTAATATGTAACTAATTGCAAGGAAAAAGAACAGGAGCAACAAGCCCTAACTGGGATTCAAGAACTAGTAAGGTGAATCCGGTCTACGACGAATCAATTTCCAGGTCCATAGGTTCTGAGACCGTCCAGAAAGGCAGCTGATCTAATGTGAAATTGTCATCATCAGAAGGAATTGACGGTGGCCCCTTTGGTAGATATATTCGCTCTGACTGCGGCTCCTCAACTTCTGCAATATTATTCGCAATAGAGAGTCCCATGTCCTCAAATATAAGCGATGAGCGGTCACCAGGCCCTCTCACCCTTCGCCGCAGCCTCCTAGCAGATGACCCGACGTCATGAGATTCGAGAGACTCGCCAAAGTCGTCCTCGTCGGAATCGGCTTCGACACTTTGGCTATAGCTTCGTTTGAATATGCCGGCACTCCAACGTTTCTTCTTCCTCCGGTACACCCGCTGTTGTTCTTCCTCGTCAGAGCCGTCTGAGATATCGCAAAGATGTTCGAGTTTGCTAATAGGAGTCGGTTCCTCGGCCACTCTCGTAGGATCTTGGTCATCGGGTTCTTCGATAGATGTTGGCTGCTGAAATGGAATAAGGCAATCGTCGTCGTCACTATGTAACTCTTCCAGGGTGAAGCCGGCACTGGTTGCAGGGCTATGAGGTATGTCAGCCTCGTTCTGTTCTTCCAACCCTCCCTGCGGCGGTGTTGCGGCGACTTTAAAATCCTCCGCGGCGGTAGTACGCGGGGAGACATTCGAAAGCGGAAAAGTGTCTTCAAGAAAATGAAAAGGTCTTGATTGAAGCTCCGCCTTATGTGTGTAGTCCACTGGGATTGATTTTGGAAGTAAAGGTAAACTACTGCTCATCTCTGGGTCAATTAATCGTTTCCAGTTAGCTGTTTCCTTTTCGGGGACTGGAACAGGATTTAGTAGAGCGATTTCTATCATATGGCGAGCCAAATGAGTTATCCTCGCATAGGGCTGGCTTCCATAACCCTCGCTACAGAAAAAGCACTCCGTCTCTCCTTCCTGGGTGGGAATTTCTTCTTGCCACAGTTCGCATAGCCCTATAGCTGCATCTGCCGGAATATAGTGAACTGTTTCTGAGTGGTATTGCAGCTGAGACCTTGCAGCAAATGTTTTTGATCCGCAGAGTTTACAAGTCCACCGTAATTTTGTACCGTGGGAAACCTTCGAATGGTCGTGGAAATCTAGCAGATGACTGAACAAGGCGACACCATAGGGGCAGTGTTTTTCAAGGCATATATAAGGCCTATAGTCCTCAACAATATGCGATCTATAGCTTTATCAATAAGAGACGCAATTTCGAACCGACTTTATTACGAAAAACTCACCTCCACTTCCGGGTTCCTTGCTCAATTCGTATTTTCTTGCCACATATACCACAATCGGCTTCCCCATCTCCCTTTTCACCGCTTTTCGGTAAGCTTGGAAATGGTATTTCAGTATCATCAAGAATGGTCTGTTCAATCGACTCCAAGTATTTTGCTAATTCTGAGTCGGAAATAGATCCTTGTGACGTAATTTTGTGATCACTTCCAGCAATTTCGAGCTTACTCTCAGCGTCGAATTCCTTAGTTGAATGAGAACATTGATGACTCTGCGAGTACAGTGCCTTCATTCGAGAGAGCCTCGAATCTGCAATTGTTCGAACGTGTTCATGGGAGGCTTGTGGAAACCGTGTAAGTATACGGTCAATGTATACTTCAGCTTCTGTTCTACCTAATTCTGATATGCGATTGTTCGATTTAGGCACAGTTTCGTCGGCTTTTGTTTTCATATACTGTTCTAAAAATGGAGCGAGGCGCAATAGGCGGTCAATTGTTGCGGTTACTTCCGCTAAACTCTCGTTCAGTTCGTCCGTTCTAATATTTCGCGACAAGTCGGAGGCGTTGTTGGGTGACCCATCGCTCACATTAATAGAATGCGTACGGGTCGATATTCCAGTCGTAGAGAAGCTGTCTGCAAACTCAGGGTACCGATTCTCAAGGGTCGTCAATGCCACCTGGAGAGGTGTCTGAAACTCCTCCTGTGTAGCTTCGCCCACCGAATTATGGCCCGTGTGGTGTCTAACGCATTTTTCTATACCATGAGTGACCTTGAGGAAGAAGAAGATAGCAAAAACGCACCAGCAGTGATTAGGCTTTGGGCAATCATCATATGTAGCGTCACAATACTGTATTGCAACTCGTCCTCGCCTTCTAGAAGTTTCTCTACCTCTCCAACCCTAATTCCCAGGTCATTGCCCCATATCAGCAAGCGCTGAGATTCTCGACATAGTTGGGAAGCTTGAGTCTTGTCTTGGAGCGTGGGGATAAGGTCTGAAATAGAATTAAGAATGGCGCTACTAAGGCCTCTGATCAGATTAACAAGAAGCGTTTCTTTTTCGGTCGCCATTAGGATAGCGCTTGCAAGGACGTTAACCTTATCCACTTTCATGGAAATGTGGAAACTAAGGTTCAGCCGACATATCACGTGATGCGGGGCTGTGCGAACCACTCCGTGCATAAGCCTCCTTCTCCTCGGCCTGCTCGTCTCAGCTTCTCGATTTCTCCAGTCTTTCAGAGCTGGCAGGAGTGTGATGTCCATTCAAAATGTCAGGAATCGAAATCGCGGGCCTTGTCCTAGGCGCAATCCCCGTCGCCCAGGCTAGCTATGCAACGGTCAGCAACCTTCTTCGCGCATATCGCAGTGCAGATTCCCAGATCTCGAGACTACAGAAACTGCACAAGATAGAAGCCAACATGTTCAGGGTCTCGATTCGCGTGCTCTTCTCTGGTTTACTGGATAGAAATTCCGTCACAGAGATGCTGGATCACAATGAGCATCGGCTCTGGAAGGATAAAGCTATGCAAAAGAAGCTAGGCTTGATCTTCAACGATGATCTAGACATCTCAGAAGCAATTAATGCCAATATTGATCTCGCTAAGAAAGCGTTGATGGAGATAGAGGATGTCTTTCGAGCCGTTGAGGTGCGCAGGTTTCTATCACTGTAGAATCAAGGAGCTAATTACCAGGAAAAGGAGCGCTCAAAGAGATCTAGCGCATCCCAATCGAAGGGAGATCGTCCAAGCCGCTTAGCTAAAGTTGTGTTGGGTCATTTGCAGCAGTCCAGCTGGGCCATTTCCAAAAAGGCGAGGATAGAGTCGTTGCTCGACGATATCAACAAGAATAACAACACTTTATACAAGTTTGCGAATGAGATACGGAAGAACCGAAAGAAACCAGCATATAAGGCTTCGCCTTTGGTTCCATTTGAAAGGGTATCAGGCTTACACATCCGTCATACACACCTATATCACGCCCTTACCTCAGCATGCGGGAAGTGTACCTGCTCTGGCCATGGAGTCGATCTTGCGCTTGACTATATGACAACTTCTAGGCCAAATAAGCTCCTAGATGACCCACGCTCGGATTTTAAGGTCGCGTTTTATGTTCATCCCTCCTCTGACCTCACCGCTTGTTGGCATATCGATTTGACTTCTTTTGAAACCAATTCTAGAAATCCTATGAAGCGAAAAGTTTCGGACGACCAGATTCCTCTCCTGGAAGAGCGTCCCCGGACAAGGCGCTCAATGATCTTGGAAAACCCTTCGCTGACGGAGCATCTGGGATCCAACGGCGAGAACGGCAAAGAGACTGGGGACAAGGAGAGCTCGGCCTCAGCTGTACCCAAGAATGAGTCACTTGAAGCTCGATCTATTGACGATCTTTGCTCGGCTCTGCAGCGACTAGATTGGTCCAAAGACGATACCGAAGAGAGCCAACGAACCCTAGGCTATCTATTATATCAGGAGATGTATACATACGAAGTGCACGTTTCGGACCACTCGGCTGAAGTGGCCAGAAACTCAGACTCTTTAGATCGCATCTTATCGGACGTGCCATCTCATGACTACATCAAAACTCAAGTCATGTATCCATATCAAAGGCTACGGCTCGCTTACGTGCTCTCACTCTCCCTACTACGACTATATCCGTCCCCTTGGCTTGGTGTCAAAGACCGCTGGGCGAGTAGTAATGTCCGATTCTTTCTTACTCACCTTTCCCCCGAAAAGTGCGTCATAACTCCGCATATCAAAGGACCATGTCACGGCGAAGAAGAAAGGAGTGGTGCAGTTCGTAGCTTAGTCAAGAACTATCAGATATATGCACTTGGGGTTATTCTTCTAGAAATCGCTACTGGAAAGCCTATCGATACTTCAGTGATTCCCGGCGACCACGACTATGAAACGAAAGAGTTTCTTGCGGCTTTGAAATACAATAATGAGGGCATCGTCACAGAGGCTCTCGGAAGTCGTTACGGTGACATCGTTTCACGTTGTCTACTTTTCAAATTCGAGGGCGTGGAGTCGGATCTTAGGAAAGAAGAACTCCAACGAGCTTTCTATGAGGATGTTGTGTGTCAACTTGAAGACTGTCTGCGAGAGTTAACGTTGCAAGGCGCCGGTCTAGTTTAACACGCCTCTACTACAGTACTGGAATAAGTGTAGAAATATAATTCCTCATCCACGGGTTTGAGTTTCAGCCTAGAGAGCGCTTATTCACATCGAACACTGGTCTTGACTGTAGGAGTCCGAAGAGAGGGCCTTGAACATAGGCCAGCCAGCACACTTGGCATAGAGAAGGAGCCTGAGCCTCCTTGCTGCCTGGCAGTTTAACTCACAGTCGCGCACAGTCACGTAACTCACACACATCTCGAAGAAAAAACCCCATTCATTCCATTCCAAGTTCGCCCGCAACCCTCCGCCTCATAATTAAGCCAAAAAACCTTGCTCATAATTTAGTCCCGTCCCGCGCATCCAGCCTAAAGATACCTAGGTAAAACTGGAATTGAACGGGACCCGACGCGGACGAAGCAAAAACAACACAGCAAGATAGCAAAGCAAGCCCCGGGTATCGTACACACTTCCCTTACTACACCCGCGAGAGACAGCATGAAGTCTCCCTCAACCCCGCGCTGCATTGCATATACCAACAGAGAAAAGGTATCGATGATGTGATTTGATCGTGATAAGAGGATTCCGTCGTCATAACCGTGTAGAAAGCCGCAGAGAGCGAGAGAGCGAGAGAGAGAGAGAACAAAGGAAAGAGAGGAAATAGATAAATGGGTCGCACTGGATTGTATGGGATATATGGGCATGAAGCTGGCCCGGGGTCCTGGGCCTCTGTCCGTCGGGCCTATGGTATGATAGACAGAGAATAATGAACAGGATGCTTGTCCAATGTAGGTAGCTGAAGTCGTTGAGATAGCACCAAATTGGATGATGTGACATGTGTGCCCTAGCCAAGCGATGGGATGGGAGGAGATGGAAGGAAAGCACACTAAAATAGCAAGGAAGACAGGGAAGCATGTCTAGAAAGGCACACAACGCGTCGTCTATGCCTTCTTGGTCTTTGGAGTGGCCTTCTTGGTGGTAGCGGCTTTCTTGGTGCCCGCAGCCTGTCAATACATCAGCAAACATAATATCCACATCTACACACGCGCAAGCACATCATTCGCCTCCGCGCAAACACAAGCAAGCAGAACAAAATCAAACATACCTTCTTCCCTGGCTTCCCTTCAACCTCACCCTTAACCTTCTCCAGCTTGCCCTCAACCTTCGCCTTTGCGGCCTTTGGCGCGCTCTTTTTGGGCGGTGCTTTCTTGGTCGCAGGCGCTGGCTTCTTCTTCTCAACCCTACCCGTCGTCACCTTCTTAGCACGAGGCTTACTCGTATTAGCCTTGGTAGATTTCTTAGGTGCAACGACCTCCTCGACATGCGCGAAGACGCGCGGCTTGCTGTTGCCAGTTTTGGCGCGGGTAGTGGCCATTTCGACTGAGTTGTTGAAAAAGGTGTTGAAAATTTGAGTGGAGATTCTGAGCGCGAGTTTGTGGGGTGACAAAATGCGCGGGAGTAAGTTGCGCGTGTGGTGTATGTGTATGTGTGTGGGAGCTGGAGTGGAGTGCAGTTAGCCCTGTCCTGTGGCAGCTCGGAATATGGGCAGCTGTAAACAAAGCTAAAACTTCTCCACGCGCAGGAAAACCACTAGAAGAAAATACAGCGACTGCGAAGAGACTAGGAAGAGACAGAATACTGTGCAGAGCGCGCGACGCGCTCAAGATCTTTCTCCTCCTCGTCCGAAGCACGAGTGACGTGGGCGCGTGGGATTGCGACCGGCAACATTTCAAAACAAAGCGCGCGCACGCGCTTTCAAACACCAAAAAAATAACTGCATACCTTTTTGTAAGAGTGCGCGACTCGATTTCTGCTCAAAGCGCAAGAAATTGGGTGGTGTGGGTGAAAAGCGACGGTCTTGTTGTGCGTTGTTTTGGGGACGGAGGATGAGAGGAGGTTGGGGATCTCTTGAACTTTGAAAGGAGGGGGAAGGCAGAGAGGCGTATTCAAGCGCAGCCCGTTTCACAACAACAAACCTCCAAAGTCCGGCCAATGACAAGTGGAATTGGGACGAGGTGTTGCATACGTATTTGTTGGCTAGGCAATTCTTTCCTTAGAAGTCTTTTTGCAAGGAAAATAAATTGGTTGGATTGCGTTTACATTCCCGTCGATCTGAATAGCCGCCCACCTTTCCATCCATCTCATCATCCCACACCAAATTGAAACATGAACACTCGTATGCGCCAACCATTTTCTGGTTCTGGTTCCATAAATCTAAGTCATCGAATAGCAAGTCGCACTAGAATTAGGAAGCATGTTAGAAGAGGCTCCCGGCACTGCTTTCGCAGAGAACCTTGTACTTTTCCGAACTTTTCGTCCATTCAACCAAACACCGAACTTGCTCCGGAAACAGACCTTACATCCTCACCCCTATGAGGATCAGCCCTCAAACCCATGGAACACCATCGACCGAATTAAACGGAAGCTCCTCAGGCTTTCAGCTTCGCCATGCGCTTGTTCATGCTGGGAGAATGTCAGTCGGTGGCCAACGCAAGGCTAATTGAAGAGCTTACAAGTCAAAGAACGCAAATTGGCTGGCTGAGATCCCATAGCCATACACAAATCGACTAGCTAGATAACTGCCGAAGATGGCACGTAGGTAATTATCGGGCACCTTCAGAAGTTAACGAAAGCTTGATGCTTGACAGTGAGATACTTACCCTCTCCATGATCTTGTCCAGGCCAATCTGCTGAAGAAGAAGATTGGGCAAAGCCTCGCTCAAGACTGATTTCCTGAACTCGGTATTGTCCCACAACTCTGTACCCTGAAGTTCCTCGTCAAGCTTCGTAATAGCGACACTGAGAGTGTCGCTCAAAGTGCTTCTAGGCTCGCCAGTGGCTTGGTGTTCACGCCAGATGGCCTCAAACTCGAGCTTCGCGTTGTTTTGGATGATTCTCTGGACCTCCTTGACGTACTTGTCGTAAAACTCAGGCGCAATTCCGTCCTCTCCAACGCACATATGCTTGATAAAGCCTGCATCATCAAACGAGAGAGAGGCGAGCACCTCTAAGGAAGAAGACGTGACACCACCTTTGTTGGCTGAAGCGTCCTTATACAGAATGCACCCAGCCTTCTCAAGCCGAAGCTTGGCATCTTGAGTGATAAACAGATTGGCACCTTCGACAATGTATGGAATGACCGACTTGCCGTCGACAATGAGTTTATTTGCCGTAGTAAGGTCGATGGACTCTGGGCGTCCACCACAAGGAACAAAGGTGTCGTAATGCATGTCACTACGTAAGTGGAAGGTGTTGCGGAACGTTGTACCGTTGTAGACAAGCTCTCCAGTTGGCAGTCTGATGTTGTTCTCATCTACCAAGACGCGGTAACCTTCTGGCGAGAGTTTCGAAGTGTCAAATTGACTGATCATGACCCTCTTCTTCGCCAGTCGGAGAAGCTCGTCGTGATTTATACCTTTAGGGTCGACGAGAACGCCAGAGCCGTCCACGATAGAAACATACTTCTCGTTGCTGAGAAGAATCTCATTGGACCCAAGATCGCCATCAGGACCTCCGGTCTGCAGCTTCTTGACCTTGCTGGGGTCAAGATTCAATTTCCGGTAGATACCTAAGACGTATTCTCGTACTGACAGAGTAGTCATACCATAGCGGTCGTGTGGGATGCCTCCAAGCTTCGGGCTCTTGCCAGTGAAGAATGATTTCCACCAGGGTGCTCCTCGAACCCGAGCATGCTCGGTCGCCCAGTCAACCAGATCGGCAGTGTTTTCGTCTGGACCCATGAACAGAATCTCCTGCTTGCCGTACAGGTCGACGATAGGGTCTTTTATTCCCGGGCTGTTGGGTGGTAACAGGAGGTCCAAAATACTGTCGATGTACTTCTCAAACGCCACACGGGCCTTGTCTTGGTGATGGTAGTCAAGAAGGACGACACCCTTCGAGCCTCCCTCAGGAATGTCCTTGTTCTTGCGTTGCTGCGTGTTGGCAAGATTGTAATTCTCGTCAAACAGTGACCGAGCATTAATAGCGTATGCTTCTGGGCTTCTGGACTTGACGATACGAATGCCTCCTCGGGCGATGTCTCGGAACCGCAAGTGAAAACCACGGAACTCGGAGCTGATAACAAGGAACATACCGTACAGGGGCTGGGGGTACTCGGAAGGTGGCAAGAAGATGGGGTTCATGCGGAAGCTGAGAGCCACCTTCGTTGGCGTATAAAAATTGGTTTTGAGCACACATTGGTTGAAAATGAGGAACGAGCTCATCACCATTTGGTGATGATCATTTACAACAGACTTGTTGATGGTCTCGTCCAGTTCTTCGTCGCTGAGGACCTTGTCGACTGTGATACGCAAGAAACTCAGGGTTGGGAGGAAATCATCCTGTTCTCCCCGAGTCTGGACGTAGTGGGTGTTCGCAAAGGACAGATATAGGCTGTGGACTAGGTCTGGGTATTGATGGATGATTTCTAGGATGTAGTCCGCAGTGAAGGTCTCTGCACGCAACCGACGCTTCAACTTGGACAGAAGTTCAGCATGGGCGCTGTTTTCTGTATCTAAAAGCGTAGCCAACGCAGCGTACTCGGAGCCGAGGCGGTTGAGGAAATGAGAAACGAAAACCCAAACGCAATGTGCGTAGATGGTCTCCTGAAGACTGAGCCTGGCTGTTGCGAAGTGGGCTTGGAACTTGTTCTGCGGAATGCAGTACAGGAGCGAAACCTCTTTGATGATCTGATGAATGGAGGCTTCAATTGGTGGGTGCTTCGCAGATGAAGTTCCCTGAAGGGGTCGGAGATACAGAGACATCGCCGTATAGCCATTGGAGAACTGCTCAACATATTTCCGGGAGGACGTTAATCCGTAGTAGTGATATAGATCGCTCAGCGCACTGAATAATCCCATTGCTGAGCCCTGCTTGTAGGCAATGACAAGTCGCTTCTCCCGAGAGCCTTCGATATCGAAGTATTCAATCACGGGACCAGTCCGTTCAATTGCAGCCTCAAGTGCTTGTTGGTACACTTGCTTCGTATTTGCGGTGGCTTTCTGAAGAAATCGCTTGTCTCCGACTTTCTCAATATCGATCTCTGTCTCGCCCAGGTCTGGGTTTACGAAATCACACTGGTAGACAAAGTAGCAGCGCAATTGCTGCTCCTGGGCTCCAGGGAGTGGACTGGCTGAGCGGAAGCTTTCTACACGGTAGCCCTTGCCTCCCTTGGATCCGTCTAAGTATTTCTCGTCAATTCGTTGTTCGTATCGTGGGCCATCCATGACTGAGATTCCAGGCTTGCTAGTATCGATGTACACCGCATGGTCTCCAGCCTCCTTATCAAGTCGGATTTCCAAACGTTTGTCGTCGCGGGCATAAGCTGCCACTTTCGCTGCATAAAGGGAGTGGATATGGTTCACAACCCTTTGGTTTAAATGAGAATTATTTCTAAAAAATAAAAAAAAGGGGGGGAGGGGGGGGGGCGTGAGTAACTTACGCTTCTACAGTTTCCGTAGCAAAATAGTTGTCGTCAATGCCCAGCTCGTTATAGAACCAAGTGGTCTCTGATTCCACGAAGTCCGGAGGAATGAATCCTTTGTCCTCTACCCCGTCCATGACGGCTTCCATCTGCTTCTCCTTGCCCTCAAACTTGGGGGCAACATATCCAGACCCTTCCTGAGGTAGGACTCGCGGGGTAGCAAGTCCTGGTCCAGGCACGCTCAAATGTGTAGGCTGGGGGGATGGCATCCGTCCAGGAGTCCGAATGACTTGGTCCAGCAGTCTATTTTGGATAGGCTGGACAGGCTGGGCGGGCTGAACGCCATTGACCGGTGCAGCAGCCATGTTGTGTGGTTGAGGGGTTATTGAGTGGATCGGGAGTTCACAAGAGGAAGGCAGGAGTTTGTTTGAGCAATTTGGGTTCCAGACAACTTTTCAGTTCCGCTCAGCGTACAGAACAGTGTAGAATGTCGAATTGACCGAGAGGGGCTCTGTCGGGTGAGGTGCTTAAATTGGGGACGAGCGATGCTCTCGGGTTGCCGATGAGGGGTATGAGTCGGGACCGGTGGAGGGGGCTGCTGTGTTGGGTTGAACGAACGGACGTGTGCCTGGATGATGTATTAGCGGGATAGGGGTACAAATGGGGTACAGAGTGCAGATCTGTGTTTTGGAAGGCCAATTATTTATGTGAGGCTCCAAAAAGCACATGTCTGTCCTTGTAAGGCGGACCTATTTTAAAATATGACGCAGCTAGCTCACCTTAGCAATGGATTCCGCGAGGCGCAACGACCATCAAGCTTTGATGCTGGATAAGGAGACGGCGTGCAATTGGACCAGTTCCACCGCTACTTTGCCCGTCGGTGCCAGAGCTGGAAAGGACACGGTCAGCACAGCTAGGAGCTAAAAGTGCCGCCCAAAGGATTGCGATCCGGATTCGACGTCAAGAATGGTACGACGCCACAATCTGAGCTTCAGGTGAAACGGCGACACGAAGATAAGAAGTAATTAGAGATAAGGCAGGTGAGAGAAGAAGGAAGACGCTGAGATTAAGAGCTGGGAGCGAACCGGGGGTGGCGGGTGCGTCATTTTATATCATGAATTGCTGCGTGCTTTGAGACTGAGATGTACCTGAGTGAGCTGCTGCGCTTCGGCTTTTGGCGGCCTATTACCCCAGACGAACCGTGAGTGGACCGGCCGGGCTCACTGCGCTAGCCCCATGCGCCGCATCGTGAATGTTCACGTAATGACCACGGCGCCAGGCCCAAAGGGTGACGTGCAAAGACTGAGCGGACAAGCAGTTCGCAGCGCAAGCTTTGCCGTGTGGGCGAGGTTTTTTGGCGCAGGACCCGGAGCAGCGTTGCGATTGCTAATAAACCGCCCGGCGATTGGATGCAGAAGGCGCAATTGGCAATATTCGCCATCCACGAGCTAGCAGAGGAAGGAGCGGCCAGCTCAACCCTCTCCTCCCTGTAACATGCGCCTCGCACCTCACGATCCTTGGCGGGCAGCACCATCGGCCCCGCGAGCACTCCAGAGGTTGTCGCTAACTCAACGTGTCATTTCAGCACTGGGTGTCCCAGGCACGTGTGCTGCGTCCGACGAGAATAGCTGCTTCACGATGCTTTAATTCCGTCGAGTCATCCGGCCGCAGCAGGTCACGCAGGTCACGATGGTCACGATGGGTTCAGCGCAGAACCCGGCGCCTGGCAAGCGACATTTACTTCCGGCAGCCGTTGAAATGATCGTGTCTGGTGGCCAGCGATGTCTACGCGTCACAGACAGTCGGTGTGCTTGCTAGGAATCATCGCATCAGTCAACCCCTGAATGTCACGATGTTTCGCCACCTGTCCTGGTCGACTGGACGGACCGATGCGCTGATTCTATTCTGCGCTGTTCACGATCTTCGCCACCGCCATTGTTGAATTGCAACAGCGGATGGACCGGAAAGCCCACCGATCGCTGCGCCGTTACATGGTTGAGACAAGCTTGCAGTTTGCTGTATTCACTGCTAGGTGCTTGAAAATACACTAATCCGTCACTGGCTCCCCTTTTCGGAGTACTCCCTCCCATTCACCGTCACCAAAACCCTATGTCCATGTCCGTCAATCCAGTTTTTCTTCTTCCCTGCTTTCTCCACTTTTCCCAACGATCCAGCAAGCCCTTCGTCCAGCTCGTCAATCGGCTCGACGAAGTCAAAGTCAATGCACAACACCTCCTTATCCTTTTTTGCTACCCACTGCACATTTACTTTCAGTCTCTCCTCCCTAACCAGTCCAGCTGGGTAGACGCTTCCTACAACGGAAGCCACGCGGCCAACATACATACACCACCACGCTTTGCCGTCTGGCAGCAGCTGGACGATGCGACGGTAGAAGTCCTGTTCAGTTGGGCTGATAGAGCCATATCCGCCGTATCTTTCGCAGAGGAGGAGTGCAAGGAATGCGCGTTGCTGGTGACTGATTCCATGAACTGCTGCGAAAACTCCTGTAGTGGTGCTTCGAAGGGCGGCCCCCGCGCAGAGATCCTTCGGGAAGGCGGCGTGAACATACATTGCCTGTACGAAGGCGACAAGAAGAGAGTTATCAAATACATCCTCATTCTTGGGCGTAGGTGAAGGCACAGTAGCCGCAACCAAAAGGTCAACTAGCTCTTGCACAGATTCCCCCGCGTATGCCTTCGTAGCTGTTGCTAGAGGATATTCCTTCCTAAGGCTAGCACCTAGATCCGCATAATGTATCCCTTCTCTTACGCCTCCTTGACAGAAGTTGACTCCTTTGATGTTTGGTAGTGCTTTAGATAGACATTCTACCAAGAAAGCCACAGCTGGCACTTGACTTGCTCTCCGATCGGAGACACGGAAGATCTCAGGCGTTTCTTCCTGCTCCACCTTTTTGATAGCCATTGTCACCGTATTCGTATCTTGAAATGCCTGCTCATGGACATGAAACCCATTGATGATTGGAATCGGATACGGGCGGATTGGATGCTCGCTCATTAATACGAAACCCCAACCTCTGAATCCTCCTCCCGACAGGTAGAGTGAAAGGCCCTTCTTTGCATCCTTCATCAGCTCTTCGGGAATCGCAATCTCTTTTATCGCATCTTTCAAGTCTTTGACCACATCTTTCTCAAATTCCTTGAACTTGTCACCATGCTGGCCAGATGCTTCAAGATGCTTGACCAAAGCTGCAGCGCCATACGGCAAACTCACACTGCCTTTTTCGCTCATCTTCACCTCGCCATTTGTTGTCACCATCCACGTGATTTGCGTACTCCCTCCACCAAGGTCCATGACCAGACCCCGAACTTGGTCGTAGGAGCTTGCAACTCCATAAGCTCCGATCCGGCCTTCCATTTCTTTTGGGAGGAGTTCGACAGTCCATCCAGTTGCATCTTTGATTTGAGAGCGAAATTCGGCAGAATTTTGGGCCTTGCGCGTCGCTTCGGTTGCTACAATGCGGATCTGACTTTGGGGGACACGAAAGTCCTGGCACGTTGCCTTGAAACGAAGGAGTGCTTGAATGGTTTGTTTAATGATTGACGAAGGGATAGGAACTGGTTTCCCTGCTTCCCATTGTGCATCGTAGAGGGATATGCCTGCCCTGTCAAGATAGACGGTGGGGAGAATACGTTGGGTTGGGGGAGAAAGGTCTGTGATGGAGAATCGAATGCCATTGCTAGTGGCGTTGTCAACTAAACTTGGGTCCTCTATGGTTGTCCGAATAGTGGCAGCATACTGAAGGGAAGTATGTAGGGGTATGAAGATCCCGAGTATAGGCTACAGGAAATAAACAAACGCATAGCTTGGTGGCGTGAGGAGTGAAACTATGATAATGAAAGGGCAAATAGTTGAGGGAGTCAAGAAGACTGTCTTACCTTCCCATGTCCACCAAACCATGGTAGTACTGCGTTTTCCCAGCTGCCGTCATGATCGCCAAGATCCAAGACAATAAAATGGAGTTAACGGGTAGGGCTGAACAGTGAAGGAATCAGCGCTGGTGACGAACGATAGCGTGACCGTGCGTGGTTTCAGAGTCTTGACCGTTCACAGCACAATTCAGTTATCATGGTTCACCAGGCAATTTTTCTTACCCCTCCATTACATAAAAAGAAGCGTCTTGTGATGAGGGAAATACAAGAAGTAAGAAAATGGTGCAGGAGTAGTTGGATTCTGGCGATGAGCTGCAGGAAGGCATGCCCCGCTAGTGCGAAAATTCTGTGGCCAATCATCTCAACTCAATATAATTCTGGATCAGAAAGGCTGATCCAAGGGAAGAAAGGGCGCTGGAGCAAGCGATCAGGAGATTTGAGCGATGTTCAACTCCAACGGTCGGGTGTTATGGGCCTTTCTCGCAAATCTACTCTGGGTATCATGTTTCATCGAAATCGTTTCGTCTCGTTTTCCAAACTAGGCCAAACGTCAATACCTAGCCTTTTTCAGTCGTCAGGTTACAATCTCCCATAACGCCTACAAATGCTCGAACCACCAAAAAAGCTCATCTAGGCACGCCTCAAATGCAGAGAGCAGCCAATCGGATGCTCATCGATCCATTGCGGACTCCATAATATCTGTGTCGATGTCATCTCGTGGTTCTTTGGGCTCCTGCGCTTCATGGAACTGGATAGCATCATCGATATAGCTTAGAACTGCGCCAACGCTGTCTTCGTCCTGGGCATCTAGTTTGAGGAAGGACACCATGCTAAAGTCGTCGATGAGCTGCGCTACCGCTTTGTTTAAGCGGTTGAACGATGTGCCACCCATCAGGTTCTTGGTTGATGCAGGATTGCCGCCCGCATTTGCCTGTTCACCCTCCCCCACCACCTTGTGGGCGGGGTCGTCTTCCAGCAGTTCGGCGTCGGCGTTTAGGAACCGTTTAAGATCTCGCTTCGCGACCTGGCCTTTAATCAGGTCCATCTTGCTCAAGATGTTGACATGCGGCATTTCAAGCATCAGCATAGCGCTCATCGCAGAAAGCGTTCCCGCGAAGAATTTAGGTCGGTCGATGATGAATGTGGACTCGAGAAGGTATGCAGCACACATATTGATGTTCAGCGAGCCACGCATCAGGTGCTTCACCAGCTCTGGGAGGATGGGAACATGGGTGTAGAGCTCAATCTGGCCCGGCATGTCGAAAATGATCAGGTAGTCCTCGGTGACCTCGGCGAGCGGCTCGGTGAGAAAGTCAAGGTTCTCCAGCAAGAACTCGAAGCAGTATATCAGACCGCCGTTCGGGCCCAGGCTCATTTCCTCCATGACATCCTCCAGGCTTATTAGGTCTTTGATGTCGATATCGGGCTCGAAGGCAAAGTCCTCGGCGGCAGGGTCGAGGTTCACATAGTAGCACGGGCGTTTGTTGTTCTGCAGGTGCTGGATCAAGGCGGTGCAGAAGGTAGACTTGCCCGCACCGGCTGGGCCCTGCGGAATTTCAGTCACATAATATATATATGGATATACAGCTTGATATCTGGAGGCCACCATACCATGACCAGGACACCGAACTTGCTCATGGCTGCGGCTGCAGTTGCTGTGGTTGGCGTCTTGTGCGGCGGGCTCGGGGAGTTTGCAAGAAATTCTGAGTCGCGCCTGCGGTGTTAGTGCTTTCTGCCGGGAATGCCAGGCAGGGCCGCGCGGGTGGGGAGCCTATCACAGCCCGGCGCCATTCGGCGGTGAAGAACTGACGTGCTTGGGCGAAGTCGGCCCTGGCGCAGTTCCGGAGCACGTTTTTTCGGCAATTGCCCTCATAAAGACTCAGTCCGCGTCGTCTCTCTCCGCTTTTAAAACCAACACCCGCCTCGACTCCCCACCGCAGCTTCACCCTCATATCCCCTCCTCCTTCTTCTCACTTGGTCGCAAGTCCTATACTAGCACTTATTGCCTTCGTTCCTTGACCGCAACAATGACTGCTACAAACGGAGTTAAGCCCGTCACCGACACTAAGGTACTCCCCAAAACCCCCCTTCTTTGACCCCGCCCCGTGCTAATCACTGTTCTCAGGGCACTTTTCTCTTCACCTCTGAGTCTGTCGGCGAAGGCCACCCGGACAAGATCTGGTAAGTCCCACATCCACGCGGCCCCCGTTCGCACACTCCAGCTTCCGAACCTCGATCCTCCGAAAAACACCGCACCGTCCATGCGGAAATTCGTATCCCGGCTTTGGTTTTCTTTTCTTGGCCTGTTGGTGGTCATAGCACTATTACTCTCCAAATTTTCAGCTGACATGTCTCTGCAGCGATCAAGTATCCGACGCTATCCTCGATGCCTGTCTCAAAGAGGATCCCTTCTCTAAGGTCGCCTGTGAGACGGCCGCTAAGACTGGCATGATCATGGTCTTCGGCGAAATCACGACCAAGGCCCATCTCGACTACCAGAAGATCATCCGTGGCGCCATCAAGGACATTGGCTACGACCACTCAGAGAAGGGCTTCGACTACAAGACCTGCAATGTCCTTGTTGCCATCGAGCAGCAGTCCCCGGACATTGCCCAAGGTCTCCACTACGATGAGGAGCTCGAGAAGCTCGGCGCTGGTGACCAAGGTATCATGTTCGGATATGCTACCGACGAGACTCCGGAGCTGTTGCCGTTGACCCTTATTCTTGCCCACAAGCTCAACTCTGCCATGAAGGAAGCTCGTAATGATGGCAGCCTGCCATGGCTGCGACCAGACACTAAGACCCAAGTCACCGTCGAGTACGCACACGATGGTGGTGCCGTCGTCCCTCTCCGTGTGGACACTGTTGTCGTTTCTGCTCAACACAGCGAGGACATCTCCACCGAAATGCTCCGAAAGGAGATCAAGGAGAAGATCATCAAGAAGGTCATTCCCGCCAAGTACCTTGACGACAGGACCGTCTACCACGTACGTCGAATCAACATACCCGATAGCTAACGTCTAACATTCCCCAGATTCAACCCTCAGGCCTCTTTATCATTGGCGGTCCCCAGGGTGATGCCGGTTTGACTGGTCGTAAGATCATTGTCGACACCTACGGAGGTTGGGGAGCCCACGGTGGTGGCGCTTTCTCCGGCAAGGACTACTCCAAGGTCGACCGCTCTGCCGCGTACCTTGCGCGCTGGATCGCCAAGTCGCTTGTTAACGCAAAGCTAGCTCGTCGCGCTCTCGTTCAGTTGTCATATGCCATTGGGGTTTCGGAACCTCTCTCTCTTTTCGTCGAAACCTACGGCACCTCGGATAAGACCTCTGAGGAACTCGTTGAGGTTATCCACAAGAACTTCGATCTGCGTCCCGGTGTTATTGTGAAGGAACTCGACCTCACGAACCCCATCTACAACCAGACGGCCAAGAACGGCCACTTCACCAACCAGGACTTCACTTGGGAGAAACCCAAGGTCTTGAGACTCTAAGTGTACGATTATGTTTGTGCATGTGTGGATTGAATCAACTTCATCCATAAAGAAAACCTAATGATGATATGACATGCATATTTGGCGGGTAAAATTCGTCTTTCAACAAGTTCGGCGTCGGGATGGGGGATATACCAATGATACCTCTCAAAAGTTTTTCTAGCATTCATCTGATGGAAAGGCTTTTCCCGAGTCAATTCAACATAGATTCCTGTTAGTCATCAAACAATTTGCTCAGCAATGAGCATGGCGTTTGGAGATTGAAACTCCTTGGGCCTGGGATTCAGTTGATCGGCCCCAGGTTGTGGAGAATGCACGGGGTCGCGGAGTATGGAGCTGTAATGTTTGGATAAGATAGAGCGCATTGAAAAGCCAGGGGTAAAATCTTGGCTTTAGTGCAATCAATTGTCTTTTTCAATGCCTCTTCGGACCCGATTTTGAACGGTGGAGATAATTCAAAGGCCAACACTCACACAGCCATCAATCCGATCAGGCTATTCTGAGTAACTTACACTAGTCGTATCCGCAAGCAAAATCGTGCCAGAGTGAAACCTCAGGCGTCCAGGAGACACCATAATTATTCCCGTCCGAACTTTTCCAACGTGTTTCCAAATAGCTGTCGACACCATGTGGCGGTGGCAAGCTCCTGAGGTCTAGCAGCGTCCAGAAGGTCCGAGGTTTTGTTTGATTCCATGAAGCAAGGAATTTACACAGCCCCATATGTCCAGGAACGTCATCAACGTGCGAACGCCGCTCGTGATTTGACTCCAACAGTACTAACGCCACCTGTGATTAGCAAAGGATGAGGTAGGCGGGGCTGTACCTGCGCTTGTGCTTCAATGCCATATCACGATAAGTGTTTGTTTCAGTTCGTTCGCTCCTTCAGTCCGCAAGTCTCACGTCACTCTCTGTTCTTTTCCAAGCTTCATAACCTCATTTCTCAAAGTCGAATCTCTCTCTAAACTCCTTTTACACACATTTTCAACCCATATGTCCACTTCAAACCCCCCACCACCAGACGCCGCAGACGCCCCACCCTCCTATGAATCCGCAATAGGCTCTTCCACCCCTACAGCCCGCATTTCCACCGACTCTCTAGCTGCACGCACTGCCCGCAATGGAATCCCCCCAGAGCGTCGCAGAAGCATGGAAGATGAAAACCGGCCACTGCCACCAGGCTGGATCCGTCAATTCGACGCCACAGAACAACACCAATTCTTCGTCGACACGAAAGCGAGTCCACCGCGCTCAATATGGGTGCATCCGTACGATGACGACGAGTACCTCAGCACGCTAAGTCCGGAGGAAAGGAAGGAGCATGGGAGGATGAGGCGGACGATGACGATGGATGATTTGGCGGCGGAGAGCTCGGATGATGAGGGGCATGGGCATCACCATAGCGCGGGCGCGCAGCTTCCACCCCGAGGGGGAGGAGAAGGGAAACCAAAGGGGATTCATAAGTTCGGGAGGAAGATGAAGGATAAGCTTACGGCGACTACGCATGAGCAACGTGAGGCCCAACGCCGAGAACGCGAGGAGCAGGAAAGGAGGGCGTATATGGCACATATGCAGGCAAGACAGGCTATGGTGCGTGCACTGGAAACGGGTCAGCCGCAGTTTTTGTGTAAGGATGCACAGGGCAGAGATGTGTATATCGAGCCGCCGAATGGACCGGCCGTGCCGAGGGGTGCGTATGGATATAATCCGTATGCAGAGGGTCCGTATACAGATCCCAATGCGAGGTTTGTGAGACCTGCCGGCCCTTATGGTAGGCCATATGGCCGTGGATACGGCGGGGGGTTGGGAGCGCCGGTTGCGGCGGGATTTTTGGGGGGTGCGCTGTTTGGGGGGTTGTTGTTTTGAAGCAAGACGAGGAGATGGGAAGAGAACAGTGAACATAGGGAAGAATATTGAGTATTTCTTAGTTTCCCAGCTTGGGGTTGCTCTGGTTGGGTTGAACAGCCGTAGGTTGAGGGAGTTAGAAGGATTTTTTAGCAATGGTTGTGTTTTATGGTGTTGAGCGATTTCCTTTTCTTGTTGATATTGCATTCCTCTTGGTCACTTTCTGATTCAGCAGGTATTCGTCTTTACATCATCTCTTTCTTCCTTTAAATTACTTAAGTTACATTTCTTATGTCACCGTTCCGTCTGTACGGTCTGCTAGTTATTCGCCAGATTCGCAGTACCGACGTCCCTAGATTAAAGAACTACTACACGAACTAGGTTACACGGAAAGGGCCATGCTCGTTCTTCTAGACACATGCCATTTGGAAGAAACCAGCCATTCGCAAGTCTCCAGACTTAGGTTCTTAGATAAGTTTTACCTTTGTGTTACTCTAATAGGAAACTAGAAGCTCAATCTTTCATTGATTGAGCTCCACGCTCGAATAAACGTCGGATAGGGAAGGGATGAATACTTCGACATCTATAAAAGGAAGGTAGTTTACTAGCTAATAGTAGTTTAGAGCTAGTTCTTGTCACAGTCCGCATAAATCAATATGAAAATTTGGGTTGGTTTGGAAGCCACTTCTTCTTGCCTAGTTCCGATCACCTCCTTTCACGTCTGCTAATTTCGACCTCCTGTTAGTAAGGCGGTATAAGCATTTCACCCCCAAATCATTCGATTTTAACACATTTAATATATTCCAATTTTGACCCAGATACAACGATGATTTCCGACCAGTCCATCATGGCAATGCCTCACAAAGCTGTCAACAAGGTCTACAATAGTAAGATCCCAGTCCGTATGTTCCAAGCATACGAAAACTTGACTCCAATTTTAGGCGCCTTCCAAAATGCGGCCCACAAGGGCACGTCTCAGGGTTCTTCAACGGATGCCTTTCAGTTCCTTCGTCAACCTCTCAAGTCCTAGGAAATCGGTGAAGGCAAACAATTAGAGCATATCACTAGCACCAAGACTGCCGATGCCCCTACAGCGCACAGCGATGCCACCTTCATCGGCCTGTATATGGGCTGGTCCGATCCCGACCACTACGAGATCACTGAACTCTGCTTTACGGTTCTCCTGAGAAGTGACTTCTGCAAACATAGCCATAACTCCACTGTGAGATATACCATGAAGAGGGTTATGGCCTGTCATGCTTAGACCCAAGAACGTGGCCGCTTTCTGAATCATTTCGAACTCTTAACTTCCGAAGCTCCTGACCACTTCCTCTTTCGCAGAGACGAAGTTTGTAGCCCAAGATGAAGCGAAGGTCATTCAGCAGACCGACGAGCATATCGCTGCGAATTGTTCGGTCGAGGTGTAATGTGAGATGGGCGGGAATCGTGAGTATGAGGGGGTGAAAATAAAATCTATCACATACAAGGCCTCAGAGTGCTACTAGGTTCTCGATGTTGAGTTGGCGGTTGGAAGCTCGGGCGGAATTTTATTGATGGATTTGGGTATGTTCCTAGCGATACGTGCCCCATGGCTTGAATAGCGACCGTTTGTGAAGCATCACTTGGCGTGTTTTGGCTCGATTTTGGGCGCGAAGGTAAGAGGAGCGATCAGCAGTTCTGGCTTGGTTGGACTGCTCTGAGTGCATCCTTTACTTGAGCTGAATAATGAGCAACCTTTGAACAATGATGAGGGTGACACTTTCTAAGTCCCCAAAGCTGGTGTGCATATTGATGCAAAGTCTAACAATCATTTCAATTCCAACTTTAGGCCTTTCTTCGCAGCTAGAGAGCCTTCCGGCTTGGGTCGTGATTGCCTCCCAACCCAAGAAACACACCGCTCTGCCTGTCTCATCAGCATACAAACTTGGGCGTTTAGCTAATCCAACCTTGAAGCCCCTGACCACCTCATCTCTCTCCTTATGTCTCAGTCCAAACCATCAACCCCTCGACATCGATTGCTCGCCGCGGCACCCGCAACCCCAAATCTACCACCTCGCCAGACCTCAGAACAAATATGATTATCAGTCGGTGGATGGAATTGAAGGAGGACATCCCATAAAGGATGGTGGGATTTTGAATGGCGCCGTTTGACTGCCTAGCCCTCCACTCGGAGAAGTTGATCACATCGACTGGATATTTCTAACCTAGAAGTCGCCTTGTTAATTTTGGCTGACGTAATTCCTTTCTTTATAGGTCCCTTCTTGCGCCACTATCGACTACAGAGCCCAAAAGATCGTCACCTGTCGTTGCGTGGGATGAAGTATGTGCAGAAGGCAAAGGCGGATCAGGGTGATGGAAGAACCACCCATAGCACGCCGCGTTGGCAGGAAAGAGGTCCCCATGGATAAGAAGAAGGGGAGGGGCTCATACAGATTAATATATGTGTCTTTTTTGGAAGCTAAGCCAAGATGTTTGAGTCAGTGATGCCTGAGACTGTGAAAAAAAGGGCGTGGATGTTGGCCATCTACAGCCCTACCATAGAGTAGAAACCTAAACCTGTGCTTGCCTCTCGCGTGATCAAGCGCTAAGTGCCGTACCAGGTAGTGGATTTCTCGGCTTGACTTGAGAGGTTTTGCTCCTACCTGCAGCGTTAACACGGTACGATCCTAATTTGTGTGCCGACATCCTCTACCCTTTCGATCATTGCCTAATTCTGATATCACGAGTCAACGCCTGATTTTCCTAAGGTGGGTCCCACAACTCAAGCCTTCTCATCAAACACTTTCTTTTGCCCCCACGTCTCCCACATTCTTCTCTTTATGTCCAGAATGGCCTTCAATCTCTGGCGGATGCAACACTTTCAGACTCACATCCTTCCTCTCCGGCCCAATCAACGTAAGAATTAACGTGAAACCAACGGAACAGGCCAGAAAGATGCAAATCACAAGGCCATAATTATACCGCTTCACTCCTTTCTTCGTTGGTGGCAGGGGATACCGTTCCCCCATCGTCGCCTCAATTGTCGAGCTCGCAGCCGACACCAAATTTCCCAACTGGTAACTCGTTCCAACCATGAACGTGCGAAGCGAACCAGGCGATAGCTCCGTCAAGTGCGACGGTACAACTCCGAATGCACCTTGGATGCAGAATTGGAGGAAGAAGGCTGAAGCCATGACTGCAGTGGTGGAGACGTATGTATAGGGATAGATCAGCGCACTACCAACAACACAATAAACGATCACGGTAAGCCGACGACCGAAAATTTCGGAAACGTGACCTGCGGTTATACAGCCGGTGATGGAGCCGAGATTGGCGACCACTTGGGTTACGGTGAGAGCGTCGGGAGAGAATCCGAATTGGTTCGTGAGGAGAGTGGGGTAGAGGTCTTGGGATCCGTGGCCCTGTAGATGGATCGTGAGTGGAAACTGGAAGATAGTCTAGAGATAATGGCACTGACCATAAAACTGAAGCCCGACATGAAGAGCACCATATATACGAACATCAGCCAATGGTTCTTCAATGCAAGTCGACCCTCTTCTAAAAACGTCTTGGTGGCATGGTGCGTCGAGTTCCGGATTGCTGCCCGTTCACGATATGCCGTCGTCTCTGGCAAGCACAATCGAAACACGATGATCAATACCGGTGGACATGCGCCGAACCAAAACAGAGGTCTCCACCCATATACCGTAGTATTCACCAGTCCTCTCGAAAACGCCGTAGCAAGAAGGTATCCAAAGGCATAACCGGCCTGAAAAATCCCCGAGAGAACTCCTCTCGCTTCAGATGGAGCATCTTCGAGCGCAGTTGCTGCAGCATTCCCATACAGGCCTCCCATCGCTATTCCGAAAAGAGCACGACATGCTAAGAAAGAACCGTAGGTGGAGGTGAAACCTGTGCCGAGTTCGAGAACAACGAATAGGAGGTTGTTGATGATGAATGGCCATTTACGGCCATATCTGTCGGACAGGAGACCGAAGATGACGGCGCCAACGGAGCGCAGCATAAGAACGAGTGTCATTCCCCAGGTTATTTGGGCATTCGTTTTGCCGAATTGTTTGGCCAGTGGTTGGACAGTCAAACTGACAGTGAAGAAGTCAAAGGCGTCCCATGTCCAGCTTGAGAATGCGCACTATAGATTGTTATTATATCGTAGATATGGTGCAGCGACAAATTCATACTAGAAAGAAGAGCCATTGGGTGCGGTTCAAGCTTGCTAGAAGAGTGAATGGATTTGCGACCTTGCTCATCGGCGGTCGCAGAGTCGAGATTCGAGTCCTGACATACTCTCCAGGGCTGATCTTTGCCGGCTCTGGTTCGAGATACTCCTCTACGAGTCGAACCTGCGCATTATCAATATCATTCGGCATTCTTGAGATGCCTGGGTGGGGAAAAGATCGAGGAGGATCGGGAAACGGAAACCTTGAATAGAATTAGCATGAAGCCATCCACAGCTTTGATCTACTCTTATTAGTTTTCTTATGTGGGAACCACATTTTGCCTATGCAGAAGAAATCTCACGCCGATCGGTGGGTGTGTCGTACAGCAGCATGAGGTGTCTGACTGCTACATGGTGAATCCCAGAAACATGCACGCCTAAACCTTATTGACTAGCGGCAGTTAAACTCCTGGTCTCTTTCAGTAATGTGGCCAATCAACGAGACGAGGTATCGTATATAACAAAACCCTTTCCACCGGCTCCTCCCTCGACATGCCCACTGTACCTCCATCCACGGGATTTTTGTTGGAGACCATTTAGATGAGAACCTAGTATTCATTAATCCTTTAGATCTGAGGAAAGATAGAAAGAATAATCCCTGCGCCTGCCGGTCTATAAGACGCAAATTAAGATTCAAAGAATCCGACAGAAAGTGCGGAGCGACTGAATCAAAGTGAGGAATGATTTCGAACGTGTTTCAGTTTGGAACTATGGAGCTGAATTTGCAGTACAGAACTTAAGGAAGGGTTTGTTGAAGATGGACAGGACTTGTAATACCTGGAGGTGAGGTGTACCTCATACGTCAAGTTTCCTGAGGCCTGTTGGTATCCTTCCAGATAGTTTCGCGCCGGCATAAGTTTTGAAGATAGTAATCGGGTGTAGGGCTGTCACTCGTAATTTGGCATGGCAATTTATCGACGCTATAGAAAGTTTGTCCTTTAAGTGTTGCATCCAACACACCGGGTCAGGAAACGGTCCCGAATCGGAATCTTAGCGAGCTAATGCTTGCCATGTGCAGATACCCGAATGAGCAGAGAGGAGTGGAGGGCTGAGAAAGATTAAATGCGGGGTTAGTTCAGTAAGAATGCCGGTAGAAGAAATAACGATCTATTATTTTTGGAAGAGATAGCAGGGATGATCTCCCGCTGCAAAGAGAGGATTATCGTACATGTCATCTCCTGAGAATACAGGCGGCGATTTTTATCCCAAAGATGTCGCGTAGGTGCCCGAAAAGAGAGATCTACAACACACATCTTCTAACTGTCTTTCCCATAGCACCCAAGAACTCCTATCAAAGTAAGCAATGATGCAGACTGAATGTTGCATTAGCTTCCTATCTTTCTACGATTTCTCCTTCTTCCAAGAGATTCCCCAAACAGCGCTTTCCAGAATGTCACAGATTCCCAAGGCAAGGGAGACAGACCTACAAGAGGCTGATAACATTCTATCCCTTAAAAAAACCATCGGAAAAGATGTAGTAAATGAAGGACATCGGCATCAAGATTAAAAAGTCCATGATGAAAGCCAAGGTCATGGAGAGAATCAGTGCGAGTTTGAACCTTCTTTAGAGGCTCTTCGAACCTCGAATCATCTTCTCATCTTCTAATATTTCGGTATCTTCCTCACGGACGATGTGAAGCTTTCCGGGAAGTGCGGGTGTTTCGGTGGGTTGTTTCTCATTGTCAGCTGGGGTCGAATCGCCCGGAAAGCTTGTCGCAGAGCCTGTCACAGAGCCTGTCGCAGAGCCGGTTACAGACACATCGCCCGCCATGGGCATTGGTGTGGGCGGATACTCTAGCTTTGCATTGATGGTGCGCGTTATAGCCCAGTCGAAATCATCTAGCTTATCATGGAAATCGTGAAACTGACGACCAATTCAGTGAGAATGCCGGCCGTCGCAGCAACCGTTAGTTCTCCGTAGTAGGACTTTACCTCCGCAAGCCATACGGTCAACCCTGCGGCTAGCCCGCTCAAGTGTCACACAATTGCCACAAGTCTCAACTGTTTCCCCTAGTATAATGTAAATGCAGCAAGGAAGACCGTTTCCCCAATAATCAAAGCCCATTACGAGGAACGACCATCCAATATCAATACCAATGGCATTCCAAATACAAGCAAAAGTGGTAATGACCATATCAAAGAGGCAGGTCATGATATGCAAAATGAAGATGGGTTGCCGGGGTGTGGTAGTAGGCTTCATATAGGTCTTGAAGACATTGAATGTCAAGAACGATGAGACCGCAGTGAGTTAAGCCGAGGAAGAAGAAATGCGGCAATAAACAGGGCAATCAACAAAGCAATAATACTATCCTTTCCAATGAGGGTCGCAGTACCACATGCCGCAGAAAGCTCGCTCGAAATAGCACGTTGCTAGTAACCTGAACAAGTACCGTTAGCTTCAGATTTTTTGTCACTCCATCGAGAGTGTTTTCTCAGGATTTCCCTTGAAGGGTCTCGATAATTCTGGGTCTACTGTATCATATCACTTAACGGGGAACTGACTAGGTTGTAATTCAGGACAGAAATTAGCGGCTTGTTAGCGCTCTCCCTAAATCTAGCAAGAGGTTCAATAGATAGAGTCCACCTAAACTATATTCCACACTATATCATAAGATACAGCAAAGAGAACAATGCAGGAGTTCTAGCACTCACTTTCCTTGATCAAGCAAGGCCGTACCTATCCCAGAGCAAATCTGAAATGACGCCGAAAAATGAGGCCACCATTTAACTTACATGTGAGGTATAAGTCGTCGGTTTGCCAGCAACAGGGCAGGGTTTGGAAGCATGTTACTCGTTTGTTAGTAGTTGTTCTGCTTCACTTAAAGGCGCTTTTCATAGTAACTTGCTGCATGGAGTTCCCGTACCCGCGAGGCCGGGCCGATGAGATCGTCCGTAGTATATGCATCAAACATGAAGTACAAATACGATTTGCTTTACATAGACAAAGGCGTAGATCTTCACCCTACATAGAATGGGTCTGAGGCTCTATATTAGTAGCCAGCATAGAAGACTGCAGAAGACTTGCAGCCCAAGTCCAGGCTGATACTACGCTGCATGCAATGAGACCTGGTTGGCACTACGACTTGCCTTGTTGAATTCTTCGCTAGATTTTGTTGAATATCTTGTGTATTTTGGTGGTTATTAGGGAATGGACTGAAGGCGGATCGACACAGCGGAAGGTTCCCGAGCCTAAGATATTCTCATCATGACTTCGATAAACAAGAAACGTATCCCAACCACGATTCCATAACTCGCTTCCCGGGGTAAGATTGGAGCTACCACGGTTGCAGCTATCGTAAGCGCTGGGATAAAGATGTCCAAGTACTGCCCTAGAGAGACTAATTTTCTGGAGTAAATGTAAGAGGCCACTGTACATGGCTCTAAAATAGTGAGAAGTAATCTCAGAGGGTAATTAGCCAGAGACAAAGGACCTTCAAAAGTGGTGGCAAGCTAAGTTGATATGCCCTTGCAGCGCTTTTGGCTCAGCCCGCTTCGCCGCAGGAACTTGAGATGTGCATGCTCTTTCTTTTGATGAGGGTATAGTGCTGATAACATCGGTTCCCAGACCGACGTGAAAACTAGGACACTGGGCAGAAATTTTGGAGCTGGAGAGAAGAGCAGAGTCCCCGAAGAGAGGGGGTTGGCTGATGATAAGAACTCTGGCCTGATGGTTCGGCTTAGGTGGCCCAGCCGGGTGCAGGCTTTGAGGTGCTTCTTGGTTAGGCTTTGGCGTTGAAGTCGCTGTCAAGTATTCCATGCCATTTCTTGGAAGGCAAAGCTACGGGATTGTGGAAAATGTTATTGGCAAAACCGCTAGCCAGTATGGGGTAGTCTTGGAGACTCGGGCGAGGGAGTGGGACTGCATCTTCTTAACAAGGGGGCTACTGTGATTCAGGACGGAAATCTGCATCCTATTGGTGGTCTCCTCAAACCCAGGAAGAGATTTAACACATAGACTCCACTATAGCTGTATTCCGTATTCCGTATTCCTTGAAAGTGGAGAGGCTCCAGATCAGAGATCTATGGGAGTGTAGCTGGACCGATGTTGATAGCTAAACGATCCGAATCGCGCCCAAAGAACCAGCTACTAGTGCAGCACTCTATCACGTATGAACTAAAGGAGGATATAGATACGTGAGTCTCAAAAGGATGATAATTTGAGTCTGAGGGGTTTTGGGCCCCCATTCGGCAAGTGTTCGGCGATGTGCTTGAAAAAACTCGGGGGGAAACTCAAACGTGTCTGATTGATGCGATAGGTGCATATTTTCGAGATAATGCTCGTGGCCTGGAACCTTGGGCGTTGTTTCGAGTCCAGTCAGCAGTCGGGAGTAGGGATGTTGCTGGATGAGCATTATGCCCCGCGATGCCAACTTCTTAGCTCATCTTCGGTGCATATTAGTGGCGTCCTGTTCAGGCAACTACATGTGATGACTGAAGGAGTCCAAGTGGACCTCATTCTAACACTGACGTGGTAACAAGTACACCACCGGGGATGCATATCCTGCTTATCACCCAAACTCACAAGACGTTAAAACTCAAGAGGGTCCCTAATCCCTGTTGACACGATTAGTCGCCCCTCGCCCTTCGCCGCCGGCCTGATAGTTGAACTCCAACATGACGATGCGGAAAAAGACCCCTGGTATGTACAGGGCACATTGGGGGTAATCCTGAACTAATAGCAAATCTGGGAAGATGTTCATCCGGGAACTGTGACGGAGAGGAGCGCTGGATAAACAATGCGCGCCCTCTGATCCAGGACTTTAAACTTCATCCTCTCTGCATTCGAAAATGCATGCATTCGCACAGATCTTCGCTCGTCAATTCTATCATAACGAAGTATACGCGCCCACGCCTTGTGTAGCTGCCCATCGCAGTGTAGCTTTTAGAGCTTACAACACTACGAATGTACCTCTCGCAGATTAGCTGTCTGTCATGGGGAAAGGCTATTTTGAAAGGGTCACTAATTCGAAGACCGGTTCGACTGATAGTATTTGAAAAAAAAAAAGATATTCGCTATATGGCTCAATGGAGCATACCTGCTCTAGGACGCGTGACGTAACTTTGTACCGATGAGAACGATAGGCTAGCTCGGGACTGGTTTCGTGACCAAGTCCTTGCAATGGGAGCTGACCACAAGGCCAATACCACTGGTACTCAATTTGCAGTGTTTCTTAGCAAGGACAACAGTATAACACTAATTGCTATGGGTACCTATCTAGACACTGTAGCTGCTAGGGGGAAATTTGATTGATCGTTAGGTGTCGGTTCATACACTTATCATCTAGAAGATTTCTATATTAATCTTTATAATGCCACATTCGATTGACAAGTCAAATTATTATAAAGTTCTTGGTGGCTTCGATGTTCACCACTCAGTGCGCGGGCATCAAAACTCACGCACCCCTTGTGGTTCTCAATTGGACTAAAGAAGAAGGTGCCCGCTTCTTCTTACCACTCGGGCCCTCTGTAGATATACAGGCTAGTCAATAGTCACCGAAGCTCATGCCTTGAAGAGTAACGACCACCCCGGAATTGCGGTGGGTTGCGAGCTCGCTAAGATTGGATATGTAGGGAACGGCCCTAATACCTTTAAGGAGTTTCTGATCAGTACTCACTTCGAAATCCATGTTGAACAATTCACCGATCTTGAGGAAGCTGGTACACCCGTTGGTTGGGCTGAGGGATAGCAGGGGATGAATTGGTATTCGTTCCATTCTGCAGGAGAAGACTGTCATACCAACACCTACCCAATGTATGGGCGAAGGGATGCGTTGGTAGGAGCGGTGAAGGCCATTGCTGCTGTCAAGGCACTGGCCTGTAAGCAGAATGGCGATAATACCATCACCAGCATTCATAGTGGACTGTGGGGTGCCTGCAACACCCAAAGCAGCACTAAATTATCCTTCTGCTTAATGCACAAGCAGACCCAAGGACTAGATCCAATGAGTGTGGATATCGAGACTCAGGTCAAAGGAATTACGGCGATGCTCGGTCTGGAGCTTAAGATGCAGCGCGGCATCCACATACCACCTGGAGATTTCTAGCCGAAGCTACTGATTGTGTAAAGCGAGCGTGTGGTCAGGAAGGGACCGGGAGCCGGACGGGTATAGGCCACGATATTACCATGACTACGACTCTTATACCAACGGTCGGCTTTTTGTGCGAGAAAAGGACGGCATCAACTACAATCCAAAGGGGTGGAGCGACAAAGAGGGTTCTATGGAAGGGATACTAGTGCTTGGTAAGGCCGTGCTGGACTTCTATGAGCTCCTGAAGACGAAAGGGTCGAGGATAGAAGTGAACTACATAGATTATGTGATTGTTTAAGTTTGAGGCGCTCAACTGCCTATAAGTCAATCTGAGGCCAAATTTATCTTCCTCATGTACCCGACATGCTGCATAACCGACCATTTGCAGCTATTAATTGGATCTCTCGAATTCAGTGCTGAACGCAGAAGCAAAGCGAGAGAAAACCAGTTTGTCCACGATCAAAAATCTGTATCCTTTCCGCGGAGAAATGTCTAACATCAATGAACCATCATCCACACCTCACTATAATTACCAAGTCAACAGAATCTAAATTTTCATCGAGTCCAGCAAACAATATCATCCCTCCATCCGAAGCGCATACTGAAGGTCACGTCACCCCATTCGATCCATCCTCAACACCATAACCGGCAACCCGAATCCGGGTTCCCGACGGAAGCCGAGGTGAGCCGAGACTTTCAAGGTTTTTACATCCTGCTATATTTTATAAGTATCCACCTTTAAGCCTCCTCCTGCTCCTGGGAGTCTCTTCTCCCCAGAATCCCTTTCTCGGCTGTCTATCCCAGGAGCGATTGTCGACGTGCAAGTCATGGAACCTTTGGACGCTTCGACCCTTTTATGGACCTTTGGACCTCGGACCCACCTTGACTGGACCTGGGTGTGAGGCTCTGTTCCCGAGACGCCTGATCACGTTGGACGCTTGCTAGAGATTCCTCCCACGCTTACGTTGTCGTCGATAGCCGTCCGGCCTTCGTTCAATATCCTCACGATGCTGTCAGAGCCCATCTGAATCTTCATACCGTCACCCCATCCTCGTGCAACCTGTCTGCTCTTCGACATCGGCCGACATTGCCCTCTGCTTTCATCCTTCTGCGGTATTCTTTCTTCCATCTTCATGAACCAAATCCACTCTATTCTCACCTTCTCCCCACCTTGTCCTCGCTTCAAATATTGTAGTCTCTCCACCATCACGATACACGTCCCCACAATCTACCATGTATCACCCGCTAGCATTCGTTCCCTACCCCAGTCAGTCCATTTAGCACATTGGGCATCATTTCCCTTCCTTCGTCATCCCGCGACGTACTTGTCATTACCTAGTATCTAGATAAAGCCGCACTGTAAGAGGAAGTGGATGCGGACGCAGTCTTTTTAGAGCTTTCCTTCCGAAGTCACCTTTTTCTCCGCATACCAGCTCCACGTTTTAGTTCCAATTTCTAAACCTTCCACCTTATCCATCACGCGCAGTTTGTCAGCTCCTGCGCCAGTTTCGAGGCCCGGATTCACGGGCGCCCGGACGTGATTTCAGGTGTTGGTCACTCGCTACAGTCCAAATCCCTCAATTTTTCAATTCCTAGAATCCCCGACGTTTTCCGATGTCAAACCCCTGATTTCTCTATTCCTCTTCACCCACGCATTTGCACATCTTTTTCTCGAGGGATTTGATAGAGGCGACAATTTCGGCGACGAGAGAAATTTCATCAAGTCCATACCAATCCCCATCTCAGTTGAAAATTCCCTCTCAGCCTCCAAAAGCGCCGCAAAAAGCAAAGCCAGCGCCTCATGTGCCGCAGAACTGGTCTCTCGGAGAAAGTCGGAACCCAGCACCAGCCACACCGAACACACCTGGCCTAGTTAAGTCAACCCCCATGACCCCACTTGCGCAGCACTCCCACGGTTCCTTCAAAGCCCGAATGCAGGACATCACGGATGGGTAACGCCACCTGCATCATTGTTCGATGTCATGTCGGTCGGTCGCAAGGCAGGCAAAGCGTGGGTGGGTCTTGCATGTTGGTGGTTGTGGTGAGACGACTAAGGGTGCGGTTCCGCTGGATGGGACTACGCACTACGGGGGCAAACGGGACGTTGAGGATGCTCGGATGTTTGGTCTGCTGCTGCCGCTGGTGCGGTTCCAAAAAAAAAGCATGTGTTGACGTGCCGAGGGTGGTTCTAGAAGAGACGGACGAGGGGAGGGAGAAGACATGACATGTGTAAGCTGATTTGAGTAGGTCGAGCTTCGCGTTCTGTGGTGTGGTGAAGGAAGAGAGCATTATCCATCATACGATTGAGCTGAGATAGGGCGATGCACTAGCTGCGAGTGTGAGAACTGGGCGTGGTCCGGAAAAAGAAATATTGATACAATATCATGATATCGATATCCGCCGCGTATCGACGATAGGGGCGTAATTAAGACCGCAAAGACCAGCACCCCATCACGATCACATTATTGAATAATGAGCAGAAGCTAGAAGATTCTATGGTTCTAAAACGATCGAATTAGAATTCGCCAGCTCGACTCAGGCGCGCAAGCGCATCTTTGTCTAGGATACGCTCCGCAATCAATCTAGTAGTGGGGACAACAAACAGAGACAGAGATGAAAGGTGTCTCAAGAATAGCGGGGGAGGGAGATGGAGGAGGCAAGATAGAAAGGTAGGTGTAGTAGGCAGGGTATCTGAACCATCCCATAAAATTCCAAAAGTAAGTTTCCCCAAGTCCGTACCGCGTCTACATCTTTGAAAGTAAGGGCGCCAGTAGAGACCGAAGAATGCAAGTAGTTTGACGAAAAGCGTGTGTCAATATGCTTCCATGTACCCGTCGTGCTGTCGTCCTTGTCGTTGTCTGGATTCGTTTGTTGTATATGTGTGTTTACAAGTGAGCGGCAGCGGTATTCACTTCTCCATTCGTATAACCATTTGTATAGCCGCTGGCATGGCCATTCATACCAGAAGCAGTGGCAAGGAGTTGGGCGACTTCATCACTAACATTTTCCCTCTCGTTGAAGGGATCGTACATCCTCTCCTTGATGTACGCATCGAGCTCAGCGTCGGAAAGATTCCTCAGCTCAGTGACGCGATCAACGCCGTTCTTCTGAGCAGCACGGATGACACCACGAGTCACGATAACGGAGACATCACGGATGCGTCGGATATCGGGATACAGCCATCCATCTGCAACCTCCTGCTTGTTGAGGGAGGTTGAGAGGGATTCGGCGGAAGCATAAATCATGTCCTGCGTGACGGACACGGCCTTCGAGATGATGGCACCGAGTCCAATACCCGGGAAGACGTACATGTTGTTTCCTGGGAGACAGTCAGCAAGATCACATGTTTCGGGATTCGGATATGTACTCGGGACTTACCTTGGCCAGGAGTTAGCAGCTTTCCGCCAAACTCCATCGACGGGAATGGAGAGCCGGAAGCAAACAGACACCGCCCTTCAGTATGTCGGACGGCTTCCTCGAAAGTACACTCGGACTTGGACGAGGGGTTTGAAAGGGGGAAGATGATGGGACGATCATTCAACTTCGCCATCTTCTGGAGGATGTCGCGGTTGAAAGCGCCGCCAATTGTGGAGAGACCCATGAGAATGGTGGGCTTCACGAAGTCGATGAGGCGGGCAAGAGACTGGTATTGACGACCGTTGTTGTCGTCACGGGCAAAGTAGACCTTGTGCTCTGCAAGCTTGTCGCCGCGATCTAGAGTGACCAGACCGTGGGAGTCAACGAACCAGAACTTACGGCGAGCCTCTTCCTCGGTCAGGCCCTCTTTAATGAAGTACTCGACGATCTGCTTAGCGACACCGACGCCAGCACTGCCAGCGCCCAAAAAGACGGCTCGGTGGTCCTTAGCAGGCACACCAGAAGCCTTTACGGCATTAATGAAACCGCCGACGATAACGGCACCAGTGCCCTGAACATCGTCATTGAACATGGTATACGTATTTTGGTACCGTTCGAGGGCGGGGAAGGGATTCTTGAAGTCCTCAAATTGAATAACAATGCTGCACGAGATCAGTTCCCCAGTCTAGAGTTACGCGGAGGAGCAGAGGTTGTGACTCACCCAGGCCACTGCTCCGTGAGAGCCTCCATTAGCTCATCCAAAAACTCCCTCTCCTCTTCAGCGGAGACCTTTGGCATCCTGGCGCCCATGTAGAGTGGGTCTTCGCGGAGAGCCTGGTTGTTTGTTCCCAAATCAAGCGTCAATGGCAGCGTTGCATCCGGCCTGATACCAGCACAGGCTGTGTACAGAGCCAGCTTGCCGACTGGAATACCCATGCCGTTCACACCCAAGTCTCCAAGACCCAGAATACGTGACCCATCAGTGAGCACAGTAATTTCAACTTTGTGGGGCCAATTGTGGAGGATGTTTCTAAGGTTGCCGCGGTCGTGCCAGGAGAGGTATACACCCTCCGGCTGTGTGAAGATCTCGTGCCAGCGAACGCAGGCCTCGCCGACGGTGGGGGTGTAAATGAGAGGAGTCAGGTCCTGTACAATGATCAGCCTTTCACATCCGAATAGTCAGGAATGCATATCTGACCTTGATGTTCTCCGACAAGAGACGGTAGAAGAGGTGAACGTTGGTGGCCCGGAGATGAGTCAAGTACTGATATTTCTCAATTGGCGTAGGCTTCATGGCCAGGAGCCGGAGACCTTCAACGGAGTCAGTGGACAGTCCAAAGTGATCACCGCCTGACCAAGGGACTACCCACATCTCTGCGCCTGCACTTCGAAGCTCTCAACGGCTGGCGGAGTCAGACCGTAGGTGCGGAGGTATTGGCGCACATCTGGTGGATTGCTTGTGCAGTAATCACCACTCCTGTAAAGCTGCTTGTTAGGAACAATGGAATATTTCAAGTGGATGGGAGCAAAAATGCTCACGTTGTGCTGAGCTGCCTGGGCGGCATGTTGGGACGGGATTGAGACATAACTGCAACAGAAGCCATTGAACGATATGATCTTGGGGAGCAAAACAATCTTTGGAGAATAGTAGTTTGGCCTGCAGCGGGAAGGCCAGCTTTTATGGGATTGAACTTTAGCATTGACACCCTAAGGGAGAGGATGAAGCACAAGGCCGCGGCATATGGCAAAAGAAATAGTAGGGAAGGCCGAAGGTTCTGAGGCGTGGATGAGGGATGGCGCAGCCTATCGGAGTCCATGAAAAGGCAATTAGGAGGAGAGCCGTCGGAACAACAGACTGCAACAGACATGTAACAAAAAAATTCCCACATGTGCCCAAGCCAGCCTATGCACACTACACAGGGATGCGGGATGCCTGCAAGCCTGATCGCCACGATGCGGCGCCCGCACAGGCGTCGGGAGGACTCGGAAGAACGAAAACGATAGCGGCCTGGATCACGACGAAAGTCCACGTCCGCCACGCCTTTCACGGCGGGCAAAAGCTGGGGAGACCGGGCAATGGGCCGGACTCTTCTTTGCACCCCACGGCTCCGCACCTGTTGTGTTGAGGAGGAGAAGCCCGCCGCCCACTACTCGTTCGTGCCAAAGCGTGAGTTCCTTGGGCTTCGACAGCAAGGGAATGTCACGATAGAGCACGGATCCGGGCCTCGAGCGATTTTCCCCCTCGCAAGAGTCAGCAACGGCGTTAAGAGACACAAAAACATATTAAAATCGCTCTGTAATTTCAAATTTGCCGTAGACATCTGTGCTCGCACCGGGTCTTACGGCATCTGTCTCGGATTCGACGACGGGGAGTTTTCTGGCCTCAACTCATCAATGTGATGGGGGGTTGATGAGGAGCTGAAGACATCCACCTGATTGCTATTGGCGCGCGCCAACGACGCTGATCTGGAGGCATTGGATAGCTGCACCATGTTCACACCGACTGGCCTCGTCTATCACCTCAAATACCGTCTCCCTGGCGCTATTCAAAGACCGAAGTATTTGCGGATTGTCGGTGTGAGACGACGATACGGACACCCTGGCGACGAGCCAAGAGGCTGGTTCTTTCTTTGACTCGTGCATACTTTGCGGAAGCACTCGCGGCTGAAGGGGAAATGTACTACTGTATGTCTCATTGCAGCAAGTGATGAGAAAGCGAAGTGATAGTCCGTTCTCCGCAAGAACCCATGCTGTGCTGTCTGCAGCTAAAGGATGAAAGCGGATCGCGCCGGACCCTGCTGGAGAAGGCTATCGATAGGACTCCGACGTGACGGATGCGGGGAAAGCTTCGAGAGCTTCCATTATTGCCTGGCGCCGCGTGGGCGATGGGGGAGCGCTCTGGCCGTTTGTGCCTGAAACTTTGCAATGCGAGGCACGCGACTCATTGGACTCAGGCGGCAAGCGGTGAAAGTGAAAGTTTTGGGCGGCATTGGGATCACGTAAGGAGTTGCTGGTGGCGACAGGCCATTTGTCCTCTCGCAACAATAGTCACCGAAGCGTTGAGGGCCTCGAGGTGCAGTCTTGGTCGTCTTGGTGTTTTGTTGGAGAATCACGTGACTGTGGAGGGGACGGAGGGGAGAAACTATTGACCTAGCTGCATCAATGACGTCGGCGCTTGACATCCACCGCTCGTCACTTTGAGCATGGGCTTGACGTGTGCGGAGAACACAATTAGATTATGTAGGCCGCGCCTTTAACCCCATATCTCCTCTCTCACCACTACTCTCTCTATCTCTCTGGCAACATGTCTTCTTGCTTCGGACTGCGTAAGTCGCATGCCGACGACCAGCGCCCGCTGCTCCCTCAGTATCAAGATGATACTACAATGCAGAGACGGCTTCATCAGAAGCTGCACTCGTATCAGATGTTCCGGGCTCTTTCCAAGGGATTCATGCCATCCAACGAGCAAGCGATTGTCAATTTGCGGAGCCTACTATCCGCCGACATGCTCAATCCTGATAATCCAGACCTGAGCGACTCGGGCCGGCTGCTTGTAAAATACACCAAGCAGTGGCTTCACGAATTTATCAGCCTGTTACAACATAAGAACAATAGTGACCAGATCCAGGACTTCGTCTGGTACTTGTCCAAGTCGAAGATATCCGTAGATGTGGACGATATTGCCCAGCGTGCGTCCAGGGCGAAGTCCAAGGCTGATGCAGTAGCTGGTACGTGTTGATAGTCTTTTCTTTACTATTTATGCAAGCCCGCTGATATATCGTAGCCTACAGAAGTTTGCAGACAGTGGGTTCGCTGCTATTGACCAATTCCGACTTCCGCATATTCCTCTCCGACCTCAACGTCATTGGCCGAGAAGTGTTCAAAGACACGGCCTTCACACTGTCCGAAGTTGCCGAGGAAGCTGGAAAATCAATCGAGCCTTCAAGTGCCGAGCAGAAGACACTTAAAGAACCAGGTGCAGATTCGGGTCCTCCTCCAAGCGCAGATAATCTGAATGGCGATGTCATTGAGGTCGCCAAGGTTGTTGGCTCGGGTGCAGCAAAGGTTGCGCAGGAGGCAGAAAATAGTCTGGTAGACAAGCTTGCAGGTGAAGAGGGGGGCTCGTTGCTATATCGATTAAAGCAGGCCGTCACAAATTTGAAGAAGAAGAAGGACTACTCCGACTCCGTCTCCACACTTTCGCTTCTGCTCCAACGGTATGCCATGACGTATTCCCGCGTCGTAGAAGACACAATGGGTGCCGCGCAGAAAGACGTAGACTCCAATCCAGCAATGGACCGAGCAGTGAAGAACTTCTGGACTCTGCTGAGTTCGTTCGGAGAAAGAGAAGAATGGAAGAAACTTGAAGAGTGCTTCCACAAGGTGATGGATCACTCCAAAAAAGATCCAGAATTCGAAAGCTTGATGAACGAAATCGGAAACTCACTCCAGAAACTACTGACAGATCCCAGCTTTCTCGACCATGCTGATGAAAAGTTCCAGGAGCTTAGGAAGAAGTCACGTGGAATTGGCACCGACTCCTCCCTGCGCGAAGACGTGGACAAGCTCTTTGAGCAGGCGCAGAGGACATTCGAATCAGTGACTCGAGATCAGGATGTCGCAAATTTGATAAAGACTTCTATACGCATCGTCAACATTCTCTCACCAAGACACAGTTATACGAACAACGAGCTCGTAAGTGACGCAATCAACGTCTTCGTCCCGCTCTTAATCCAGGCTATTCAATACATCCCCATCCCTCGCCTCGAAGTCTCAACTCCAGAAGTCGACCTCCTGCTCGAAAATCTTATCATCGAGCCCGGAAAAACTATCAACCACACATCCTTCCTCCCCTTCCGTTTCCGCGCCGAGACATACAACAATTTCGAAATCCGCAAAGCCCGCTTTCGCACCACGTCTAAAATAACCTCTCTCGTAACTCTAAAAATCGACGGATTATCCCTGCGAGCCGACGAAATAGGCTTCCTACTCCGCGCGCACTCTGGCCTCCTCCGTCTAGCTGACGAAGGCATCGCATCATTCCACCTCGACGAACGCGGCATCGACATCCACCTGGACGTCGATATCGCCAAAGAGCGCAAGGAACAAATCCTCTCCCTCCGCGCCGTCAGGGTTCACATCCACAAACTAACCTACACCCTCCGCAAGTCTAAATTCTCCATCATCGGCTGGCTCCTCAAGCCCTTCCTGCGCCCGCTCATCCGTAAGGTCATGGAAAAGCAACTCGCAACCGCAATCGCAGACACTATCCACGCTGCAAACCGCGAACTAATCTTCGCCAGAGAACGCTTGCGGGCAACTAGGATCGCGGATCCAGATGACCTGCGAACGTTTCTAAAGGCGGTGCTAACGAGGTTGACACCGGCGGAGGATCCGGATGTGCTTACGAGAGTCGGGGTTGCAGAGCCTGGGAAGGGCGTTTTTAGAGGGAAGTATGCGCCTGGTAGTGTGGTTAAGCTTTGGGAGGACGAGGCAAAGAGGGCGGGGGAGAGAGTCGATGAGTGGGATGAGGGGGGTTGGAGGAACGAGGTTTTTGATTTGCATGCTATGATGATGTGAGGGTCTGAAGGTCTGAAGGGGTAAGGTGGAAAATTCAGCATCTGAGGGCCCCTTACAAATTGGACGTTATTATGTGTATTCTTGGGTTCGCATTGTGCATGTTTGTATTAATATATTGTGGGTGGAACATGCTGCCACTACTGTATGTATATATGTGTGTGTATATATGTCCTCAATAGCATTCTTGATCGATGAATTCTGCTCTTGGGTACCTTGGTATGCCTTCTCTTTCACTTAACGATAGCACAAGCACAGTTGTAGCGGAAGTCGCATGCAAACCTCCGTCAAACTCTAGCGTCGGTGAAGCATCGGTCAATCTCACCTCATTATTTAATTCACGTTTTGTAAACTCACGGACAGAAGGCTGATAGGAATCCAACGGGCCGAATAACCCTTGAACGTTCTCTCTCCCGATACATTGGATTCCCCTAAACCGAAGAAAATGCCGCCTCTTCCATTTGGCCGTTTCCACTAATTGTCTTTTAGTTGTTCGCTGCCAACTACAAAGGATATACAATGATCTAAGACATTTAAGACCCGGGTGACATCTTCTCTAACTCTAGCGGCCGATAAAACTTGATGGCCAGAAAGGTTGGCTTTACTGCATGTTGTCACATACAACGGAGCATACCAAGGATCTAATCTGATGTGGTTTGCAACAGATTTCAGCGTCATCTCAATAACTCCCTTTGTTCTAGCGAGGGGATTTATGGGTCAAGTCCGCCGTAGTTATGTTCCATGGTATGTAGGAACATGCTGTAACAGTATCCCGCTAAAGCGAACCCCATTGATCCCAGGCAGACTCTAATTCCCCGTTCACACCGCTGTCGCTTGTGAAATGCATAACGTTTGGGTTCTGGCCTAGTGTCGCAGCCGCTAGAACTTCTTGTAAATGTCCTTGTACCGAACTTGCGGTTGTAATTGCCGCTATAGTAGTGGTAGAGGTGGACAAAGATGATAAATCCAGGTTTCCAGGATAGTTTCGAGTCCCTGTCATAAACGCATTTGGTATTCTTAAGCCTTCGTTCAGGAGAGAATCTTGTTGTAAGTTTGAGCGTGGGGGGGCCTCTGTGGGGCTTTGTAGGGAAAGGCTGTCGAGACCAACACTATTTGGCACCGTGCCCAGAGAAGAACGGGTGGCGGATAGACGAGAGGGACGATTTCGAAGTGGGAATATGGCACGGGAAAGTGAGAGGCCGTTTAAAGCGTTGAATTCCGATTGGGACAAACCTTGGGTTGTCGGAGGCTGCTGATCGGGTGGAATCTGCTCGGGCTGATCGGAGTCATTAACGAGGTGAGTTCTGCCCCTTTGAACCCTCTTGCGTTGTTCTACGGACATATCCCATGCCTGTCGTGGGATGTTACCTGGATACATTTTCGGGCCAGTCGACCAATTCGAATGAGGGTTTGGTGATAGGCTTTGGCTTGACATTCTCAGAATATTATGGGAAGTTCCGAAGGACGAAGACGAATGAGGTTCAGGGGCTCCCTGGGATGTGGAAGCGCTCATACTGCCCGTTCCCACACCTCTCAATCTCTGGGAACGAAAGCCAGTAGGTGTTGGCTCACGGGGTCGCGGCACAACACCAGGGTTCCTCTGCTGGAAGAGCTTCAAGCCAAAGTTCCGCTTGCTTTGGTCCAATAATCCGTTGCGATTTGATAAGGGCCAGTACAATGGAGATGTGGAATCATGTAGGATGGCCCTATGCTGCTCGGAATAGATCTTGTGCGTTTGTCGGACATGGAATACGAAATGGCAGAGTTGATCGAAACGTTCGACACATTGTTCGCACGGAAATTTCCCTTCTTCTATTGCCTTTATCTCATATCGTTGCTTGATATTCTCATCGACAAGAGCGTAGGGCATGATCCCTCCTGGATCCGAGAGCCACAAATCCATTCCGACACCATCACTGAAGTGTGAAGCTATATGGTCTGCTCTGGTCTGCCAGTCTGCAAGAACGGATCCGCAGAGACCGCAAGCTAATGTAATTTTGCGTTCGATAGGTCGATGCCATGATTGTGTCGTTTTCGAAAACTGGGCGAGTCGATGCACTTGGACAAGATGTTGTTGTAACTTGTCTTTTCGGGTAAAAGTCTGCTGGAAGCGAGGAGCGGAGATACAAGCAGCGCAGTTATGGAGGTCGAAGTGATCGTTGCTGGGTTCATTCTCGTCGCAAAATGCACATCGTATTCCGCCTTCGGCAAGATCGTATGTTGGCCCATCGGGGATGCACACCCATTCCTTCTGGGGGAAGTGTACGGACTCTTCATGCCTTCGCCAGTCATACTTCTGCGAGAAATCCGACGTGCAAAATGTGCATTGATATATCTTGTATGGGTCGGAAGGTTCACGAAGAATGTTTGTGATATCCTTCATCGAGTGCTCTCTTTGTCTTTTTCGGCCACGACGAGGTCCTCGGCTGTTGGTAGAGTCGATGCTAGCTTGTGAAGAGCTAGATCTAGAGCTGCTGCTGAACGTAGCGTCCGACACTGACATTGTGTCCGCAACCCCTGGGTGTCTCCGTAAGCTTGGAGATGATGAGTTTGTTGGGCTGAGTGACTCTGCTGCACGTTGCACGGCATCCTCTGAGATTCCCTCGTCTTCTGGAGAGCTAGACAAGAATCGCTCCATAGGGTCCTTCTGCGAGCTGCCAGTCGTGGATCCTGGGATGTCCATACTGTGTGTTCCACCTGATGATGTCTGAGATGTTCTTCTCTTTTGCTTTGTGTTGGTCGGCAAGTCCTCCTTGGACCCATGATTTCGAGGGACGAGCAATTGTCCATGGCTTACATTGTGGGAAGAAGGAGGTGGTAGCTTTCTTGCCCTCGCATTAGCAAAGAATGTCCTCACTTGTTTCAACGAGAGGCCTGTCCGTGCGGCCAAGTTCTTTGCTTCGTCTTGCGGAACGTAGGGGTCTTCCCGGTGACGCTCAAAGCACTCTTCTAGCACTCTTCTAGCGTCTGGTGGAATTCGTCGTCGCTTTTTTCTTCCATTTTCGCTGCCCTCTCCATCTTCGTTGAGGGGGCTTTGGGCGTTTGGGGCTATCTCAGAGGAGGGGAGAGGGACCAAGGGGGAGGACTCGGAAAACTGAGGGTTAATTGGGAGCAACGACTCATATGACCCCCGCGCGGAAGATAGGTTGGAAAATTCTGGCCAAAACGGGTCCATCGGGGGGATTTCTGAATTGGCAATCGAGACATTGTTGGCATGAAAACCCAAGAGCGCACCTGGATCAGTAAAAACTGGGTAAGAGTCTCCAACTGTACTACTTAGGGGTCTAAATTGTTAGTGAATTCATCCGATATGCCCAAATAAGGCATTATGAGAGCTAAATGTGGAATAGCGGCTTCAGATAGGCTAAGGCCCGTGGCAGTGGTAAACGCAGCGGGCTCATGCGTTAGGAACTGGACTCACAGCGTCAAGCTCGCATCTGTAGTCTCCTCAGGCTGCCAAAACCCATTTGCAGCGCTGAATGGGTCGTTATCTAGAGCAAAAGTTGCATTCCAATCGGGAAAGCTCGAACCTAGATCCTCATGGGGAAGGTCGTTGAAAAAGGCACTGAGCTCATAATCGCCTGGAAAAGCCTCCATCATCCTCAGCCCTCATAATCAGATCAAAAGGCATGGCGTTGAAGAAAGGATCATATAGGGCTGTGTGTGCATGAGTCCGTGCGCGCCCTCTTTTTCACCAGGCCTGCTTACGTGGGCCAAGGGTTGATAAGTCATGCAGCGCAGCTCGTATAAATTTGATCAGTAATTTAGGTATGTCTAAAGTGATTCTGCGCATAGAAATATGAGTGAACGAACATTTCAGAAATTAGGAGCCTTTGTGTTGGTGTTGAAGGGAGGGAAGAGGGTGGAAAGGGATCGGGGAGGACAGTCTGACTTATCTAGATCTACTATTGGCCTGCTTGCCTTCCGTTCTCAACCGATAGGCTGAAGAAGTCCTCCCCAGCATGTACTCTCTTTTTAAGAACCTAAAAATCTATTCTGTACTAGATAAAAGCTTTGCTTGCCGTGTGGAGGAAGATTTCCGCAACGCCAATATTGCCTTGGCATTGTGTGGGGAGGAGGGGGCTGGCGGGTGGGGGGAGATCCCGAATTAGGAAGCAAAAGAGAGAAATCGAAACTTTGGACGAACAGAATATTCGCCATGTAAGCAGCCTAAGAAGGGGGTCCATCTGTCTTGTAGGCTGCAGGGTATACTGAATCCGTGAGATAACAAGGTGGGAATGGCGTATGCTGCGGGAGAATGAATAATCCAACAAGGATTGCAGGGTGTGTAGTTGGCGGTGGTGTAACATTGATAGGATTGATAACTTAAGACAAGCCATGCTAGTTAGGTATAATTCCATTGGAGCCCACAGCAACGCCCTGAAATCCAGCGTTGGCCCAATCAAACCAACACTAAGACGAATCCTCCAGCGGAAGCATTTAAATTTCAAGCGCCTCCAGCATCGCATCCTTCATCTTCCCCATATTGAAGTATTCCTCGTCAAACACAATCTTCTTCAGACCCCCATCCTTCAGCTCTCGAATCTTGTCTAGAACCTGCGTAGCCTGCTCCGAAGCCGAATTTGAGCACCGCCTCGCTAGCTTTGACTGACCGTAGTTCAGGTAGAGCTTAAGAATGCGGATTCTAGGCGGAAGTTTGAGCACCGACATACTGAGTTCTGGAAGAGAGATGAAGGCAATGCGGATATATGGCCAGTATGTTGGCAGTCTGCGCTGGACAGAAGGGATGTACTTGACGGTGAGCATGAAAATGTTCTCGCCGTAAAGAATCAAAGTACCTTCATCATGGAGCTGCTTGCAAGCTAAGAGGATCGAGGGGTATAGAGGTTTCCTTTGGCTGATACGTTCGATGCGAGAGAGGGTACCACTATCTGATGGGAAGAGTAGGATGTAGAATATGACGTGGAGAAGGCATCGAAGAATTTGCAATCGCAACTCAGCCGGTATGGTCATTAAGTTTGGCTTCGCCTCGATCATTTGCGGAAGGGCAACAGGGTCTATTCGATGTTAGGATTCGAATTTTCTTTGACAACAAGCAATATGCATCACTTAAGCTGGGAAAAGGAAGTCGTACAACTCGAGACCCTCTCACCGGCGTCCCCCGAGAACTCTATGATCAAGCGGTACGATCCAGTAACAGGTTGGACGATACTAGAGGTGGAGTAGCCTAGCTGGCTGGGTAGGTATGGAGTGGCTAGAATGGTAAGTACAGTGGCGGACAGCTCTGAGTCTTCGCTTCAAGGATAGACTCTTAGAAAGATTCTGTCTTGAGGGCGCGAGCGAAGACGAATTCGTGGTTGCTGGGGGGACGGTTGGCGGTTGTAGGTGGCCAACAAGAAGTCGCTCTTCCTACCAAAAAGGATCTCGATAGTGAAAGTATGAGTTGAGTCATACGATATCGTGGTGAAAGAACGCACTTACTCTCATACTCCGTCAGTTTGTATTCGAGCTCTCCTCTTTGATCTCCTCACCACCAACTCACTGCAACCCTGTCTTCAGTCTATCATCTTCGTCAGCCGTAATACATCAGCAGGCTTTGCTCGAATCAACATCTGTTGCCAACAACCCCTGTCTCAAGTGCAGTATCCCATCGCTAAGCTGAACAAGTGAGTTAAGCATCCACATCTCGCTTCGCAAGACACTTCACTGACAGTCACATAGCTCGGAAAGCCATGGCTGATGAAAAGAAGACTGGTTGGACTGAGAAAGAGAAGGTGAATGAATACACCTCGCTGCAGATCTTGAAAAAGACTTACTGACACTTGCACAGCTGGCCGTTGTCCTGGTGTTGTTAGAAAATAAGGGTAACTGGCGTGACACGCCAATTCCACCCGGACGCACTGCGGCCGCTTGCCATATCATGGTCGCCCGCCTGAAGGATAGCATGAAAAATGAGATCGCCGAGATCAAGTCCGGCCAATCTACAAACACCGGTGACGACGATGCTGCGAAGACCACTCCCAAGAAGAGGGGGGACGCAGACGGTACACCAAAGACGGCCAAGTCTACTCCGCGTAAGCGCAAGACGAAAGCCGAGGGAGACGGGGAGTGCTCACCGAAGAAGCGTGGACGCAAGACGAAGGTTGTCGAGGAGGCTAGTGAAGGATATGATGCGACTGACGGTGAGCCAGAGATCGAGGCCGAGGCGGATCAAAAGGATGGAGTGCTCTACACGTAGCTTTGAGAGGACCAAGCCTACTAGCAATGCTGCTCTTAGAGTTGAGGGCACATTTCCTCAACAGATGGATGGAGAAGTTTGTCTTTGCAATGGTTGGAGTCATTATCTTTGCCCCGTCGCGTAGGTCTAGAAATGCTCTAGCGACGTCCGAGCTATGCTTTCACTTCCTTCTTCTTTCCAAGGCCATAGGGTTATGAATGGCAGGCATCAATCGGAGGCCTCCTTCGATGGGATAAGTCCGGGGCCAACACAACGGAATCCACAGCTCCAACTACTGGAATGATGTGATTGACACGTGATGTATGGAAGGAGTGAAATGTGGTGAACAAAATGTGCCTTAGCATTCACCTACCTGGACATGAAACTGCCTTGGCGATAAATGCAATATATATCCCCAGTCAATGAACTGGGGACGTCCCTTTGCAGGTGCCAGTACTTCGCCCTGAGTCTCACCAGGCTGGGTTGCCAAGGTTTGGTATGAGGCTGCTTTCCCGCGATGATATCATCGTACCAAGTTTAGAGGGTTTGACTGACACAAATGAAGAAATTTCAGGGTGTGTACGACGTCGTGGGGTTCAGTGCGGTTGGTGAAGTGGCCACAAGGTGTGGCAGCGGTTCGCGCATCGCTTGTGCTTGTCAGGTCCCGCTGCTCGGTCACCAACCCTTGATGCCTGCCGGTCCCTGACCGCAACGACTTTTTTGCATTGAGGAGAAACAGGACATCGCACCGCCATTTTTACCCGTCCCCGATCGCGCAGCTGCGAGCCTGTCAACATCGCCTGCAGCCCGGTAGTCGACCTGGGGCTGTGTGCCGGTCTCTGAATGGTCCATGTGCTTGGCGCCTTCTGCCGACGAAGTTTTGCGACCACCTTCACCATTTGCACCACCACACCTTCCCTGAGACAGCTTTCACGCCGGCCTCCGTCACCTCCAATATCATTCCCCCAATTCTCTCTACTGAGCCGCCCTCGCTTCCATCGACTAAGATCCTTCACCACCAGTCGGCGCGCCTTCTCTCCTTCAAATACCCCGGCCCCGATGGACCAAAATGGCGATGCCCGTACTAAGCGCAAGCAACCCCCCACCCCCTCCAACGAACGCCCGATGAAGCAGATGAAGCCTGAGAATGACGGCCATGGCCGCAATGGCACCTACGTCGCCAGCCCCGAGCTGCAGCCCATAGAGGACCCCTCGTCCCACAGCCTTGACTCCAGCATCGAAGACCTACCATCAGCCCACATCGCCGCCGCACTCCAGGACACGGCGGAGTGGCAGAAGACTATAGAGAAGGTCGTTAAGAGCGTTGTTTCGATCCACTTCTGCCAAACTTGCTCCTTCGACACGGATTCGGCTGTTTCAAGCGAAGCCACCGGGTTTGTCGTGGATGCGGAGAAGGGCTATATTCTTACAAATAGGGTATGTGGTGCAACTGTATCTTGTCACCTAACTAGAACATGCCACGGGGGCGGGGCGCGCAATTCAGGACTAGAATTTCCATCCTTTGACGCTCTTCCTGATTATAGCAAGAGGTTAAACAGATTGACTCTGCCCTGCTCGTGTTCCACGCTGCGTGATAGCATGCTGTATATTCAATGCGCATAGCATATGCTGACTGGAGATAGCACGTCGTTGGGGCGGGCCCGTTCATCGGCTATTGCATTTTCGACAATCATGAAGAGGTACCCCAGCTGAGCCCTTCGTACAACATTTCCAACTAACTTCGTATCACAGTGCGACGTTTACCCAGTCTACCGCGATCCTGTGCACGATTTCGGCATCCTCCGTTTCGACCCCAAAGCTATAAAGTACATGCCCGTTACTCCCCTTCTGCTCCGCCCAGATCTGGCTAAGGTTGGGGTGGAGATTCGGGTGGTTGGAAACGACGCTGGGGAAAAGCTGAGCATTCTCTCTGGAGTCATTAGTAGACTAGACAGAAACGCACCCGAGTACGGCGAAGGTTACTCAGATTTCAACACAAATTACATCCAGGCTGCAGCAGCTGCAAGCGGAGGTAGTTCGGGCAGTCCTGTGGTCAATCAGGACGGCTATGCCGTGGCGCTGCAGGCTGGTGGACGGGCAGACGGAGCCGCCACCGATTACTTCCTGCCACTAGACCGTCCTTTCCGAGCCTTAGAGTTGATTCGGAATGGAAAACATGTGTCTCGAGGAACAATTCAGACTCAATGGATACTGAAGCCTTTTGATGAGTGTCGGAGACTTGGTCTCTCACCTGACACGGAAAAGGCCATTCGGACCAAGTTTCCCAAGGAAACGGGCATGTTAGTCGCCGAAGTAGTCCTCCCACAGGGTCCTGCATCGAGCAAAATCGAAGAAGGCGACCTCTTAGTCCAGGTCAATGGCGAACTCATCACTCAGTTCGTCCGCCTAGATTCAATACTTGATGACAGTGTTGGCAATAAAGTATCGATGATGATCCAACGCGCGGGCGAGAACATCAACATTGAGCTGGATGTTTCCAACTTGCATGATATCACCCCTGACCGGTTCGTGTCGGTTGCCGGTGCCTCGTTTCACGACCTTTCCTACCAGCAGGCCCGCTTATACGCTATCTCGTTAAAGGATGCAGGCGTCTATGTCTGCGAAGCTGCTGGCTCGTTTCGATTCGCTGATGGATATGCTTCAGGGTGGTTAGTCCAAGAAGTCGACAACAAACCAACGCCAAACCTTGATGCCTTCATCGAAGTTTTGAGGGGCATTCCTGATAGGAAGCGAGTTGTTGTGGTCTACAAACACCTTCGCGACCTGCACACTGCCAATACAAGCATAACCGCCATTGATCGCCACTGGCACCCAAAGATGAGGCTCGCGAAACGCAACGACACAACAGGCCTTTGGGATTTTAGCACTATTGCTCATCCAATCCCTGAAGTACCACCAATCCCACGAAGGGCAAAGTTCATTCGACTGGAGAGCTCAAGTTACCCAGAAGCTGTTGACATCGTTCGCAGTTTCGTTCGGGTACACGTTCAGATGCCAGTCAAGCTTGATGGCTTCCCCAAGGCGAACAAGCAAGGCTATGGTCTGGTCGTAGATGCCGAACAAGGGTTGATACTTGTCTCCAGAGCCCTCATTCCATACGACCTCTGTGACATATCCTTGATCATTGCCGACTCCATCTTCGTTGACGCAAAAATTGTGTTCATGCACCCTCTGCAGAACTATGCGGTCGTGAAATACGACACATCGCTTGTTAACGCGCCAGTGAAGACTCCCAAATTCTCTTCCGAATTCATCAAGAAGGGCGAGGAGACTATCTTCTTCGGCCTCAACCAGAATTTCCGACCCGTGGTTGCAAAAACTGTGGTTACAGATATCACTACTGTCGCGATACCCGCAAGCGCAGTCACACCCCGATATCGAGCAACGAACTTTGATGCCATCACAGTGGACACAAACCAAGCCTCCCATAGCGCCTGCGGTGTGCTGGTTGCAGAGGATGGGACGGTCCAGGCCCTCTGGCTGTCATATCTTGGCGAGCGGACCTCACATAGCGGAAAGGATGTCGAATACCATCTTGGATTGGCCACCCCAATGATTCTACCCGTACTAAAGGAAATCCAGAGCGGAAGGACACCAAAACTCCGAATCTTGAATGTTGAGTTCCAAACTGTTCAGATGAGCCAGGCCCGCGTCATGGGCGTTTCTGAGGAATGGATGGAGAAGACCGAGCAAGAGGATCCGGAACGCCATCAGCTCTTCATGGTGCGCAAAGTCGATTCCGGTCATGAGGATGGATTGCAGGAAGGCGATGTCCTTTTGACCCTGAACGGCAAACTCATTACCCACGCGCCTGATCTCGATTTGATGTACAATAACGACTTCCTTGATGCTGTAGTCGTGAGGAAACGCCGGGAAATGACGCTGAAAGTCCCTACCGTCCCCACTGAAGACCTCGAAACAGATCGTGTTGTTAGCTTCTGTGGTGCCACGCTCCACAGGCCACATCAAGCCGTACGCCAACAGATCAGCAAGATCCATTCTGATGTCTATATTTCGTCGCGAGCTCGTGGGTCCCCTTCATACATGGTTAGTCAACCCCCTAAATCCCCAAAAGAAGGGCCCCTCCCTTTTGCTTTTAATAAACTAATGACCTAAAAGTATGGATTATCACCAACCAACTTCCTCACGCACGTTAATAATGTGCCAACGCCGAACCTGGATGCTTTCTTGAAGGAAGCGAAGAAGATTGCTGATAACGAATACTTCCGCCTCAAAGTCATGACCTTTGACAACGTACCTTGGGTTGCCACGATGAAGAAGAATGAGCACTACTTCCCAACGATCGAGTACGTCAAAGACTCGTCGGAGCCGCTAGGGTGGAAAAAGACGATCCATGAGTGTGAGGAAGGCGGTGCGCGCGAGGAAGCTGGACCGGATGAGATGGAGCTGGAAGCCAGCCATGACGGCGCTCCCGAAGAGGATGTACAGCATGTTGCCACTTAGCATGGTGCATAGTCAGGGTTGGAGTCGACCGATTAAAACTCTTGCTGGAATCAACGAGAGGGTCAACGAGAGGGTCAACGAGATGAAAGTTTCTCTCCTAAATTACCCAGTCATATTCCACATAAGGTGACAAGACGCAGTACAGAGCGGCATCACCGAAAAAGGAGGCGCTGAAGCATGATATGGTGAGATTGTTTGAGCAATGGTTCTGCAAGCTGAGATGTCCTTGTCAATCACTTGGTAGATTTCGATTCTTCGGCCGTAATGGACCGCGAGGCGTGTACAACAGTAGACGTAGGCATCAAGCACTGTAAGAAACTGGGTGGCTTTGATAGCATATAGACAACGCCAGTGGAGTCTTGGCAGGTGAAGTGTGCCTTGAGAAGGCCAGAATCCGCCTCATGAATCCTCCATCCTATTTAAAGTGGAAAGCTGAAGGTAGTGCACGTGGTAACCTTGTTTGTGAAGGATCAGCCAAGGTCTGCAAAAGGCTTAAATGTCGCATGCTTCTTTTGGCGAAACAAATAAGCGTGCATTGTAAACGGCTGTTCGTGAGATAGAGTGCAGAATTGCGTACGTGATTGCGTCAGGGCCTCAGGTATACGGCGTCAAGTTTTCAGGCAACAGTTTTATTCCCTGTCCCCCACGATGCCACTTCTCGCGTCAAGGTGCTATCTGATGAGACTGCGCCACAATGTGGTTGAGCGTAACCATATATGGTCATGGTCGCGAGCGGCTTCGATGGTCTTCTTCATCTGGTCGGTCAACATCGACCCTCCGGGCCCCGTTGACAGTCGTCTCCGATCCGAAGTTCCCGCCACCCCGTCCGAAAATGCATGGTTTTCGTTCTGTTCGTATCTCTCTGTCACTTCTCATAGGCCCCTGAGGCAGTGCTCTGCTTATTGTACCTGAGCAAAACACCGAATCACACTGCACCTCGCACTGCTGGACGAATATCGCCCAGACGCCGCGCCATTCACGGTACGTTCGGGTCGCGTAACAAGCTCGGGTCCGTTCCTTCATTTCGAAACTGGCAGAAGAGGCTGACGAAGGAAGACAGACGTCTGAGTGGTAACGTAGGCTTTATGATAGACGTATGCTCTAGAGGCGGAGTGTGGGCTGGTATTTGATAGTGGTCAAGTCGTCTTGTAAAAGACAGCAGCAACAGTATATATTCCATCCTTCGTTTTCAGGCTGCAAAGGTCTAGTCGAATCTCCAGAACGACAAATTTTTCTTTTCTCTAGTTGAATATAGAAGTGTTTGGTGGTGCCGTTTCTTCAATTCAACATGGTTTACACCGGCAAGCCTAGCCGTGGCTGCCAGATGTGTAAGAATCGCAGGATCAAAGTATGTCCCAACCTCTCCCACCCGATTGGAAGTGACAAGCTCCTTCCAACTGCCTGCCCCACACAACCTTATATACACCTTGCGTTGGTCATGCTTGGGCCAGTTCACTGATTCCCTGTTTAGTGTGATGAGAAACGTCCGATCTGTGGGCAATGTCAGAAGTCAGGCCGTACCTGTCCCGGCTACCCGGATGAGTTTGATTTAGTATTTCGCGATGAGAATAAGGCCATGGAACGCAAAAGGAAGACATCGGGTTCAGGGTCTAAGAGCGTTGGTGGCTCGCAAGGTTCTCCTTCATCGTGAGTTTGCCCCTGGCTCCCCGCTTCCACTGCCCGAATTTCCCACAATCTCGGCGTGTGGAGTGCTTATTAGCATGGGATATCAGAGTGTGCATCGTTGGGATAAGCTTCTTTAAGCGATGAGATGATCCCATGCACCGGCTTTGACGGGTAGGATAGATCCGTAGGACCTCCGTGCTACCCCGAGCCACTACCTGCATATCGTACCTGCAGCTTAGGAGATATATATGCTGCATACATAATTGATCTTACTTCAGGGCCAATGATGCTAACGAATTCTTAGAGTCTCTCCAAGCTCGACCTTCGAGATCAGCCCCGGTGCAAGCCCTCCCTCATTTGCAGAGAGCTCACGGTCCCGAACTCCGCCAGACGCAAGCCAAGGGCAGTTAGTGGTAATCCCTCCATACCAAGTCCCTCCCGACCAAGCTACATTCCAAGCATTCATGTGGAGCCTTGAACATGGAGTACCACCAACCATCACAACGTCTCCGGAAGTCGAGGCCGTACCGTTCTTCTTCCGCAACTTCGTCTCGCTACCGCAACAAGCGGAGAGCATGCGAGGCTTTCTCGAGCTCCTCGTCCCACTGTACAATCAAGCCCGACCGTCTTCTGCATTGCACCAAGCCACGAGTGCCGTTGCCCTCGCCGCTTGCGGCAACTACCCTGGCAGACAAGATCTCCTGCGTGAGGCAGCTACGGCCTATGGCAAAGCGTTGCGGCAGCTCAACGATGATCTCAAAGATCCTGCGGTGTCGAAGTCGGATGAGACTGTGCTTGCTATACTACTGTTTTCCTTGTATGAAGTAAGTACTTGGGTTACTTCTGCAAGATCACAAGTAGTTTGGTTCCTTTATGTCTGCTTATTAATTCCCTTACTAACAGTGACAGACTATAATGTCGACAAACGATACGATTACGGCTTGGGCGAACCATGTCGACGGCGCTGTGGCTTTGACGAAATTGAGAGGTGCGGAGCAGTTCAAGAATCCAATGTCCCACGCTGTTTTCCGGGCTGTACGGACTATGATGGTACACTACCCACCCTCATACACGTTTTTCTGAGTAGTGCTGATATCCGCAGATTACAAGCTGTGTTCAACGCTCCAAACCTATCGATACCTTCCCTGGCCAGCACGGCTGGGTAGGGACCGAGAACAATGAAGAAAATGCAGCGAACCGACTCACACTTATATGCATAGACTTGCCGAACATCCGAGCCCGAGCAACCGCTCTAACAACTGCCCCACACAACAATGCACAGAGATCTGAAGCCCTCGCTATCCTCGAATTTGCTCAAATGGTAGACGCAAATCTACAACAATGGTCCAACACCTTACCCCCCGACTGGCAATACACGACGGTAGCAATGGTCTACGACATGCCCGAGGATCTCTCAACAGCTGAGCAATGGTCGGGGCCGCAACATGTCTATGAAGACGTGCATATCGCGTCAATTGTCAATGACTACCGTGTCTGTCGTATCTTCTGCCAAAGTGTCATCATTGCCTGCATTAACTATCTCGGGCTCGATGCCGACTCGCCCTTAAACGACGCGTACAATAGCGCAGTTTTCTTCGTTCAGCAGATGGTGGATGAGATTTGTGCCTGTGTTCCTTTCCATCTGTCTTATGATATGCAACCAGTGGCAAAGAAATTAGGTCAAGATCAAGCTGGCAAGTCCCTCCCGTCTTATTCGCACCCTCGTACTCACAACCACCGCAGCAGCAGAAGCCCTTGGCGGCTACTTCATGGTATGGCCACTCTACGTCGCCGCGAACGCCGAAACCGTGCCCAAACGACAACGAGACTGGCTCTCAGGTCGGCTGTTCAACATCGGGAAAACTTTCGGCCTTAACAGCGCGCAGGTGCTTGTGCTCGCGAGGAGACACGTCCTTACTTGTGGCCCAATGTTTCCGTGATGCACTAAGTGTATCTCCCCTCTAAGTATTGCTCGATGTCGGCAATATGTTTTGGAAGCTGAATTGTATTAGTAAGTTAGGTAGTTTAGTTTATAATTGATGGATTGGTGGGCTGATGGGTAGGGGGTTCGTAATAGGGGATATATTATGTGCAGACACTGGATGGCTGTACGATGTTGGAAGACATGGATGGCTTAGCACTTGATGACGGCAGTCTTTTGTAGGACTAAGGGATAGGTCGACTTGATGTACTCTGTAGACAATACTAAACACTAATGTGCTGAAAACGACCTCAATTCGGACTCCAATTAATATTCGTATCATATTAGGGAACGAGAAGGGCTCCAGCGAAGAGCTATATAGTCCTACTCTTGGGCCCTGGGGAAAGAAGTGCTTCAGAAGTCAAACTTTTACTTCCTTTGTGAAGACCTCGCGATGCGCCTCATGTTCCCTTGAATCAAGACCGGGTATTATACTGTACACTGTAGAGTATGTTGTCTCTATCAGTCTTCAGTTCCTCGACAGGCAATTCCGCGTCTCCAGGGGGTTTGAGGATGCCCGGATATTAGAGCCTTTGAACCCAATATACGCCTGTCGTATTAGCCTGTGCTGCTCTCAAGGGGGCAGATTTGGAATCTCTTTGAGAGCTCCAAGACTTCACGAGTCCCAATCTCACGTCAAGATACCATTCAATACCTATTAAAGCGAGATCTTTTTCTAACACATGTATAGATGGCTCTATCATCCAAGAAAAGAGGCCTCTTGTTGGTATCTGGCCTGGTATTTCTCCGCCAGATATCAGCACTTTCGTAAAGATCTATTCGTCTGTCAGAGCCTAATCGCTTATTGTTACGCTCTTAACTAACCTTGTATTTCTTCTGGTTTCTGTGCCAAGGTATTCTCAGATAAGCTCCACCATGGATATGAGTGAGCGCGGTGCACTACGCCGATTCACTGTCTCATTCCTTTGAGAATTCATGCTTAGTTAGCACAGCCCCGATAGTAGGCTTAGATTCGAACTAGCAGAGGCAACCTCTGTCAGGCCATTTCTCTCCAACTGAAAATACTCTGACTCTTTGTGTAAGGCAGCGTAGATGTCATAGATTCCTGGATCACTAAACATAGACGTACCCAGCGCGGTTATCCGTACGTAAAGGAGTAGTTTTGAGACTGTACGGTGTACTGTACTGTTTAACCTGCTTGCGACTACTAACTGTACTAAGTAGATAAGGGAGGGTAACCAGCAGTACTTTGTAACAGGTAAATTAATAGATCGTACTGTACTGTACAGAGAATTACAGGTTATTAGAGAGTATCTTACCTAAGTAAGAAGGAGTAGTAGAAGCAGAAGTAAATTAATCCTCTTCTTAAGCTGCATTTTTTACTGGTTAATGCACACTACTAGCTTAGCTAACTTGCTACTTACTACCTTATTACATAGCTAGTTCTTTTGTAGCTTTATAACTAGCCCTAATTGTTGTGTGTAAAACGTGGCAGGATAGTAAGAAGGCGCTTTTTTAGTGGCAGATTAACTGCCTAAGGCAAGGCTGGCGGATAATGTACTAAGAAAGTAACGCTATGATGTGCATAAAGGGGATAGATTATAGTGTCGTGGAGTTTCTTAGCAAACTGCTAACAAAAAATGCGAGATTTGCATAATCTTCACTATTTCTGGCTTCCCTAAGGCCCCTCTGAGCCCCTCTGCAACCTCTGCGCCCCCTGCGCCCTCTGCGCCTCCTGCGGCCGCGCGGGCACCTCTACTCCACCCAAAATCTATACAGATTACCGTAAACGGCTAGTAACATGGCCTTACATACAGTTACTGTACTGACAACAACCTCTATACTTACTAACCAGGACAAATTTTGATGTACCGCAGTATTATACGGCCCGGTGTACTAACGGATGGTACCGTTGAAGGCCATGTACAAAAAGGGCTGAAGTTTGCCACGCTCAGGGCCCGCACCGTACTGGAGGAAGGGCAGAATTAGTGTTGTCAATGAGCATGTTAAGGGTCTAATTTGAATTCTTGTCGCGAATGATGCCCGCACAGAAGCTCCACGTGACCATTGATTGCATAATCGTCCCTTGAATCTCCCGACCGTTCCGAAACCTTACTAACAAATTCCACCACGGTTACGTATGCTTTGCAATGGATGAAATTGGAATCCAATGTGGCTTCTGCTAGAAAGCTCGGTTGATTTTGACATATGGCTCGAAATGGGGAGGCGCCTTGGATGACAGCCTTTCTTGGACCTGATTCGATGGAGGAAATCTACTATGTCGTTGTGGCTGAGGTGTTTCGTAGTTTTTGATACCTCCAAATGATCTTTATTGTGGCTATTTAGGCGCATGTGAGATTGCAATTTCCTGGAATGGAAAGTGTCTACATCGCATCGTCTAAATGGTAGCTGGAATCAGTGTTCGAGGTTCTCATTAAGAGATAAGCAGTGGATGATATGCAATTTCCAAAGGCGAACTCAAAACAATTACAAAGTCGGCTTGAAACGCAAAGTTTCGCCCATGGCGCCATAGCTAGAAGCACAAGAACTGCAATAACTTCATAATAGCCACTGCCGTACTCCCAAAGATCACTGACGTGAAGATAGAAGCTGATAGGGATTCAACTTTGTTCTTTAAGTGTGGCAAAGGTTTGGCGAAGCTCTGTCAATATCCAAGGGTAGGATGCCGCCAGAGAGGATTTCCAGTTACCCCAACGCTCTGGGATACGATTGGAACCAGTTCCGGCTGAGCGTTTAGGATTGTGTAAAGAAGCAACTGCAGGAGGCCTTGTAAGGATTTCTGCATCTCGGTCCTGGATTCCAGAAGTAGAAGCTTGCTTATAGAAGAGACCTCGGTTTGGTCCATTCCTGGAGCGCCCAGTTTACCTGATCTGAATCTTCTAGATACTTCATCAACATCAATTTCTCAGAGCCTGTCGAGTGGTGGGCGTTGAAAGTGAATTTTATGCCATGTAGCATTAGGAAATAATCACACTGGATCATGACTGACCTGGCTTTCCTGAAATCCAATATATGCCCTCGCCGTTCTGTAGCCGTGAGGGGAACATATTAGCATATCGCGGGTTAGATGTAGACACATGTGGGTAGAGCATCCAATCAAAAGTTCATTCGTGGGCTTCCGTACTGGCAGAATTCTGAACAGCCATGGACGGAAAGCGGAGGCATTTCAGTATCAAGTGACTTTTCGACAGCGATTCGAGTTGGGAATGGAATTCGAGGAATCGTTGCCGGAGGTCCTTCAAAGCCACTTCGGTATCGAGACTTGGTAAAACGCTCTCAATACCACGGGGTGCCATGGCCATATCCCTTATCTGGCCCGTGGATTTGAATTCGCTTTGGATATTCTCGGTGTGCACTTGATCCAGTATCCCAAGGGCTTGAAATTGTGGGTCACTATATTTTAGATAGTTGAAACTAACATTGGCCGGTACCAATTGAAATCCGCCACTGCGGGATATCTCACATTGTCCTAGAAATGGGATACATCATCAACTAATCGCAAAACGCCTCTAGCCTCCCTTACAATAACTTCATATCCTCCTTCTTTCGAATGGACCTTAGTGGTCGGCGACTCGGCGAAAGCTAACCCACTTCGACTTTTAGCGGTCTGCCATTTCGGCTTGAGTTCATCAATCATTTCTAGGAGCTCGACAGCGACATCTCGATATCGCTCAGCTAGTAGAGCTATGCTTCCATTTTCGCCTTCGGCTAGGAGAGGTTTGCTTCTATGTTCGTCTTGCTAGTAGAGGTATGCTTTCATGCTCGTCTTTAGCTAGTCGAGCTCTGCTTTCATGCCTGCTGCTTTCTTAAACTGAAAGTCATAATTACGAAGATATCTAACATCCATATCGAGGTTAGAGTTCTCATCAGTGACTCTAGAGGGGGAACTATAGGTTTGAGAGCTTTTCGAGATCAAACCACAGCCGAAGTGGATGAACTGGACAGTTCCCGTCTAGGCTAACAGTGGCAAGGGCCACGAGGGCCATCTTGTCAAATACCTGGAGAGAGGGTTGTGCCAGTCTTGCAACTTCGAAATCGGGAGCGCAAAGACTATTTTTTATCTTCTTTCTTCGTCGATCTTTCAGCCTTGTCGCTGCTCAACTTCCAAGGCATCGTCGGTGGTGTGTAACAGTCAGAATTTGCTGCCCCGCTTTGAAAGGTTCTCTAACTAATCGTACAAGCACTCTCTGCAGACTCACCGTAAATTGAAGCCATGGACGCCATAAAGCGCTGGAGAAAGTTGCAGGTCAGGGAGGTGTCGTTGGAATAGTGATATCACCTGGTAGGCTTGCAAATGGTGGTACTTTGATTTACATGTTGGGTCCTCGCTTTCTGCTGACGAAAAGCGGGCCATGGGCTGAACGCCAAGCCCCCGTTTAAGCCCCTGCTATTCATCGGACTGTTTCATGGAACGGGCAAACCTAACAGCAGTACGAAACAGACGCTATCCCTGAGATTATCTTTATAGTCCCCAACAGGCGTGTGAACTATCCTCTTCTATCCTCCTACCTCCTTACCCTCTGATCTTCACCACTTCCTGGATTACGACTGCGACAACAAGCGCCCTCTCGCTACATAGTACCCAATCTAGATAACATAACTACTGCAGTGATAGCCGACGTCATAGGCGAGAGCTTTCAGCCCTTAGGGAGCAGAAGCAAAATCACTGTTCACGCACGATCAGCCGACGAAATGGGCGCACTAGGAAATCTGATTCCGCTGGTTATTCTGTTCTCGTTTGTAGGCGCGGCGGCGTATGTGGGCTATCAGGTATTTCCCCTCACCATATCAGCCCTAGCATTACGAGTTAGAGGGAGCATATCAGGCTGATGCTATGCGCCGCGCTCTAGATCTACCTCTGGTCCAACCAACTTGCCGACCGTGGCGTGCGCAAGATGGAGAAGAAGAACGTCGTGTTTTCCAAAGACGGGATGAAGGTTGGTGTTAAAGAGGTGCGGACTGAGGACTATGCGGATAGGACGCAGAGGTGAGTGTGTCTGGAGGAGAAGGGAGGGAGAGGAAATGTTGCGTTAGCTGACTGCGCCGTGATCAGGGCTTTTGTTAAGACGTGGAATGCGGCGTATGAGGATGGCGGAAAGAAAACGTATGTCAGTGCCCTCGACGTAGTATATGAGCGCTAACTTTGACCTAGGCCATCGCGCTCCTCGTCATATACATCCTCGCGAACGAAGTAGCGACCCTATACTCGAATCCTGTGAGAACGTGTCTTGGAGGATAGGATGGACAGGAGTTTCTTGGTTCACTGCATTAGGCACGCGGCCATGGCGCAGGTGGCGCATGCTGTGACAGGACGAAGAGGGGTGCTCGAAACCTCGGATGTGAAGAAGACTACGCCTTTGTGTTGATGGATTCTGGTATCACCGCATCAGCACGCGACCATTGTGCTCGTAGGATATAACGGGAAGATTTCATGGCTGGAGATTGCTGCTTGTTGCAATGGTCTATCAGTGTGAGACAATGTGGGAATAAAATAAGCGGTTGTAATCACTGCTTGGGGGAAAGGAAATCTGACTTTATGCTCCAGTTCTCCTCATCTCGTCCTTGCAATGCTTCCATGCTTCCGTGTTAGATAGTACCTCATTGAGCTACATGCCTCGGCTCAGTGAAGACAATGCATTAATTGACATGGTACGTGGGGAAGGCTCCATCTTTATATAATACTCCAAGAACACGTGGTTAAGTGTGTCTAGGCATGTAATAAACGGCCATCAGCAATGGAGGGAAAGAAGAAAGTCCGAGAAAGGCAAGAATACCGTACATCCTCGATTCGGTAAGTGCTGGCTCTGTCAGCGTCCCTGAATCAGCATTGGCGAGTCTCGTCGCGAAACCCAAACGTAACCTCGCCACACATTTACTTCAGCCTTCTAGATGATCAAGATGCTTATTTCCGGGTTGTTCCAGTATGCAGGTCGGCCTGATAGGTGTTCTCGTTTGTCGGTCTGGGTGTCGGCCCGAACTTCTCTGGATCAAATGTTACTTATAACGGCACACTAGGGTCCACATGGACCTTATTTATGCCTAGCTACTAATCGCTAGAACCACTAGGGGTGTCATCAGCATCAAGCTTCACTGACTTACCAGCTGTCGAGCGGGTGTCTCGTCCTTTGCTCGTATGATTGTTGTCCTTTTTAAACAAAAGGGGCGCACTCCAAATCTAGCTGAAAGATTGTGGCACTCCAACTGAAGAGTCAAGAGGTAGAATGTAGAAACCTCTCAAAGGCTGATGTAGCTTGGAACAAGCAAATCAAGCATCATAGTGTGTTCCACCCCGCGGTCCACAGTCGTAAGCACCACTAGCCCACTATGCTCCATTTAACATCCTAATACGACAAGGTGACATTCCCCTGCTGCAATTAATCAGAGCCACCAGGTTTCCATTTGCGTTGCACAGTGTACCGATCTGCATGCTTCAGCGGCAAACAGGTCAGAGGCTGAAGTCGACACGCTGATCATGGCGGATTCTCCTCACGACAGGCTATGCCGCTAACTCAGTATGGCCCAGACCAAGGCTTGAAGCAGAGAGAGTGACAGCATTGGAGGAAAACACCATCCTTTTTCTAACATGGTGCTGACTTGAGGTTTTAGGGTCTTGGTCGGATTAAGTATAATATGGATTCGTAAGTTCTCAATGTTTTAACAAGGGGCCGTTTAGCTTCTTACAGTGGTGGCAGGCGTAAGTGTATAGGAAGCACACGCCCATCCGTGCTATTAAGGCGTGAGACTACTCAAATTTCAACTTCCTTTAGGCTGGTTGTCTCTGTATTTCAACAATATGGCACCTTCGATGGGTATCCTGCCCGCTGATTTCCATCTCTTCAGCCCAACTGGCATAGCATTCTCAGTTGGAGCATTCGCTACTGCGGTATATTCTCCTTCCTCCCTTAACTTACGTTCTAGGCTAACGTAGGATAAAGGTTGCGGTATACGCTCTAGGAACCGCAATTTACAATATCTATTTCCACCCCCTCTCCCACATTCCAGGATCCCTTTCTTCTCGCGCCTCAGGCATCCCCTACACAATCCGCCTCCGGAATGGGAACGTTCTGCCTTGGATACGGGATCTCCACGAAAAGTACGGCGATGTTGTGCGTGTGACACCAACAGATGTTTCTTTTATCTCAGGCGAGACTGCCTGGCAAGATATCTACGGATTCCGGACCGGTAAGCACAAGACGGAAGCCTATCTCAAAGACCACAACTGGTTTCCTCAGCCCATTAATGGCACCTATTCACTGATCGCTAGCGATGAGGCGAGCCACAGCAGAATGAGGAGAAACTTGAGCCATGCGTTTTCGGATAAGGCGTTAAGAGATCAAGAGGGGTTAATCCAGGGTTTTGTTGATCTCTTGGTTTTGAGGTTAAAAGAGGCAATTCAAGAGAGCAAGCCGACCGTGGATATTATGAGATGGTATAATTATAGTACCTTTGATGTTATCGCCGACCTTACGTTTGGAGAGCCGCTATATTGTTTGCGGGATAAGGGGTAGGCTATTTTTTCCTCTGTACCGAAGAAAATCTTAGCAACTGACGAGATATAGCTATCATCCCTGGGTCACCATGGTATTTGCATCTGCGAAAGCCATCGGACTCATGGCTACTAGAAAGAAATATCCAATCACCGACTACTACGACCGTGTTAGGAACATGTTCACATCCAACGCAGACGCTATCCAAAAACGCAAAGAGTTTTTCGCACTCTCCGAACAAAAAGTCACTGATCGTCTTGAGAAGGAAGTTGACTGTCCAGACTTCATGTCGTACATCCAAAAGAACCAAGCCAGTGCTGAGAAGGCGCTCAGTAGGCAAGAGATTGACTCCAACGCCGTCTTGTTCTTAATTGCGGGAAGCGAGACCACGGCGACGCTGCTCAGTGGCACTACATACCTGCTTTTACGAAATCCGGATGTTTATGCTAAGTTAGTGCATGACATCCGAAGCAAGTTCAAGTCGTACGGTGATATTACGATCGAAGAGGTCAATAAGATGGACTATATGATTGCGTGTCTGGCGGAAGGTCTGCGATACTATCCACCAGTTCCCACGGGTTTCCCGCGCGTTGTGCCCAGGGGTGGAGATCGAATAAGTGAACACTACATACCCGAAGGAGCAAGTACTTCCCTTCTCCCCGAAGGGCCATGGTGATGAGCTGAAGCTAACAGAGATGATTAGATGGCCGTCTATGTCTCCCAACACGCTGCCAACCACTCGTCGCGCAACTTCACAGACCCAGATGCCTTCATCCCTGAACGCCATCTCGGCGCCCAGAGGTACGCAAACGACAACCGAGCAGTCCTGCAGCCTTTCTCCTTCGGACCAAGGAACTGTTTAGGGAAAAAGTAAGCTCTCTCCGGCCATACTGTTTCCCACTTCTTCCCCACATTGTATCTTACCTCAGCATCTCCACACACATCTTGGCAAGAAGCTGAAATGGATGATCCGATAGTAAAATAACTACACGGTGAAGTAATCGCAGAGAACGCATTGCTAACTTAAGTTTCAGTCTCGCGTACGCTGAAATGCGCCTGATTCTTACCAAAGTTCTCTGGAATTTTGATCTTGAACTTGTGGATAGAGAGAGGGACTGGTTTGATCAGAAGGTCTTCACGCTGTGGGATAAGCCGCCGTTAATGGTTAAATTGAAGCTGGTTGAGCGATAGGATGGTATATGGTTCATGCTAGGCTCGAGCACTTGACCAAGCCATTAGGAAGACGAAAGCGAAGAAAGAGAAGGACCTCAAAGCTTCGTACGCTTTTATGCTGAATGAGCATACGTTTAGACGTTAACCAGACACACATGTCTAGAATCTCTCTCACCTCACACTAGGTAGAAGTAGTAAGTGTAAATGTTAGGTCAGTTGAGCACTTGCCGTTTCCTACTTCCACGATTTCTCTCTCTGTCTAGCGCAGGGTATCAGGCACCCACCCGCTTCGTAGGTCTCTCACGAGACAATATTTCATCAACGACCTATTACTATTACCATCCCATAACGTCTCAGCCTTTAGTGCCTCTCTCTCGATACTCTTATTACCCACACTCCAACATTTCTATTCCAGCATTAAGCGTTGAATCCTCCGCTTTCGATTCAATACCATTCCCCTTCCAAACCCTCCACCTAATATCCGACCCCCTCATATTCACTCAAGATGATCTTCGAATTTCTGTCTCCCTCCCTCGGCCATTTCTCCCAAAAGCAGCAATCCATCCCATCTCATCCCATCTCAACATGTCTCAGAGCCCTCTTAGCGCTTACCTCACCCTGAAGCACACCACGCCACCTCCACAAATCAAGCAGTAGTAGCCCTGTAGTATAGTATTGGACAAGATATATATACCCTCGGTTGCAGAGGAGTGCGTTAGGCTGAGTGATCGGCGTTGGATCATTAAGGTTGTATGCTGTGCTTCAATAATGCTGTGGTTGGGCCTGGATAGTGACACGTGGGTGACACGCGAGGTCGGATGAGGTGGGGGAGATGTCCCTGGCAGGGAGGTTCCTTGTAGGATGGATTGGGATGGATGTAATACGCGTCATATCATGATGGCGGCATACAGGCGATGAGGCAGATGGAAGCGCTGGAGCTTGAGTTCGAAGATGAGAGTAAACTCAGCTAGAACCCCAGTATTAGGCAAGTGTATAACAAATTCAGAAAATTCACAAAGCAGGTGTGAGGCATTGAAGTGATTCAGTATTCTCAGGAGTCCACACACAGGTCTACAGAGTCATAGAGAGAACATAGGAACGGAATACAGGACAGCTGAAAGGGCAGTAAAAAGACAAAGGGGGTAGTCCATCTCGCGCACACAATGCGAGTGATCGCAACATGCCATCTACACCAGACCCCATATCGCCGAACCACGCCTGCTCGCCGGCTCAGCGTGTTTTGTTCCCTGAAACGACAAAAACAAGGAGAAAGAGAAGGACAACAGTAATCAGGTTAGAAGAATGGGGATATTTCATCCCATGTGTACATACGCCCTATGCTTGAACCCACGCAGATGCAAACTGAAACCCCTTACGAGACCTATGATATGTGTGTATTGAGAGGTAGATGCGCAAGGACATCGCATCGCCACTACGGCAAGATTACTTCTGACTCCTGCGTGGCGGCAGGCGTTGGTGCAGTGGCAAGTCGGGGAGTAGTGTCCTCCACCGGAATGCTTTCGCGACCCTCTAGGATGGAGCCTCGGCGGATCTTGAGTTTCTTTTCTGCCTGCTCTGAGATTCGCTGAAGTTCGGCGACGAAAGATTGACCCCACCATGCGCTGTGGTTTATGTTAGCTATCATTTCCCTCGTAGGAAAAGGGTGACCGCTTACCTGGTGTACTTATTGACGTATTTGGCAAGTTTCTCATAGTTGATCGTACGCGCTTCTTCACCCATGGTCACGGCATCGTGGATCGCATCAGCCAATTCTTCTGTGTTCCAAGGGTTGACGATTATGCTGCCGTTCAGACTTTGCGCAGCACCGGTGAACTCGGACAAGATCATGACTCCATGTCTCTCCTGCTGGGTTGCGATGTATTCGTACGACACCAAGTTCATTCCATCACGTGTTGACGAGACTAGACATACGTCTGACACAGCGTACAGCGCGATGAGCTCATCGAAGGAGACCGACTTGTGCATGAAATGGATAGGCATGAACTCGATCGTGCCGAACTTGCCGTTGATTCTTCCAACCAGCTCATTGACGGACGACCGTAGGTTCTGATATTCTTCGACGTCCTGACGACTTGGGACAGCAACTTGGACGAGAACGATCTTTCCTATCCATTCGGGATGCTCTGTCAGGAAGACTTCGAGGGCGTGGAGCTTTTGCGGAACGCCCTTGATATAGTCTAGACGGTCGACGCCGACGATGAGCTTGACGCCTTGGAATTTTCGCTTGAGGGTGGCAATGCGCTCCTGCACTTTTGGCTTCTTAAGCCCCTCATTAAACTTATCGGGGTCGATACCAATAGGGAAGGCGCCAACCGTGACCACCTTGCCTTGAAATTCGACACCGTTCGGAGTGGTCGCGAGTCCTCTGCACACCTGTTACGAGGGCGGCTTTTGGGAGTAGAGGGTAGAGGGTAGAACGGTAATACTCACAATATGCGCGAACAACTGCTCAGGAAATGCCTGGCGTAGTCGTATGTGTGGAATCCAATCAGATCGCAGTGAAGGACGCCAAGCAAGATCTCGTTGCGCACAGGCAAAATGCGGTAGATCTCTGAGCTTGGGAATGGTGTGTGTAGAAAGAAGCCGAGCTTGACGTTCTTCTTCGACGTGCCAATCTCTTCGCGTAACATGGCTGGCAGGAGCATGAGATGGTAGTCATGGACCCAGACCATGTCGTTATCTTGGACATCCTTGGCGACAGCCTTTGCGAACAACCGGTTAGCCTCAGTGTATGCGATCCACGCCGACTCGTCGAAGGTAATCTCGCCGGGGTGGTAGTGGAACAGGGGCCAGAGGATGGAGTCTTCGCACGGGAGTCAGTATTGCCGCACTCGAAGAGGGATGCTACGAGCCATACATACTTGAGAAGCCGTTGTAGTGTTTGTCCGCGAGCTCATCATCAAGCATGATGGGTACTGCCTGGTACTCGTCGAAAAGTCTCGTCTTCAGCATGGGTACTTCGTCCTCAGGGATCTCCAGGCCGGTCCAGCCGTACCACTGGAAGGTGGTTGACTTTGACAATCCACTCAACCCGCTGACGAGACCACCGGACGACATGGTAAAATCATATTTCCCTTCTTCCGACCGCTTGATTGTGATGGGAAGACGATTCGAGACGAGGAGGAGGCGGCCGTTGTCTTTGGAGCCGGGCGCGAAAGGCATTTTGGCCGTGGTGCCTCGCGGGCGGATGCGCGGGAGCAATGTGCAGAGAGTTGGAGGAGAGGGAGAAGTGTATATATCGAGTGTAGATTTCGATTGGGCGCTAATGTTTGTAGGAGAGGTAAAATGTGGTGAATTCGCCGTCAGTTCGCTGCTTGATGGTCTAACAACCGTAGTAGCGACGCAACAACTTCACAGTCAAAGAAATGAAAGCAGTATATTTTCCGTATTGGTCATACGAGAGGTGACGAAACGATGACAGAGGCTGGAATCCGTGAAGCTTCACCGAGTGGGTTCTCGTAGATTCCACAACGATATGGGCACACCCGAGTACAGCAGGAGGAGGGGACTGGAACGCGGGGGAGGAAGCAAAGAGCGAGGGCTGGGTTTAGTTTCCTGCAGGTCAAGAGGAATTTTCTTCAGTTTTATAGTGGACTGAGGACCTTAGACGGGTGGATTGCAGAGGAGAAAGCAGCTTGAGGCGAGACTTACAGCTCTCTCATGATGCGCAAATAAATTGACGTCGACGCCCAGCCAAAGCCTGCCTGCAACTGCGGGGATTACGCAGACCAATCAGGTCACGGGAATCTGATGATGAGAATTCCAAGAATATGTGGCCATGCCGGTTTTGTCAAGTTTCGGGACTCGATGGGGGATGAAGACAGATCAACAAAGCCTCACAGTTTCATAAGGGCCAAGTTTCATGGTCCCTGATGGGAGCCCTGGGAGAGCTATGGAACGCTGCCGGGTTGCTAGGGCTCGGCACCTAGCCAGATAGCGTCACTGAGCCTCCTGCGACTTCTCGTGTGGCTTAATTATTATGGAGCAGGTGTGGCTATCGGCCCGCTCCCCATCACGCGTGTTGCATTGAGCCCAGCGCTTCGCACGCTCTCACGCGTCGTGTCGCGCCAAAGCACTTCCCCACGCCCCTCACACCATGTCCGACTCAAAGACCGCTAGTATTCCGGCAGCTACAACCATTACACGTGCGCTCCACGATGTCGTCATTGCCATCCACAAGGCGGGCAACGCCGACGACCTCACCGTCAAGCGCGTGCGAACCAGGGCGGAGGAACAGCTGGGACTGCCGGCCGGATTCCTCAAGGCGGACGGAGAATGGAAGCAGAAGAGCCAAAGCATCATTCACGAGGCAGTGGTAGGCGCCTAATTCCTTCTAATTCCGCGCACATAGCTAAATGTGACCCCAGGAGAAGTACTGTGGCGACGAGCCTTCCCCAGAACCCAAACCAAAACCGAAACCCCAGCCAAAAAAAGCTGCCAAGCCCAAGGCAGTCACGAAGAAGGAGAAGCTAGCAAAAGCTGCCCCACGCGGTGCCAAGAGAAAGTCCCCGACAACCCCCAAGAAGCCCCAGAAGAGGAGGAAGACCATCGTCTCCTCTGGCGAGGAGTCCGATGGGCCCCTGTCAGAACTGCTGTCGCAGGATGAAGACCTGTCGGATGCGGACAGCGAGCCGCCCAAGAAAGCTGCACGGCGGGGGCAGAAAGTAGTAGCAGAAGAACTAGACGAGGAAATGGAGGACGCACACAATTGCAGTAAGGAAGGACTGGGGTTGAAGGACCTGGATGGTGACGATGCGCATAAGATCACCACACCTGCGAAGAAGGCAACAGTCCCCACAGTTGCAAATGCTAAGGCCGATGTATCTGAGAGTGAACTATCCAGCCTAATCGACGAATCGCCTGCTAAAAAGAAGCGACAAAAGAAATCGCCCTCGGAAAAGCATGCAAAAAGTTCCAAGGCCAAGGAACCTAAGGCACCGAAGCCAAGCGCTAAAGCGACAAAGTCTAAAGGCGCGCAACACGATGACCCTGACCAAGCTGAAATCAAGAGACTGCAAAGCTGGTTGGTCAAATGCGGGATCAGAAAAGTATGGGGGAAAGAGTTAGCACCGTGTGACACGACCAAGGAGAAGATCAAGCATCTGAAGGGGATGCTGAATGATGCCGGTATGGAAGGCAAACCCTCGAATGAAAAAGCGGCGAGGATAAAAGAGCAGCGGGAGTTTGCAGCGGATCTGGCTGCCATTCAGGAACAAGCGGGGCGCTGGGGTCAGGCCGGAGAGGCCGATGGTGGGAGGCCGAAACGCAGACTAGCACGGGGTGTTCAGAACATGAAGGTTACCAAGGATCAGGACGATGACGACGATGAAGCCGGTGATGATGAGGATGAGAAGGACGAGCAAGACACCGATGTTGAGTTCGCGAAGAATGATGATGACGACGACAACGACGACGACGACGACGGTGATAATAGCGATGATTCAGAGTAGTGTCTTAAATTCGCAGATACATTCTGTATTGTATTATATAGATGGCCCGTTGCCTCCAGTCGGCGATCAAATGTTCCCAGTGTAGTATGAAGCATAGGGTTTGATCATGCCTGCTCCACAGTAACGTCCAGACTTTGGCCAGGACTCATGGACTCATAGCCTGAGGTTCAGCCCTCCCAAAGTCTGGGTGTGCATCCACTTGCTGGGTTGACCTCCATCCCGGCCTCCAGACACACTGCCTGAAAGTGAACTTAAAAGAAGACCCTAAAGCGTGCTTCCTCAGTAATAAAGTGTTTAGGGTATTGATTCAGGAAGCTCCGATCCTTTTCCCGGACGTCATGTGTTGGGCCACCAAGCTGAAGACGGCGACTGAAGACATAAATAACACAAGATTGTAGAACTACGGCGTATGGTTAGTTCTATTATGGGGGTATCGCTAGAGAGAAGCATACAGCGTTTCTTGAGTAGGAGCTCTCTTCGGCCTCTGATCGGGCCTCTACGAAGAGTCGCCGTAGGTTTGGTAAGTTGGAAGGCTTTGTCGCAGTATTAGAGATGAGATAGAGAGCACTTCATAATTTCTTGAATACATACCATTTTAGGAGAGGTTTCTTTGAAACTTGATGTTTTGGCGTTTAGTAGTAGATGTGCAGTAACGGACGCTCGGACTTCTCGCCAAACACGACCAGCATCTGGCCAAAGGAAAGAGCAGGCTCCACCAAATCGAGCACTCCCGTCACTTTTCACCACCAACGTCACTCTCTACAGTGCGTATCCTCCCAGCATCACTCGACCGACCCCACTTTATTGCCCTCAAGTTTTTTGTACTTTGCGCCTGCTGCCACCAGTCCCGCAATCTCAGCTCCTCCAACACAATATTTCTAGTGCATGAGGGGCCCGCTTGCGGTCGTCGCCTCTGCACCTAAAGCGTAGAGATGGCGGTTAACAGGATAAGAGGGGCCTTTGCGGTGCCACGGAAGGGAGAAACCTTTGAGTTAAGGGCCGGCTTAGTGTAAGAGCTTCCTCCATCGCTGGTAGAGACAGCATGATACTGACTGTGGCCACAGGTCCCAATATGCGTACGAACGGTTAGCAAGCGCATTTTCCAGGCTGGCTGTTATAATAATATAGAACTAAGCATATCCTAGGAAAGAAGCGATCCAGAAGACAATCATGTCCATGACCTTAGGCAAAGATGTGTCTGCTCTATTCCCGGACGTGCTGAAGAATATCGCAACGGGGGACCTAGACCAGAAGAAGCTTGTCTATCTGTATCTCATGTGGGTCCATAAAAAGCTAAGCAGAAGCCCTAAGCACTAAATATGTATTTCTAGGAACTACGCCAAATCACATCCCGACCTCTGTATCCTCGCAGTGAACACGTTCGTCCAAGATTCCGAAGATCCTAACCCTCTTATACGCGCTCTGGCAATAAGGACGATGGGATGTATTCGCGTGGACAAAATGGTGGACTACATGGAGGAGCCCCTACGGAAGACGCTGAGGGATGAATCCCCATACGTTCGGAAAACCGCAGCGTTGTGCGTCGCAAAGCTCTTCGACCTAAACCCTCAGATGTGCCTGGAAAACGGATTTCTAGAGCAACTGCAAGAGATGATCGGAGACCCCAACCCCATGGTGGTGGCGAATGCCGTCACAGCACTAGTGGAGATTAGAGAGACTGCGCCAGAAACTAAAGCCCTCGTCATTACTCCTGCAACGCTGAAGAAGATGCTTATGGCGCTCAATGAATGCACAGAGTGGGGTCGGGTTACCATATTGACTACTTTGGCAGATTATAAGGCTGCAGACGTCAAAGAAGCTGAGCACATCTGTGAAAGAGTCTCTCCACAGTTTCAGCATGTCAACCCTAGTGTTGTGTTAGCCGCCGTCAAGGTCGTTTTCCTCCATATGAAGTTCACTTCCCCCGAACTAGCCAAGTCATATTCGAAGAAGATGGCACCCCCACTAGGTATTACTCCACTCAAATGCATGATAGTTCTTCGGTTAATGTCCACAGTTACCTTAATATCATCTGCACCTGAAGTCCAGTATGTCGCTCTCCGGAACATTGATCTTCTTCTTCAGAAGCAACCGGACATCCTTAGCAAGGAGATGCGCGTTTTCTTCTGCAAATATAACGACCCACCTTACTTGAAGCTGCAGAAGCTTGAGATCATGGTACGGATAGCGAACGACAAGAACGTCGACCAACTGTTGGCAGAGTTGAAAGAGTATGCTATGGAGGTCGATATGGACTTTGTTAGGAGGGCTGTCAAAGCTATTGGCCAGGTCGCAATCAAAATTGAGAGCGCTAGCGAAAAGTGCGTCAACACTCTCTTGGATCTGATCAACACCAAAGTCAACTACGTCGTACAAGAGGCAATAGTGGTCATCAAGGACATCTTCCGGAGATATCCCGGCTACGAAGGAATAATACCTACGCTCTGCCAATGCATCGATGAGTTAGACGAACCAAATGCGAGAGGATCCCTTATTTGGATTGTGGGAGAATATGCAGAGAAAATCAGCAACGCCGGGGAGATTTTGTCCGGATTTGTGGACGGATTTGCTGAAGAGTTCACTCAGGTTTGTAAATCGGAATGCTTATCAAATTCACGACTGACGCCTGTATAGACGCAATTGCAGATCCTTACTGCCGTCGTTAAACTCTTCCTGAAGAAGCCAGACCAGTCTCAAGGACTAGTACAGAAGGTCCTCCAAGCGGCGACGGCGGAGAATGACAATCCCGATATCCGTGATCGAGCCTACGTCTATTGGCGGCTACTATCAAGTGATCCCCAAGTTGCAAGGGTGAGACTTTCATCTCCCGTTGGCAAAACATACCTGACATACTTCCCAGAACATCGTCCTCTCCGATAAGCCGCCCATCACATCAACAATCCAATCACTGCCACCTAAACTATTGGAACAGCTGCTCGCCGAACTGTCAACGCTTGCCTCCGTATATCACAAGCCTCCAGAGGCCTTCCTGGGCCAAGGCCGATTCGGCGCAGAAGCGATGCAAAAGGCAGCCATCGAGTATGTACATCTCATTCGCGTGAAGCCACATTATACTAAGCACATCTAGGGAGCAACAGCAAAATGCAAGGGAGAATCCGATCGCGGCTGCTGCTGTCGCTGCTGCTGCAAGTGGTGAAACGGCTCCACAAACCAATATGGAGAATCTCCTCGACATAGATTTCGATGGCGCAGCACCAGCCTCGTTACAGAAGCAACCCTCATCGGGAGAATCTGGGTTGGAAGGCCTTGCTGGTACACCCCAACGTGTTGCCTCACCAGCTGCAAACGCACCCGCGGCCTCAAACATGGACGACCTCCTGGGCTTGTTTGGAGACGGTGGTGGTGGAGGCGCCTCCAACGCGCCAATGAGCAACGACGATATAATGAATGGATTTGCGGGGTTGAACCTTGGTGGTGCAACGCAGCCTCCTCCTGCCAGCCAGCAGCTGAGCGGCCAAACAGGACAGAAGAGTAGCCAGGAGCTGTTGGATTTATTCTAGGACATGGGTAGGAATTGGCTCGGTGTACAGCGCAATATCAAGCGAAGAGTCTCAGGAAAGAGCATAGGGTGGCGCATGAAAGGACACAGTACGGTAACGCTGTACTGTACGAAGTGATAAGTAGATTCAAGCAGTAGAATCAACCTGAATGGCTGGCTCACTTCAGGGTATGAGTTCCACACGCAATATCGGATGGATGTGGTGCAAGGCTGCAGTCACGTGGCAATTTCGAGCTCTGCACAGCAACGAGATCGGCAAGATTAAGCGAGAACATGATGCAACCCTCGAGTTTGGCGTGCCATCACCACAACGGTTTGCTGCCTTGGCCATTCACCCTATAGAAGGCCCACGCGTGACGTGCTAAGCTTAAGTAAAGCGTGAGATCAGCCTTTCTCAAACCCCTTCGCGTCGCACAACGTCCGCCTGCCACCATGTTTATGCTCCGCAACTGTTTGTCTGCCCCTCCCCCACCCCCACCCTCCCCATAAAGAGCATGCTAAATATTTTTTGTCCCAGTCAGCAAACTAGTCTTCGGTGATAGCTCCAAGGAATCCATCGTCGAAATCTCCCAGGGCCAGCTCTATCTCGTCCGCCCACTCTCTCCCAAAGGCTATTCAGAGCTTATCTTCAAGGACGCGGCGGCGACAATCCGGCGGACGGGGCAAGAGTTCCAATACCAGCTGGTCGTGCAGAGGGCATACGAAGAGGGCGAAGAAGAGCTGCTTGCAGAGGAAGCTGGTGAAGACGGTGGCGTAGAAGCCCTCGGCGGAGAAAAGGACGAAAAGACGTTCCTTCTCGACGAGAGCTTGCAGTTCCGCACCGACATTCGTCAGACCGGCGAGAAGGTATTCGCGTGGCGAGACCTCAGTGGCGACGAGGGAGACTTGTGGGAGTTCGTTTCTGACCCCTCGGTCAAGGCAGAAACTGCTACGCTTTTCGAACGCGTCGCGCTCCAGTGTCAGTACGAGCGGAAGTTCAGAATCAGCCACGAGAACGCCACCGACGAAGACCTCGAACACCTCGCATACTTTGAGGAGCCTATTCCAGACGCGAGTCCCATTGCCAGCCCCGTCAGGTCACCGACGATAGCTCCAGCGCCCGATATTACAGAGCTATTTCCGAATACAACAAAGGAAGGCATGACGACACGCGTAGCAGGAAAGGGCAAGGTTCCCCCACAGGTGGAGGACCCGACTTCTGCCCCGCCATCTGTTGAGCAACCAGCAACATTGGGAACTTTGGCAGAGTCTATTGCGGAGCTGCATCTCTTCGACTTCCCCTCGGGCACCTTTGTCCAACAGGATGCTCAGGTTCGTGCTACCGTCACAGAGATCGGAAACTGGGAGTATTGGCTGCATATCACTGGCGCTGAGCGGGAATGGCTAGGCCAACCTATCGTCGACGACATCAACCCCGTGTTCAACTTCGAGTTCAAGTCCTTCATCTTCAACCACTATCTGGATGATGGATCTGCCTACTCATGGCTTCTTCGGTTCGAGGACCAAGAGGACCTGGAGCATTTCCAAAACGGTCTCATGCAAGCACTCTGGGAGCACCTGAACAAGACGAAGTGGGGCAAGGTCAAGGACACCGATCGGGAGTATGTGCTGGAAGCATTCCAGGATCTCACCATGGAGGATGCACCTGATTACGAAGAAGAGGACGAGGACGAGGATGAAGAGGAAGAGGATTACGAGAGTGCAGATGATGGACAGAGAAGCGAGCACTACGACGAGGACGAATCTGATGAGGATACCGAGACTCAGAACAAAGAAGGAGGTGTCAACTCCCAACTTGCTGTCGGCTACAAGCACGACAGGTCTTTTGTCGTCCGAGGGAACAAGATCGGGGTTTTCAAGCACACTCCAGACAACCAGCTGCAATTCTCGACTACCATCTCGAACGTCAAGACACCAAAGGGTAAACTGTTCAGTCCAACTAAGGTCATGCTTCATGCGGAAGATGCCAATATGATCCTTCAGAACGCCGACAATCCGAATGCTCTGTACCGGATGGACTTGGAAACTGGCAAAGTGGTTGACGAGTGGAAGGTTCACGATGATATCCCCGTTAAGATCTTCGCGCCAGAAAACGTAAGTTACGCACCGTCTCCTTCATGGCTTAAAGTTTACTAATAACATGCTAGAAATTTGCACAAATGACTAGCGAACAAACCTTCCTGGGTCTGTCAGGCAATGCCCTCTACCGCGTCGACCCTCGCTTGGCTGGAAACAAACTCGTCGATAATCAGCTCAAGCAGTATGCCACCAAGAACGCCTTCTCCGCAGCAGCCACCACCGGGAAGGGTCACATCGCCGTCGCCTCCGAGAAAGGGGACATCCGGCTCTTCGACCGCCTTGGAATCAACGCCAAAACCCTCATTCCCGCCCTCGGAGATCCCATCATCGGCATGGATGTTTCAGCAGATGGCAGATGGGTACTCGGCACGACACGAACCTACCTCCTTCTCATCGACGCTCTACAAAAAGGTGGCAAGAACGACGGTAAACTCGGCTTCGAGAAAGCCTTCGCAAAAGACGACAAGCCGCAACCGCGCCGTCTTGCCCTGACACCTAGCCACGTCGCGCAATTCCAACATGAGACCAAAGCCCCGATATCCTTCACACCGGCTCGTTTCAACATCGGTATGGATGACACAGAAACCACCATCATCACGGCTACAGGTCCGTTCATCGTGACGTGGAGCTTGAAGAAGGTGCTTGCGAATCGTAGGGATCCGTATAGTATCAAGCGGTACTCTGAGGAAGTCAAGGCAGATAATTTCAAGTTCGGGTCTGATAAGAATCTCATCGTTGCACTGCCGAATGAGGTTGATATGGTAGCTAAGCGCGCGCTGCAAAGGCCGACGCGCGAGAGTATTGCGACGCCGGTGAGGGTGGGTGCGGGAAGGAGGAGTGGGGCTAGAGGGAGCTACTTGGGGAGGAGTGATATTGTTAATAGTCCTTATTAGGGAAGGGGAGATTCGCTCGGCGTGCGTTTATGTCGAAGGCAAGTAGAGGGTTTCATGACGCTTCTACGATGGCGGGTTAGAGGTTAGGGATTATGGGCTCTATAGTGATGGATAGGGTTGGTAGGGTTGGGGTTTCTTTGGGTATTGTTCATAGGGTTTGCGTTCGACAGACACGGCTGATTGCCCCCCCCTTTTTTTTTGGAGATGATCGTGTGGTTAGTTTTCTGTCAATGGATACCAGGGGATATTGGGTACTTTTGAGCTTGGAACTTGCTGTGAATATGTCGATTGACGACTGATCCTACTAGTGATCTTACTAGAAGTGATCACACGTGTCTGTATGTGGGAGGACTTGTTTGGCCAGCGACATGCTGAGATGCGTGTAGAGCAAGGCAAGGATTCACATCCTTTGATTGCGAAGTGCTGTTTGGTCGCCTTACTTCACACCGTGGTGACACGGCAGATGGATGTTGTGGGGAGGATGTTCGAGAATGCAGTGCCGTAAATTACCCGATCACTGCCTCTCTCCTATGGTGATGCAGCACAACACAACATAGAGATATTGTGAATCGTGATTGAGAAGATAAATTGTCTTACGAGGCGCGCTGTTGCACACTAGATGCGTGCGGAGGTGTGATGTGCTATGAAGAGATACCTCTGCTCTGTCTGGCCCTACGTTACCTTGGGCTGCTTTGCCGCACAGTTGCACAAAGAACCTTAGAATGCGCGCATGCATTGCAGGATGATGTCTGGAGGATGTCGGCCATTGAGTAGGATAGGATGGGATTCTCTTTCCTGACATGTGTGTGTCATGTGCGGCTGAACAACAGACACATGGAGATTCGGGTGGACATGTCAGAAAGTGTAGAATCTGCCTATATTCACACCGATCAATGCAGGTGTGTTGCTTTCGAGACGTGGGAAGAGGAGGGGAAAGGTAGGGTAAACCTGTTTGTCTTGATGATTGCGGCAGGACCGGACCTATGGTGAGCGGTGGAAGAAAGCAGGAAGGGGTGGAATGATGAGGCATGAGAAAGAAACTGGGTTGGGCATAATTGCTGTTGGATAACCTTGATTGGCATGTGGATTTCACTATGGGATTCTTATTTTGACGGTTGGGATATTTAATTCTCGTGCGCATCTGCTAGGAAAAAAGCAGGAGTCGTGAGTGGATGGGAGTGTGGAAGAGAGTGTTGCGGTGAGAGGACAGAAGACGTTAGAGCATTGGGGGGGTGTGGTTGAAGAATGACCTCCGAAGGAGTTGATTGGTGGAGGGCTGGTAGGGCTGATGTACAACGGCACGGAATAAGCAGGCGACCTGTTCGTTCCTTCGGCGGTTTTTAAGAAGAAGCGTCTGTCCGCTGTGTGGAGTCAGGTTTTAGGGCGAGGGAGTCATGGCGAAACAACCGTCGGGTGACAACCGTGGAGCTGGGAATATTTTGGGTTTAATTGAGCTGCACTGGACGCGTAGTAGGTTTCGTCGTGATGGATGGACTGATGGATGTTGGCCTGATGATACGGGTGTGGATCAGCTCGGAAGAGTTTCCGACGAGCACGGGTGGGGGAAATCCTGGAAGGGAGACTTCAGGCCATCGTGGGATCGAAGGTTGACCCTGGCGGATATAGAGAACTCGGCCAAAAGTCTCTTCGATTACCTTTCAATGGGGATTTCATCAAGAATTTGGGGAATACGAGCTAAAACGTGGTGTAAGAACTCGCCCGTGGGACTGGAGCGCATCCAAAGCAATTAGACCAAACAAACATGATGCAGTCTTCATGCCGTGTTACGGAAGGAAGAACTCCACAGGCTAACGAAAGTGCCCTCTAGCAGCAGCATCACCATGCAGCTCCAGCAGATGCTTTTCAACTGCCCCATTGGTAATCTGTAGGTCCTCGGTTTCTAGCGCAGTCGTCCTTCGCTTGCCTTGACATCCGCCGGGTATTTTTGTTATTACAATGACGGAAGAAACCTTCAAACCGGACCTTGCTACGACAGGGGTCCCACGGCTTCTTCCAAATGGCAACGGCTGTGGATTGCCGGCCGTTCTGTCTTCTCCTAAAAGCGAGATCGCGAGCTGAAGTTGAACTGATTACCTAAATAGGATGCTTTAGACGGATGGAGTGAATAGCCGCAAGTTGGTAACACTGTCCACCGCTCTTTGCAAATCTGCTAACCACGATCATTGCTCGCCCCCGGATCATGAAGAGCCGAAGGAAGGTTTGGTTTCTTTGGCCTTGGATGTGTCTCGGCTCAAGTGCTGAAGGGCAGTCATCTGAACTCCTTGCATATATGCTGCTAGGTTGGCGCTCGGAGTGGCTCTGACCGCACCAGATTGCGACTGGACGAAGAGTTGTTCATAAGGACATGTACCGGTACATGGGCTCGGAGGACGGGAGTCTTGTCCTCATTCTGACGTGGCACTGGCGAACGAGCCCAAGGGAACGGTGAGAAAAAGAAAGAACGACAAATGACCTCTGGGAGGAAATCACGACGGCTCTAAAAGGTAGCATTGGTCGTTGGGGCTTGCGGCACGGCCGCGTGCACCCGTCCGCTTGATGAGCCTTGCATGTGCGGCGGCAGATTTTGTGCGACGAGGCCGACTTGCAGGCTCGCTTCCAAGGTTGTCCTCTAATATCACCATGCCCACTCGCCGCGGGATATGGCGATAAGCTGATGGTATATCGTAACCATCTGGGTTGCGGTGCTTGGGGGTACACTGGGGTACACCGGGCTGGATCCAGATATCTTCACCTCGGCCTGCTTCGGCAGCATGGCCACTGATGACCTCTGCAAAGGCCAATTGGAGGCACGCTGGCACACCGCTAGAAAGACGATGTACGGTAGCAAGGGGGAGGCTTCTTATTCGCTTCCAAAGCACCACACGTCGACCGCATCTGAGTCGTGTTGCTCGATGCCATCACGCAAAGGGATCCATGAATGAGATTTGCATGCGTCATTACTCCGTATCCGTACTTGAACTCAAGCAACGCAACGCGGGCTGGTCGGCGTTTCAGGTCCTGCTGCGTCTCGGCATTGGGCTCGCTGCGCGCTAGAAACAACGAAGGGTGATTTCGCGAACACGCTGCTTTTATATTTGGAGAGTGGTGCTTGGATCAAGGGAGCCGACTCGCTGTCCCTGGGCATGGCGACCCGCCAGTCTGGCTCGCCCAGCGGCTTTTGGAGCATGGCAACGTGCCTCAACCGATCCTTGACTCTCCCTGTCAAGTTGTCACCTCCCCCCCCAACCACCAGTCCCGTCCTGCAAATGACAAGTACCGGTCTAGTAGGACCACGCATCTCCTCGAGATCGCTGTGCCGTTCACCTTCCGTCCCGACCGCACGCCCGACGCACCAAGTCTGCATTCCTCTGGAAACTCACACCTAGCCAAGCCTCATCCTTTCCCCCCCCCCCACATTGCCCCCCTTCACTCCTTCAGCCCGCCAGTACGATCCCGGGCACGTGTCAATAATGGCCTAGAGGTTACGCCCTAGCAGGTCCCCGTCTGACTGGGAGAAGGTAAGTTGGGTGTTCATTAATTACGTGCTGCTGGGCCTGGGCAGGGCACCAATCAGCCAGATATAATAATAAAAACTATCCACCTACTGTCTTTCCCCTCTTGCTGTCGATCAACCCTTCCCATACCTCTTCCTCTTCGAGCAAGACTTCATCCTCATCAATATTGTTCATCATTCTTATTCTTTCCCGTGCCGTGCCGTGCCCTGCTGCTTCTACTTCTTCTTGGTCCTCCTTTCATCCCTTCTTCATCTTTCCTCCATTTGCCAATGTCCACTCATTAATAGTGACTATGGATCTCAGTTCAGATTCAAAGAAGGTGTCAATATCCGGTCCGGAACCGGCGAACAGCGATACAATATTCCCAGTTGCATCAAACGGATCAAAAGCAGCAGAGGTTTCCTCTCATCCACACAATCAGCGCGCAATGGCAACGATAGCGGATGATGACGACCGCTTGCTTGTGCGCATTGGTTACACGCCCGTAAGTAATAACTTTGAATTGTGTTCAATTGAGCATTAGTTGAGAAACGTCAGGTATTACAACGTCACTTCTCAAGATGGTCGACCGTATCATACGCCATCTCAATTCTTGGAGTGCTCGGGTCAGTTCCAGCGACTTTTGGTAGTCCGATGGCCGCTGGAGGACCTGCCACTGCAGTGTGGGCATGGTTCATTGGCAGTATCATGGCATACTGTATAGCAAGTTCAGGTAATTTGCTCTAGCGCGCTCCAGATTGCATTGCTAATTGTCTCAGTTGCTGAACTGGTATCTGCATATCCAACAGCCGGAGGAATGTATTACGTTACAAAACATGTTGTTCCTCCAGAGCATGTCGCAGCATGGGCGTGGATTATTGGGTGGTGCAATTTCTTGGGTCAGGCTGCGGGCGTTGCGAGTCTTGCCTACACAATTTCTCAGATGATCCTCGCCACAGCTGTGATGCACTCCTCTTTTGCAGAAGGAGAGCCTTCATTCGTACCGTATGAACTACTGGCGTTTTCTCTGACTTCTGGCCCTGCTAATTGGATATATCAGAACCGCTTTACAGACCGTTTTACTCGCTATCCTTATCCTATGCCTCTTCGGAAGCATATGTTCCTTTCCCACAAATTGGCTCCACCGAATTATTCTCTGGTTTGCTCCCATCAACAGTGAGTGCTGAGTGACTAACATATCTGACTTCGTGACTAACGGCTGCAAAAAGTCATTGCATCCATATGTATCTGTATCGCTCTCCTGATCCTCACTCCGAACAAACAAAGCGCTACATGGGTATTCACTACCGTCACCGATGGTTCCGGTTGGGGTAGCAAGGGTTTCTCATTCCTCCTTGGGTTCGTATTCTCATTCTTCACGTAAGAAATGGCATGCCTGACATAAGTAGCTTCCTTTCTGTAGCTTGGACGATGACGGACTATGATGGTACCACTCAGTAAGTCGGTCCATGTCTATGTATAGCTTTGCAGGGCGGCAAATCTAACGAGGTCGCACAGCATGTCAGAAGAAACCCACGATGCTGCAATTCGAGGCCCGGTTGCAATTCGAATGGCCATTCTCGTCTCTGGAGTAGTAGGCTGGATGCTAACAGTCACCTTCTGCTTTTGCATGTCAGACCCCGAGGCAATCATGGCAACTCCTACTGGACTTCCCGTGGCACAAATATTTTTCAACGCTGGTGGTAAAACTGGAGGATCGGTCATGTGGTTTTTTGTTATCCTAGTCCAGTTCTTCACCGGATGCTCTGCAATGCTGGCAAATGCTAGGATGGCTTGGGCATTCGCCCGTGATGCCGCTTTCCCTTTCTCAGAGTGAGTTGCGGACACATTTCCTTACCAGGAGCTTGGCGCTGAATGCATGCAGATTCTGGAGCAAAGTCAACTCCATCACGAACACACCGGTCAATGCCGTCTGGCTTGTCGTCATCTTCTGTAGTTGTCTCGATCTTATCGGGATCGGTAGCACGCTCACCATCATTGCAATTTTTAACATCACGGCGCCGGCGCTCGACATTAGCTACGTTGCGGTCATTATTGCACACCGCTGGTACGAGGGTAATGTCAAATTTCATCCAGGGCCATTTACAATGGGGAAATGGAGTAAACCGATCAACGCTATTGCAGTTACCTGGGTTTGCTTTATTAGCGTAGTGCTGTTCTTCCCGCCGACGAAGCCGGTTACAGCTACCAACATGAACTACGCGATTTGTGTAGCAGGCTTCATCGGATTGTTCAGCATGATGTGGTGGTATGCTGGAGCAAGGAAGTAAGTATCCCTGACCAAGATACACCCAAAATGACCTGCTAACGAACGGCCTATCCAGAACGTACAGTGGTCCACGTACAAATGACACAATCGACATGCTTCCCCCTGAAGACCCAGAAGCTATCCTGAGCGACTATGATCTCCCGTAGCGGCGAATTCTACATCTGCTACGAATCTCACTTGCAGTCGCAGAGCGGCAATGCATCGGCATCCGCCCTCGGCGGACTTTTACGAATCAGATCCTTCCACGGAGTTCAGACTTGGATGACTTACTTAAGCGGCGCAATCACGAGTTCTGGCGCAAGCCACCACGGGGCCTTTCATGCTTTTTCCTCTTTCTCGGGTAAGGTAAAGATCGGAGTGGGAGTACATAGAAAGGGATTTATCAGCGGGAAGCGCGTGCAGCGCCAATTGGGAAAATGATTGATACCTATAGAATTAGAGATACCCAGGCGGGCAAGCTGCAGATAGGTTGAGAATGCTTTTCATTTTTTTTATTTTTCCTGTCTACTGGTTCCTCAGTGCGAAATCTGCAAGCTTCAGCAGTCAAATCCTTCCGGCATGTCACGCATCACCTTGGAGATACCCACAGCTCTGCCAGCATCCTTTCAATACGGTCATGATCCCTGGTCGAAGCTCGTCCATCTCACTGATGGTTTTTGTGCGTCTCGGGCAAGAAGAAATTTCGATCACGACTACGATCCTTGTAAACGGAGTACCTTCTTCAGCGACGGATTCTTCTCGGATTACCCCGTTCCAAAGTACGACACATTGCCAGCAGCGCCCGCATGATGATAGGGTACTTTGGGACACGGCATAAACTCTATTTGACTGCGTTTCCCCACGGCGGACCAACTCGTCAGATCAGGCACATGCCCAACCCACTGGGAAATCACTCATCTATCTTCTCACCCTGTCACGGCTTTAGCTAAGTCCTACTTTGTTAGCCTCACAGACGCTGCACCTAACTATTTAACTCTCCACCCTCGATCCGCCGACGGCAGCCACCGCAGGCCACTCCAAGGTGCCGGTTCGACACCTTCTCGATCCCTCCACGACGCTTGACAATCTTGGACGTCCTCTTCTGCTCGGACACACGTCTCCCGCTCTAGCAAGCCGACGAGAGCCTTTATGCTTGCTTCTCCATGCATATGATCATCGTACCATTCAGTGTCTCCAGAATTTCGGTTTTCTCGTACTCGTACCCATCTACATGGATCCACCGGGCTCTACCGGGCAAGTCTTTGCCAGTAGCAGGCGCGTCCCTTGAAGGCTTGATGCCTCCACCCAGCGGCCCGAGCCGATGATCCGATACATCGCGCAGAATGCTTTGCTGCGTTTCACATCTCACTCTAGAAATTCTATCGCTGAAGTTACCTGGAATAGTAAGGCCTTCGATACAAGAGCTGAATGGTCAAACCTGCTCCCTCGATGGACCTTCATAAGCAAGGATACTGTTAGCTGTTATTAACCACGATAGATGAGTCTACCCCTTCGGTCCGAATTCCTACCACACCTTCTAAGGACTCCATGCATTCGGCCAATGGCATGGCATTGGTGAAGGAACCCCCCATTCACTAGGAGTGCGGGCAAACATCCTAATGGTCATCCACCATCGCTATTCTCGCTAATGCAAAGCTGTCCCGAAGCAGGACAGCGCCGAGGTTCTTCATGCCTTGGGGAAACCTTCTCAACCCCTAATCCTACCAGAGACCATGGGCTTGATACCTGCTCTAATATGACCGTGTTGCGACCCTCTCCATCGGAACCGCTCTCAATGTGCCTTGTATCATCTAGCTTGTCTACTCCATTCATTCCAACTCCCAAAATAGAAGGGATCGAATTCACCTAAACGACAGCAGTCCCAATACTTTCAATTTCAATATAAACCAGACAACTGCAATCACCAGATACCCCTACTAAACTAGACTTCTATAACCAGATGTTCTAATATTAAATCAAAAGGTTATGCCTATCAACGTATCAAAGTCACCGCTGAATGCGCGAGGCCAATGATCACCAAGAGTATCTTCTGTAAGGCTTTGAAAGAAATCGTAACGACGCGATGGAATAGATTCAAGCTAACACAAAAATTCATTCCATATTCTGCCACCATCATGATCCCATCCATTTAATGAGTAGATGCACGAGCCGCGAAAGTCACGTCGATACCTCCTACCACGAAAACCTTCTTCGAGGCCCCGTTTCTGCTTTTTGTGCTTGTGGGAGACTTCGATAGCAGCTGCCGCAGCTTGGGAAGGCGGTGGAGTGGTAGCACGATGCGCATTGTAGCCGTCGTTATCATGGTGGTTCGGACAAAGGTCTTGGTGTTCGGCCACTAAATGAGGTTTCAAGACACAATCAGACATACCGTTCACACGTTCCCTAATTGTGGTGAAAGGCTCAGCATATGAGATCTACTCTCTTGTGTTCCATAATATGTGCTGGCTTGTTGTAATCAGACTCGTCCTGCTCGGCGAGTCCGACCAGCTGCGATGAACATGGTCGAGAGAATTACTACCTCTACTGTTTGTTAGACATGTGAATGTATAGGCTGCTGACATGTTCATACACCTAGAGGGACCTTATATAGAGTGGAGATTCAGATTCTCCTAGCCTCTGAAAGAATCTAGCAGGCCTCTAACGGGAACTCTGCTGTTCCATACCATTGGCAAGATGGCCGTTGTGGCATTTAGAGTATTACAATGGCCCTTCCGCCACAGGCATATTTTGTTATGTGCAACCTACAACATAGTGGATCAGTATCTGCTATACACCACTGATTGTAGTGACGTTCAGAGCTCGAACGGAATGATGACACCTCAACGGCTTTCGTCCCTTGAAATCAAAGTTGGTGAGATCCCTCGATGACAGTTCGAACATGCCTAGCTAGTGCTCTTCCTCACTCGCAGTCAACAGCAAGAATGCGAAAGGTTCTGAGGAAGGCAAAGGGCGGGGATTCGTCGAACTTGAGGCTGGCATTGTAGCGGCGTGCATGATAATGAACGCTACTGAATATACCCTTGCATCTCTCCTTTGCTGGCCTCGATGTCGTATTCAGCTTCTCCCCGAATACTTCCTGATGCCAGCCTGGCCTCTGTATATCATTCACATATGCCCGCGAAATGATCGTAGCACCTACGAGAAGGAACTAAAAGGCACAATATGTCAACATATTTTGCTACTTACTCCCTCCCTCAAAGATTCGATATTGTTTAGCGATATCAACGCCATCATCTGAAATGTCTCGAGCCCTGCTGAAGAGATCTACGTCTGCTTCTCGAAATCATCGTATTCGAGTCGAGGTCATATCCATGCGCGACCACGATGATTAAGCTCACGTTCTATATCACCTACTCCGATAGGAGCCGGTGGAGTAATTCCAAAATGAACGAGGCACGCTCGTACCTGATGTGAAGAGATTTAATTTATTATCGTACTAGTATTCCTTCAAAGGAGAACGAAGCAATGCCAGGCATGGACAAGCTCAAGCCCGATGTCGTCTTGAGATGGCCATGGTGACAATAGCAGTTTGTGATGGATTTGACGTGGTCTCTGAATTGGGTGAAAGTCTAGGAAAATTTTGGTGTAGGGGGAGAAAAACAGCTGGGCGGACGACGCTGCAGGCTCAAAATGGTGGGAGAGGCGGTTTGGACCTGGAGAAATAACGCTGTTCCCTTTGAACTCACCGCTGCAATCTCAGTTCGGCATGGCCACCCGCCTCCAATGAAAGCGCAAAACAAGCTATTGTTGTGTCTTCTGGCTGCACTTCCATATCTGCAGGAGGAGGTCAACAATCTTTACTGTCCGATACGTAGATCACTTGTATTCTCCATCTTCCCACCTCCATCCTTCATCTCTCGATTTCAGCCTGCCGTCTAATTGCGGAGCAAACCATGGTGGTGGCACATCAAATGTCCTACTTATACTCAAAATATAACATTTCACTCTCCAAGAGCAGCAAGCCGAAACGAAATGAAGCCTAGATTAGCACCACACAGCTAGCGAAACGTCTCTCTTGATTCTGAGAACGATTCTGTTGTACCTTGACTGGGTTCTGTGAAGACTGCATTAATTCCATCCTCAAAATACCCAGGTCTTTAAGCTATTTTTAACCTAATAATTCGTCGACCTTGTTTATCAACGAGGTCGCTACTCGGCAAGTACCAGGAAATGAGTAATGCCCCTAAGCTTACCCTCTCCTGAGGACCCTTTGCCGATCAAGACACGTTCTGAGGGGTCCCGAACTCTCACACCCAACCTACGTCGCACAAAAAGAAGAAATTGATGAGCGTGGATGAAATGTCACATACCTGGTTCGGAGTTCTGACATGGTCCGGATGGACAAATTCGTGTCAGCGACCCTTCCAAGAAATAGATTCCGCTGTACGTACCCTACGAATTCGTCGAACTGAGTCTATTGACCCCTAGCCTGGGTGGTGTTTATTTTCATGCCCTTAAACAGGCAGATATTCTAGAATGCGCAATGAATACCCTCCACCTAGTCCCCCTCTGCAAGAGCTTAGCACTCGAGGCATTCAGTTTTCTTCGGCAGATCTTCCTACAACTGAAGTTACGGGATTGAGACAAAGATATCTAGTCGACCGATCCTCCCTGGTAGATGGGGAGAAAACATTGACGAGTACGTGTAGTCTAGCCGCACATAGCCCTTAGGACACGTTGGCCTCCGCTCGGCTTGCCCAACATAACTTGGTCAACAAATGTTGCCTGGCAATGCAATGAATGCGAAGTCAAACACTTGATCCTATGTGGGTGGCTTCGCGTCCTTTGGACTGGCGCAAACATTACCACGGAAGAGGGATGGCGAGGCTACATCAAGCGTAAGGGTACCTACAGATACTGAAGTCATTAAGTAGCTGGAGGTTCCTTTTGAAGGTGGATTAATTTCCGAGGACAGGTAGGTCATTGTGCTCCCGCATATTAGTGCGTGAAGTATAGCATGTCATAATGTAGAGTATAACTATGATATAATTTAGCTGTTAATCCTCCTGCTGGAATAGGGGGAGCGTCAACAATATCCAAATTCTGTTCTTAGTGGCCTCTCTGTTATGTTTCACTTTCGACGCAGGTGATGCTGCTGAGCGTGCTGAGGCGAATAGCCACATGTTCCCATATCTCTTCGAAGAGTACCCAGGAGTTGAAGATATTAATGCGCGGGCCCCAAAATTGGGAATAGACGACTCGATATCCTCACAGGACGATGGAGGCCGTTTCACTGCCAGTAAGGCAGTGATTCATGGGGATGTTTCTGGGAGCTCAAAGCCTTGCGAATGGCTTCCAGAGAGCATATGATCCAAGTCCTTCAAGCTCTCTTTACATATGGTTCATTTTGAGCGTGAATGAAACTTCAGACTCCCCTTCTCTACAACAGGTTCTAGCTATAATTAGCCTCCACTTAGGGAGACGGCAGGCCAGTCTTCGGCATGCGGCCGAGGAATTTCTCGTATGCCCACCGCTACTTCGCTTCCACCTAGAATTCGCATTAGCGACCGCAATATCGGGCGAGGAACCCTACCACCATGTGGACAGACAGTTATACAAGCTCGCATGCTTACCAAATTCCTGGCATTTCTCCGATACTGGTTATGAACGCGCCATAATACTGGGCCGTCCGAACTATTGTTGAGGTCCACTGAAGGCTAACCACCAAAGAAATATAAAACTCTCCTCTTCAGGTCCTGTTTAACATTTCCACCCTCTTCGAAGAGTTCACTAGTTCGAAAACAGAGCGCACTATTTCTGCAAGTCTCGTTCAATCCCTAGGTCTCTAAAATCTATATGAGACACCTGATGGGACTCAAAAATGGGATCATGTAACCTTGAATGTCTCTTTCGAGTCCCTTGGGGTCTAAAGTTCTCGAGGCAATTAAGCCATATGATTGGGAGGTACTAGAAGGTCGGTATAATTGCTGCAATGGTTTGGCGGGGCCGAAAGAGAAATTCGACTGAAAGACTCATGAGGTTCACACATAACGGTATGATGGTTTATGGCTGCATTGTTTGGTTGGGAAGAGGAACTTGAATGTCCTATTCACCTCACTTATTGGGTAATGGGTAAGAAGATTGCTGCATGCAAGGCCATAGGGCGGCTGGCGCGACTAACAATCGAGGACGTCCTGGAACAAGAGTAGAAAGAGATGGCAAAGGATGAAGATTTTGATACTGTCGAGGTAGATGCTATGTGGGACGCATGAATTGGCGTACATGAATGCCATCAACGTGGTCCAAGAGTGGAGATGATCATCGAGAGTGCGGGGTGATCTGTTGCGGGTAGCAGCAGGATATCGTTTCCTTCCATCGAAGGCCTGCATTGCTGACATGCGTCCCTACCTCATTTCCTCATATAGCGCTGTATGTTCCTTCTCTTGAAACTCGCCGGGATGCCTTGTTGTCCCCCTCGCTCTCACAATCGTTCCTCGAATCAAAAAACCAGATTGAACGATATCTCTTGGAATGGCACCGGCTGTAGTCTTGGGCTGAACCGATCCCACAAGTGGCCCAAAACTAGATCGCCGTTTTTGAGCAAACCTGAACTACAGAGCTGCAGACCTAATTCACCTTTCGATTTGCTTTGTGGAGAAATATAGAGGGAAATGTCAATGAATGACATTCGGGATACTCTTGATATTCTTGGTTTTCTTGTGCCTTGAAATTAGACCTCCAGCAGGAGCTCCATGGATATCTATGGCGCTCTTGACGCCCGAGCTTGCTGGGACCCACTGTGAGGCCTGATCGCGCATGCATGTTTTGTCCAGTGCCTTGCTGAAATACGGCAAATAGTCACAGGGGTCAGGGAATATGATACGACTCTACCGCTCCTGGCGCATTCTATTATTCATACTAATATGTGGTATAAGCTCGAGATTTCCGACCGTCGTTGCCGTATCCTGAATCCTGATCGTTCAAGGAGTTCTACGAATCTCCGGCAGACTTAGAAAATGGGCGAGGATGCCGGGCACACAGTATGTGGATGACCATGGCTCGAGAAGGGGTCGAAGTCGCACCACGGTTTTCTTTGGGCCACTGCAATGGTGTATCGTTGTATTTCCCACAAGTTCCTCAAGGCTCGACCATGCTCGTATCCGACACTCGCCTCTGGCCCTACCCGATATCTCAAGGGCAATGTCGGATAAGACATCGGAGAAGCAGTGCAAACCTCCACGGGCTGAAATTGCGATGTTCAAACCTTGGACGGGAAGACACGAGAATCATGTGTGTACGTTTGAGATGACATGACATTGGACACCGAGAGGATTCTCATTTCTTCTCGAAAAGGAAAAGAGGCGCATGTGCAAATAAGGTGACAGCGGTTATCTTCAACGCCGCAGGGAGCATCACCCTGGAAATGATAAGAGGATAAGGAAAGAAACGATATGACCGGAAGTCCAAATTGGTTGGATTTGGACAGGTTGGCCGACTCTGAAGAAGAGCGAGAAATATGTTGAGACACTTGGAAAGGGATTCATTTCCTCGTATTTGGGTAGGTCCCTGCCTGATTTGCAATGCAACCCTTTTCCTTTGCCCTCCACTAACAACGTAACTTAATTACGCCGTAGTGGTCATGTTCGGGAAGGGATTCGACATATCTTGAACGCGATAGGAATACCGTTGAGAATCCAAATCCTTCAAGTTTTCACTGTCTGTTCCAAGTCGCGTGCTACCAACTCTTCACACATCGCCCCCAGATCCCCGGACTGCGGTGACGCAAGCGCTTGGGCACGACACACATAGGCGCCGACGTCGTTGATAAGGAAACGAAGGTGACCATGTGGCGTAAGAAGTAATTTCGTGTTTCAGGGTCAAACGAGTTCCCCGTTTCTGGGCAGGCAGCCTTGCATCCTTTCTCAACGTCATGAACAAAACCAGAGTCTTTTCAGCCTCTATTTAGATTCGGTTTCACGAAATGCCATGTTACCCAAGTTGGCGGTTGCGAAGAAAAGGCTGGGCCAAAACTTGGTTTCCCAGCAATGCGCGCGTTGAACGAGATCGGCTACAGAGGAAGCTATTTGCATGCACAATAGCAGTATTATTCTATAAGCCTCCGCATTGGTATCATTCATTAACAGGAAGACCAATAAAACTCCCGTAGGTAATCCAAATCATTATGTCCTCGCAAGGCAGAAAGATATCGGAGACACGACACACAACCAAGGAGAAAATAGAGAATATAGCAGCGGAAATCCAGGTTAATTATCCTTGCCGATTCTTCGTGAAGCCCGAATCTATGAACATGGAAATCCACTAGACCACACACCAGTTTCCTCCATGACTTGACGTGAGCTTGGTGGCAGGAACCCTTCCATCGATAAGCCAAGCGTAAAGAATTAAATTATACAATCGAATTGCGGTGGGGACCGTGGGCCTAGAAACCGATTGGATGATTGACCCTCGACTCCTAATTGGAATGCATGATCATGATGCGAGGCCCAGATCAATCAACCGTGCACGAAACCAAGCCATCCCCATTCTAATCCACCCGAAGGGACTCGATGAACCTCTGGTTCCCCAAAAGCACACCGAACCCGGAAGGACAAGCTGCTTACAAAACGTAGGCAGCGAGACCAAAGATGGCAGCAAGACTGGCTCCAGAAGCAGCGAATCGAGAAGCTGCGCCTGTGAAAGCTGGGGGAGAAGTCGGTGCGACGCTCGTAGGGGCGGCAGTACCAGCAGGAGGCGTATAGACGGGTACGGAAGCGTTGGAGCTTGGGTAAGGAGCCGCGGAAGTGTGCACAACCGGTGGGGGAGTATACACTGGGGTGCTAGGCGCGACTGGCTTAGAGATCGTGCAAGGACAATCCGTCACGGTAAAAGTCTGAATTAATCAACATCCCATCCATCGATTTTGGGGAGAGTCAGGGAAAACGTACTGTGGCCTCAGTGATAGTGTAAGTTTTGGTGCCATGGGCAATGGTGGTTGGGCCTGGGCAGTAGGTCGTATCTATAAAATCATCAGCATTGGATATTGGGACGAAATAGAATGAGAAACTCACACTCGCTGACAATTTCAGTGGTATAGACCACAGGCTCAGTGTAGTTGTAAGAGGCAGCAGCAGAGGCCACGAGGGCAGCGGCAACGACGGAGACACGCATGATGATTGATGGGATTATTTACGTTGGTATTAAGTTGGCGGAGGGTGTTGGAGGTCGTGAGACGTAGATTAAGCGAGTGAAATCGGTGAAGACCGGTGTATTAGTCGTATAGCGAGTGTGTGGTGAGAAGGAAGAAGAAGACTTGACCTGGCAAACCACTTTATATGAACTACACCCTACCATGGCTGACCAACAAGTTCGTCGTGACCGCCACTCCAGCGCAAGGCTCCACATACAGGGGCATTTCTGGACGGTTGCATTCGATTGCAAGCCATGGGCCACCTTGGCCCTGAGCGTGGCGCTCTGTGGACGAGTGTAGGGATACGGAAAAGGGGGGAGCCTCGATAAAGTGCCAGTTATCTGGGCAGTTTATTGAAGGAAGCTCACGCTACCTATCAACGTTAGCAATGGCCGCAGAAATGAAATTGCAAACCAATATCAATGCCCAGACCCATGCCGTTTACCCCATGTAGGTTGGATGGTTCGTTGTCGGTGCTAACTCGTTATGGCGCGGCCGGTGCTGTGCACAACGACTTGTTCAAGGTGGATAGAGTGCACAAACGGTCGGGCTAGCCGATATCGGGTCACTTGCAGCAGCCTGATCACCACCGCATGAAAGGATGGATGAAGTCTTACGACATGGGAAAAGATGGGAATTAACTGAGGCTCCGCCGGAGACTTTCGCCGCGAATGTTCCGGGGCGTGGTAGTGACATCCATCGCATTCAGTGATACTGTTCTCCATGTTGGCGGCTGGGTGTTGTGCAGACTCGGCTCCCCCAAGCCCGTCAGCAGGCTTGGCGCTGGGCCGACTCGCAGCATCGACGCCATTTCTAAAAAGCGGATTTCTGCTGGGTAAGGTGCGAGGAGGGACTCGTCGAACACGCTCCAAAAATAACGCGCCTCTCCCCACGCAGCATTTCTCAGAGCTGATAGTAACGGCGTCGAATTCAGAAACTCTTCCCCGGGCAGTGGGTTGGTGCTCAGTCCGCTAACGGGGATTCGAGCGGGTTCCTGCAGACTGTTCCTGAATGACCATCCGCTATCTCGGAAAGGGAGAAGTGGGCGACTGGGCATTGCAAAACAGCAAAGCAGATGAAAAACGGGAGATTTGGAAAGCAATGCGCGAAACAGTCTGAATGGACGCCTAGAGATGCCAAAAGTGAATGTTAGGGATGAGGGGCAGCATTGACACTTGATGCAGAGGAAGACAGCCAGACCTACCACCTTTTGCTAGAGGTCACGCTCGCAACATCCCATCAACAGGGCTAACAACAAACACAAGCCCACGATATGGTAGTCGCGCCTTGCATCAGCGAGTCAAGCGCCACTGGTATTCCGCCGGTAGGGAATTTAGCGCATGCCATGCACGTGCTGAACGAGTCCGGAGATGAGGCTTCGGATGGCTTTGACGCCAGCATGAAAAACAACACGTCGCGCACACGACATGTTCCCCTCTCGAACAAAAGAAACAATAGTTGTCGCTTCAGGAGGTTGCTGTGCGCTGCAACGGCTCTCCAAGGGCTTCCACTGGAGCGAGAAGGAATAAGCCCAGCTAGCGACGAATCGCCCCACACCACCATCAGCTGCAAACTTCAACATCTTCCACCCCTAACCGAGTCTATCTCGTCGCCTCTCATATTTACCATTCGGCTCGGGACCACCAATTTAATTCCAGAGAAACATCAGACCACCCTCAGCTTCAGATGGTTGACCTCTTTCTCGTCTCCCTATTCTCCACAAAACCACAGACCAGCGCCTCCGAAGATTGTTAGTCGACTCCCAAGTACATTCCCCTTTCCTTACAGCGATCTGCTCGCACTTTATTGAAGAGCACCCACCAATGCCCCAAAAGGCGAACATGGTTCAGCCACTGGGCTCACAGCTCGCTGGTTCCGGGATTCTTAATGACTGGCCTCAGGGGGTGGTCTATTTGCTCGCACCGTCTTATTCTAAAAAGCTGCCGGATGTGGCAATTAGAAGTCTCATCGTTGCCAGATCTGACTTACCAGCAACTGAACAGCTCAGGAAAACAAAAGGCCCGTATGCCAACACCAGAATAACGCGGATTGTTACTCCTTCTCACCCTGCTAATGGTCAATATGGCCTTTTCGCTCGCCAACACCTTCCGCCGGACTCGTTCATTCTCCCATATCTAGGCTACGTTCATGACAAGACTGACACTGATGAGCAATCCGACTATGACCTATCTCTGGATCGCAACCTCGGTATCGGCGTTGATGCGTCTAAGATGGGTAATGAAGCTAGGTTTATCAACGACTACCGTGGAGTTTCGACGGGACCGAATGCTGAATTTCGCGACTTTTTCGTTGACATCGGGAACGGCAAAGGAGAAAAGAGAATTGGAGTATTTGTCCTCAGTGTAGGTAAGAGTGGGAAGAGAGTGAAAGGCATCGCAAAGGGTGAAGAGATCCTGATCAGCTACGGCAAAGGATTCTGGACCGAGCGCCAGAAGACCCAAGAGTAGTCGGGGCAGCGCATACACCCACAGCAAACCAGTAGTAAGCTCTCTGGACATGTTATTACTCCGTCCTCCGTCCTCCCGTTTGATGCGTACGATGACGTGGGGCTGGCCGTCACAAAAAAGCGGCAGAGGCACTGGTAGCAAGAACTGCATCAGAAAGATTTTCTAGGCAGCCTGAGTGAGTAGGTTTGCCATCATTATAGCCTTCTCTGTGGGCACAGACTTAGAATCCCACTATGGCCCTAAAACCTCGACGACTTCGCCGTCTGATACTCTTATTTTACCCCTAATGTGATACCGCCGGCGAGGGCTTACCATGTATTCAAGAACCGGACTGCGACAGCAGGTGACGTCGAGGGAATCGACGTTGCGTTCCAGCTTTCTAGAAGAAGAACCCTGTGACATGCATGGCTTTGCGACACCAATGAATAGGAATTTTCCTTTTACGTGGACTCTCCATCATCCATCGACTTCAACATGACGTTAACCCCTGCTTGACGTGGGACACATTTCAACATCAGAGGACAAGGGCTACACCGTATAGTTCGTGCGATCACCATGATGTCGACCTTGGGAAGCCGCCACAGTCCTGTGCCTCGGAGCCTGCCTGTTCTGCCGCGCATATAGTGGAGGACAAAGAAATATAGCAAGACTGCAGCAGCATCTACCGATGCACCACTTAATAAGGCTTAAAAACTTTTATTTTTCCGGACCTGTATGGCGGCGATAGGACATCCCACAGTGCGATAGTAACAGGCGTGGGACAAAGCCACACTCAATCCCAAAAGATGCAAATCTGAGATGAACCTTGTGAGAGTTTGAGAGCGTGAGACTGAGGTGAGGCTCGGGCACAGATGACGTCGAAAAATCCCCGAAATTCTCAAGTCGAGTCGAAACAAGTGTCAAGAACAGACAGCGTATGTTTCTGGCGGACGTCATTGGGGATCACATCTACCACATGGATGCTATACAATAAGCCTCCTATTAATGTGCGACGGCCGTCGGTCTGGTGGATAGAAGGTCCACTGAGAATGCCAACTGCCATGCCGGCAATGAATGTGCAGCAGGACGGCCAGGAAACCTGTTCCGCGGCAGAAAGGAGGGCATGCAGGTACAACTTGAGCTTGCGGCTGGCACAATCGGCGATAGTCAGGCACGGGGAATCATGGTGGTGTGTGTTTTTGATCGCGATGCTGCACCAACGTCCTGATCTGAGCACCTACAAGCTGGTGACGTGATGACCGGACCCAGTAGCCTTGGCTGTTTCGGGCTCTCCCGAAGGATGCGATCGCCAGTTGCGTCCAATCAACTCCTCAACGCCAACCCTCAGCACTGGATCGCCGGAAGCCGCGCAGAAAGGTGCCAGAAGAGGAGCAGGAGGATGAAAAGCCCCAAACAGCCGCCTCGATTCAGCCCTACCCTTCCAGAGAAGCTTTGATGCTCCTGCGCTCCTGTGCCTTCCATGATTCGAAAGGGTGTTCCCCATTCAACGTCATGGCCATTTTTGGCACACTACGAGGAACGCTCATCCTCAAGACGGCCGCAATAATAAAAGGCCTAAGATCTCTTCCAGCGCTCTTCACTGCTCCCTATTTGTCCCGGCGACTCCTGCTTCACTGCAACTGCTATTACCTACAAATCAGCTTGCGCTTTCGTGTTTGACACACCACCGGCCTGTTCTGATATCACCTTACTGCTCAGCCCACCAACCACCTGCCACCTCCAAGCGTACTACTGGCTTACTGGCCTCTGCAGCGCCTGCAGATGCACCCTTGCCTTCCAGACCTAACCTGAGCTCCAGGGAAAGCTAGACGCTTCTGTACCACCACTTTGCCTCAACACTTATCAGTATATCAACAACTCCACACCCCGCATTCCGCCAGATACTGTTCTGCCCGCTTCCCGAGGTTTTCAATTTTGCACTTTACGCTTTCAGCCCTCAGCGAAGCAGATCCACAGCCTGCTGCACCACTATGGCGCACTCACCAAGACACTCTCTGAGCGGGGTGAGCAGCCGCCCCCTCCTTATGCCAGCCTTAGATAGCATCCTCTTACTAACATCTTCTCGTCAGGGCGACTCGATGCAGAAATACATGCTTCTGTCATCTCAGCAAGAGGTCCTTCGCCGCCGCCTATCTCTCCAAATCCCAACAGCCTCGCCAATGACGGCCTCATCGCCCGAATTCCAGTCTCTCTCCTCATCACCAACTTTCTCTCGGCCTGCCTATGCCTCCTCCTGGTCAGCCGAGCCAGAGTACATCGCCACCCACCCATTGTCGGCCTACCCAATTCCAACCCAACCAGGAATGGGTCACCGAAACAGCGTTGATGAGAGCCTAACTGAAGACTCTCATCGACTCTACGAAATCAACCAGCAAATCAAAGCCACCCTCACCGAGCTGCTCAACACCGAGTCCGTCCGCTCCGACGAGAAGTACCGAGCCTGGATCCAGGGCCGCCTGATGGACGCCGAACAACAAATGCGACGCCAGCGTCGCCGCCGCTCAAGCGTGGACAGAGAAATTGCAGAGTCCATTGCCGAGCACTTCGAGCACCCCTTCCCTTGAACCACTCGCCGCTACTACTACATCATTACCCCCATGTACTATCACTTCCATCTCTCGACCCATTGTTGTCGGCAGAGAATGACATTACGGGCCTACGACATTTCGAGAAGAAAAAGCATCATTGGAGTTCAACAACTGAGTGTTCTTCTGTTGGAGGGAAACGCCGCCTTGAGTTTGCGTCTATCAATCAACAATGGATCGACCTGGATGTGACAAAATTGACTTATATCACAGGAGGACTTGTCTTTCAATTGTATCATCACCTGGGAATAGAGTGAATGTGGATATGGTATGGCGCATGGTGTTTTCATCACGGATTTGAAGCGCTCAAATCAGAAACCTGAGGAAACCTTTTCTTCTCTCATGCTACCCAATTGTATGCATACTTCAGCGGCGTGCATGCACTGGGCGGAGTAACTTGCCTGAGTGTCATCTGTCGTGTTGCCAAACTTGTAATTTTAGAATACCTAATTGAGGACTTTCACAATCACAGCCATCTTCCAAACGTCAGAACATTGGAAACTGTGACTCAACAAATTCTGGGATGAATGCTGATCGCCATTGACATGCAACGCGATGCAGAAACTTTTCGTGTCAATACCCAAGGGTTCCAGCGCCAACCATTCCCAACAATTTCTTCTGCACTGCAAGCTGGCGATCAAGCGATTGTCTCTCGATAGCGAGCCAATCCCTCGATCGCTGACCACAAGAAGAGGGGCAGAGGATAACGCCACTTCCACCCATTTTGCTAAATGCGGGGGATGTGTTGCATTCCACGGCTAGTGATACGCGTCGCTTATGAGTACCCCTCCTTCACGTACTCGATTTGGGACTTCCTGGGAGGGAAAGCATATGCGGATATCGGACCATAAAGAAAGGGGACTACGACTGAATGAGCTGGGCTGTGGTTTTGGTGTAGCTTGGGTTAATTATAGTGACTGAGATTGTTGTTGGTGATGGTGATGGAGGAGGAAGGTAGCAATTGAGGCATAACTGAACATGCTCCTCCACGAAGAAGGCGAGACCCTGAGCACGCTCGCACTTACCCAAATTACCCTTCGTCCGCACCACGGTACAGCGAACCTACCCTCAAACCAAATCAAATCACAGCATCAACATCAAACAGCCCCCTCTCTCCTTCTTCTTCTTCCCAGCCCATAGCAGAGCATGCAATTCGTCCTTCCAGTACCACAATCCACAACATCCCCACCTCCGTTCAAGCCGGAAACTCCAAGTCAAGTAACGCGTTTATCGAGCCACCCTGCACTACCACCGGTTTCCTTTTCCAATTGCATCTTCATCTCACGTTACATAACCATCACGTTGTCCGCATCATTCACTGTCACCTGTGGGCAGGCCCCGACTTATCCGCCGCATTGCGGTTCGCATCGGCCCGGAAGTAAGATTTAGCGCGCTGAATCCGGATTTCGTGTTTAATAGACCAGCCGGTTTGACTGTGAAGCAAGAGTGGCTGGTTCCAGGGTAGAGATGAAGGAAAAAGTGTGGTGACATCTGATCAGGAGAGCAGCAGAACGAAATTTCGGGCTTGGCTCGTGCATTGCGTTCAGAATTTTTGGCTCAACGAATGAGATAATGGGATTCGATAACGTCGAGAGAGAATCCCAAAAGAAAAAAAACAAAAAGACCGAAATGCAAGAGATTATTCTCATACGACATCATGTCTAACAATGGAGATAAAACGCGCTGCTTTCATGTGTTGATGTCGTACAAACGCACACCTGAAAAGTCGCACGCTCCAACTTCTCCAACTACCGACAGACGGAAACGCTGCGCCAAAACCCTTCCGGAACACCCCGGCCACTACACGCATACTACACACGCGCCAACATCCTCAACACATCTCACGATACGCTCAAGTCATCATCTCAGATCTCAAGCTCTTACCTAATCAGCCTCCGCAGCCGAGTCCATCACAAGGTATCAGAGGTCTTGTGCCTCATATCTAAACTTTAGTATTTTAGGTACCATCTATTGTACAAATGATAGGGTGCCTAAACACCGGAGCCGCCGCCGCCGCGTTCGTAAAAAGAAAAAAACCTAGACATGGAAGCATCTGAGTGACTGAGTGGGTCATGGAAGGTCATGACGCATGTCTTGTAACCTGGCAAGAGAGGTAAGATAGAAATGGGTGGATAAATGTACATGTATGTGTAACGTGAGGGAGGGTGAAGAGGCAAAAAGGGTAGAGCGCTTAGGTGCCTAGACTAAAATCTGGCCCGATTTCGTGTCGTGCCTGGACTGGAGTCCAAGAGTGAGGTACTCGCCGACAGATGGACGGAATACTCGAAGAAGACAGTTTCTAGAATGCAATGGATGGATGATACCAGGACGAACCTCGTATACCAGAGAGGCGACCGAGGGTGTTCCAGACCGAGATACAGCCGTGTCCGCGGACGTAGGGGAGATGGAAAAAGCCTTTTGTGTGGCGAGGTGAAGTTTCCTCGGGAGAGGGGACCGCGCAAGATGCATCTCCCATCTGGGTACGTGTGATTGATACTGACCGCAGGACTGGAACAGAAATTATTCCCAGAAAAAAAAAAAACCCCCCTCCGTCACAGTCGAACATGACGCAAAGCTCCTTCCTTACGCCACTTTGGCCCCGCCGCCGCACCAGCATCGTCCTTCACCTTCCGTCTCTACGTGAACGACTACCTCCATGCCTCTTCCCTTAAGAAATTGTACTGTACGCTCTCTCACGTCCTCGAGATTCGCGGCCCGGGAGGCAATGATGTGTATAACGCCCAGTACTTTTTGCTGGCGAGGTCCATGATTATGATCGTGATCCGAGTGATCATGTTGGCCATGATGGTTTGAATGGTCGTGGGGATGATGGGAATGAGGTTCACTATCACTCTGTGAATCGTGACCTCCATAGCTGTGACCATGATTATGGTGGGAATGATTGTCGTTATGATGCGAATGCCCGTGATTACATTCTTTGTGCTCTTTTGCATGCACTTCAGCATGCGCTGCTCCCTCATCTTCGAGCCAGAAGCGAGGAACAGTGTAGCCGACGACACCTCGTAAAGAACTCAACTCTTGGAGGGTATTTCGTATGCCATACTCAACGTCCGCTGGGAGAGATAGAAGTAGACGCATTCCGGAGCTCTTGACGAGTGGAATGGCGGAAAAGAATATGAGGAGCGCTATGATGCACGACGCAATAGGGTCCCAACCTGACCAACCATAGTATTTAGTTAAAAGGGTCGAGATGATGACCGCCACAGATCCAAGAGCGTCGGCGAGAATATGGAGGAAAATGCCTTGCATATTCTCATTTTCGTGTGAGTGGCCGTGGGAATGATCGTGGTCATGATCACTGTTCGTGTCAATTTCTCCCTCAATAATAGAAATATTTAGACGAAACGTACTGGTCGTGCGAGTGACCATGGTGGTGGGCATGTCCAAACGCGGTCAGACCCACAATATTCACCAAGAAGCCAAGAACACTAACGATGAGAAGCTCATTGAGACGATGCAGCTCATGACCTTCCCAGAGCCTTTCAAAGGCATCGAAGACAATCTCCACACTCACAAGCCTAAAGGAGGATTAGTAAAACTTAAGGTTTCTAGGAGACTTGCTTACATTAGGAATACTCCGTTTGCAAAGCCAGAGAGAGTATCGACCTTTCCGTAGCCGTACGGAAAGCGAGTATTCGGGGGCCATTTGCTCATCACGGCAGCAGCCAAGCCAACTCCTAGGCCAGCACAATCAAACAGCATGTGAATACTGTCTGTGAGCAGTCCCAACGAGCCACTGACAAACCCGTAGAAGAATTGAATGAGCATGAAGCTCAGATTGAGCCTAGGATACGTTAGTAACAATGTTGCCGCGGGTAGGGAGTACTAATATTGGGCTTACACTCCAAAATACGCAATCCGACGAGAGTCCTTCTCAATCATGATGGTATGAATGATGGACCCAGGCGTACACTGTTCAATGAGTAACTCGGAGAGCTTTGAATGATTTCCATGAAGATGATGGTCATGATGTGCATGAGCGTGCTTATGACCGGAATGCGAGTGACCGTGTGAATGCGCGTGAGGCACAGGAGTTTTCGTGTCAAACGACACAGCTCCAAAAGAAAGCGCACATATCAACGGGAGGTAGAGTGTTCCCTGCCATGTGTTTGAAGATTCAAAACCCCCGAATACAATGACTAAAAGACAGCCCAGTGCAAGTCCAACCTTCTTCTGACTTCGCAGAGCTGAGGGTATTGAAAAGAAGATAAGTGCAGTTGCTGATGCAACGGAAAGAGTCGAAAATACAATTGGATCTCGCGCAATGGAAGGTGAATCGGACGAGATGATGGAAAACAGAATAGTGAAAACAGTGAGACAGACACCTGCGACAATAGTAAGCAGTGTATCTTCGGGAGAGCTCGTCAATGGAGAAGACGGCTTTGGCAAAGCTATTCGTGTCGATCCCCGACTGTTCCAGGATTCATTGCTGTCTTTAAGGCCCGTCACCAAAGACCAGCCGGCCGTAGGAAAGGGAGGAGGGATTACAAGCACGGAAGCTGTCAAGGCAAGATGACCGGAGAGGACACTTAGGCTACCCTCAGAACCAAGCATGTGGAGAATAGCCGCAAGCACGAGAATGCCGCAAGTTACCTTGCGAGTCCGGAGCGTCCTCTTCCAAGAATCCCAAATCATATGTTTGCCCGGCTTATGATCAAAACCTCCTATCCCTGCTGTCACTGCTGTCAACAAAACGAAAGCCGTTATGGCGCCGCCTAAGTGCATTGCTGCATAAAACGGAAGTAGGACACCGAAAATGGTGTTGCACATACGGCCAAGCGAGCTGAGATTCCTCAACACATCCAGTGCATTGCCCGGACTTTCAGAGCCCCCAAAAGACTTCCGTCGATCCAAGGGCTGGTCCAGTGAGCGTATCTTTGATATGATCCCAACCAGAATTAACGTCGTTGACGAAAGCGTGCACGCATAGAGGAATTGTGAGCCGCCAGGCAAAGTCCAAGGCGCTGCGCTGGGAGTATCAGATTCTTTCGTGACAGACTCCAGCAATCGCTCGTGGGCGGGTGCAAGCCCAGTGAAGTGTCTTCGAGGTTGGGGGACAACAGTACGGTATGCGAGCGACGCAAAGAGGAACGGGAGGGGTATGAGGAGCGCAGTGAGCGCTTCGGGCAGCTCGAGCCAGGACCTATTTACTTGTAAGATGGTGTTCTTCACCCTCCAATCGACCAGATACGTACGTCGAAGGTGGTGGGGCAGGAGTCTCATGTATTGGAGAGAAGCCAAAGTTCCCCGCGGCGTTACTCTTCCGAGTAGGAGGTCGGCCCAGGTCGGACTCCCCTCGAGGCCTGCCCCGAGGCCTGCCCCCCATGAGTGGCTTCAGTGAGAAGCCGCTGTCAGTCGATCTAGAGTGGTCGTGGCTATGTTCGCGGCTATCGGCGTAGGGTGAAGGTTCGGGGGCGCGCAATTGGCCATTCAGCTCTGAGCGGTGGTGATGGTGACCAGCGCTGGATTGTGTTGATTCCTTCTTTCCCGATGATACGCCGTTGACTTGACCGGCCCAGGACGGGGGACGGTCTGACAGGTAGTGCGATTGAGAGTGTCCATGACCATGCGTATGCGCAGACGTGTTCAGAGGGAGCGCATATGTCGAAGCCATGTGAACATAGGGAGGTTGTTCCTCAAAGGATTCAGCGCGCCCAACGAGTATTTGCCGTACCTCTGGGGCAGGCCTGCACCCGGTTCCAGAGCGGTCGGCTCTGATGTATTCACGCGAGGATATGCTGGTGAATAGCGTGCGTGGCTTGAGTGAAAGGCGAAACAGAATTGTTGCGATGTTTCCAGATGCGGTTTCAGGGGTCCCAAGTCGCTGAAATCCGTTCTGTGGCGTTCATCTCCGCAGATTGTGGCTTGGCGTGGCTTGTGACTTGGATGTAATCCGTAGGCCTTGGAATTCTCCTCCTTGGGAAGGGCTTACTACTTCTTGCGCCCAACAGCCATGTTCGGCGACAACTTCAATCGGTGGTTCGAGTTGGTCTTGTTCCTGGCTGTGCTCGTTTCCTCCATCTTCACAATATGCCTCCTGACCTTGCCCTCACAATACGACCCTTTCAGGGACAAGGTCCTCCAGGATCCTGAAGAAGAAAAAGAAGAGAAAGAAGAGAAACAGAAAAGCAAAGACAAAGACCAGCCAGGGTGGTTTAGGCCCGGCAGGACCGTCCAGGTGGTTGTCCTTGGAGACATCGGCCGGTCTCCACGTATGCAATATCACGCAGTTAGCATCGCAAAGCATGGAGGTCGGGTATATCTGATTGGATATAGAGGTCTGTTTGATCTTTTTACAGACTGCTCCTCTCATGTGCTGACTTTTCTTCCTAGAATCAGAAGTTCATCCAGATATCTTGTCAAGCCCACGCATCAAGATCATATCACTTACTCCGGCCCCGACATTCCTTCGCTCCAGCAGCAAGCTACTCTTCCCTATTCTGGCACCACTCAAAGCTCTCTGGCAAGCCCGCAGCCTTTACCGCGCTTTAGGATATCGAACTGAGCCAGCCAGATGGATGCTTGTTCAGAATCCGCCGTCTATTCCAACGCTGACTATTGCAGCTTTTGTGTGCTTCTTCCGTAACACAGATCTTATAATCGACTGGCACAACTTTGGTTATTCTATCCTTGCCTTGAAACTTGGGCCACTTCATCCGCTGGTTATGGTCTCTGCCTTGTATGAAAACATCTTTGCCCGCCTTGCATCCCACCATTTCACTGTGACGGATGCTATGACGCGTGTCTTGAAGAGCAAGTACGGAATTACAGCCCATACCTTGCACGATCGGCCGGCCGCCATATTCCGTCCAATTAATAGCCAAGAGAGGGCGAAGTTTCTAGCTCGTCTTCCAGAGACAGCTCAGTACGCGCAAGATCTCTCACCAACGGCCAAAGCCCCATGGAAATTACTTGTCAGCGCAACCTCTTGGACGGCCGACGAAGACTTTTCCGTCCTACTAGATGCACTTAGTGCGTACTCAGCACACGCTGCCTCGAAGACACAGCTTCCCAAACTCCTCGCGATCATTACTGGCAAAGGTCCCTTGAAAGAGCACTATCTCTCTAAAGTTCAAGAGATGAATCAGGAAAAGAAACTGCTCAATGTTGTCATACAAACTGCGTGGCTCACGCCCGAAGACTATGCTACTCTGCTTGGGGCAGCGGATCTTGGCGTTTCCCTACATACTTCGTCTTCGGGCGTGGATTTACCAATGAAAGTCGTGGATATGTTTGGCGCTGGTCTGCCTGTGGTAGGGTGGAGCAAATTTGAGGCGTGGCCGGAACTGGTCAAAGAAGACATAAATGGGAAAGGTTTTGGTAATTCGGAAGAGCTTTTACGGCTGCTTGTGGATGTGTTCGAAAACAAAAATGGGCTACTATCAACGTTGAAATTGGGTGCTTTGAAGGAAAGCGAGCATCGATGGGATGATGAGTGGGATCAAGTGGGTGGAAAATTGTTCAAGTTTGTTAGCTAAGCCATTACATAGAAATAACTAGTTAAGATATTCTCACTTGACCTAGCACACAGTGATTGAAAGGTATCATTCTTATTTGGGTGAACTGCCTGAATAATAAGGTTGCAAGTCAATGACTCGAGCGGGGTAGTTACAAATTGGAAGCGAACTTTCACCATCACGACTTCAAACATAATCTTCTCAACCAATGAAGTTCGGGTTCCCACTTGAACATGCAAGGAAAACGTCCAAAACAAAATGTCAGACGTGACAGAGCTCAGGTGCTGGCCGTCGGGTCCATTCGCGATTAGCTGGTCTCCAGATGGAATCATTGCGTTATCATCTGACGAGGCCATCGAACTTCTGGTATGTATTGTGGTCTCAAAGTGCTATTATTGGGGTCTAATGCTTTGTAGTTCCCGGTTATTGAAGCCCCTGGTGAGCTGGAGCCGGACCTTATACAGTGGCGTCATATCCCTATTCAGGTATCCTGGTTCACCAAAGATGAGCTCCCAGTCAAAGACCCAGCACCACTTCAAACATTCTCCATCGGCGAGGAGATATCACAAAGTCTTCCACTTAGGATTTCGTGGTCCCCACCTGGGCTTGCAAAGCACAGAAGATGCGCGCTGGCTGTGCTTACCTCCAATCTCATCCTGTCTATCTGGGCTTCGCATTCGAAACCTCAAGAACTTGCTGGATGGGATCGGCAATTAATCATTAACGATGCTTTGGAGAAATACTTTCTGGACCTTCCACAAGAAGGAAGAGGCCTGATCATGTCCGAAATTGAGGAAAAGGCACGATTGCGAAAACGAATACGCGCCTACTCTTGGGCGCCATGCATGGACAGCGCGAGCTCAACAGGCCAAGTTGGTACCCAGCTTTCCTGGGGACATTACATGATTGCTGTCTCCAATGATGATAATGATATTATCCTTGTTTCCATTCGCTCACCTACATCAACCTTTGGACAAAAGGAGGAGTGGAAGGCTGAGGTCTTCGGCCACTTTCCCCTCCTGTGTAGCCCTCAGAGCATCATCCCTGATCCAGGGATCTTTGACGAATATCTCCTCGAGCAGCGGCACATTTGCCATCTATCATGGAGCCCCTGGGTTGCGCACGAAGATGGACTACACTCCGTTCTTGCATACGCTACAAATACTGATGTTCGCGCAAGAGTCATATCCTATACCCAAAACGGGACCAGCGTAGGCCAAGACGTCGTATATCCTGAAATCGAACTACGATACTCAGGCCCACTAGAATTCTCGCCCAAGATTGGAGCGGGCGATACATTAATGCTCTCTGTCTTCACTGCTTCAGAACTTATCTGTTTAACTATTTCTGCAGAGGACGGATCGATTCTAAGTCGCGCAACTCATGACCTGGACGGTCGATGGGACTCGATTTCAGGTAATTAGCTCACCAATCTCTCGATACGTTTCACGCTAAATCACTCAGGTGTCACATTCGATGTCCGGCCGCCCAACTCAAGCATAGTCCACTTCTCTTCCATCATAGGCACAACCCGTTATCCCACCGCTGCTGTAGAGGTCTCCCCTGCGGGACTCTCCGCCACATCGGAACCATATTGGCGTACTCAAATCCACGAAAACCAGGTGTATTTCAGCGCCAACCATGATCTCGGGGGGAACGCGAACGCGAAGACATGGGGTCTTTCGTCATCACCGCTTGGAGACTTCGTCGCCTGCTGCTTTACTCTGCATCCGACCGATATGATTGAGTATATCACTCCTTCCGAACGACGTTCTACAATCGCAGTCAGTAACATGAGCGGCAACGGTAGCGAACTTAGCTTTCCAGCCCGGAATATTAGTGCAGAGGCGGTGCTCTTTACTATCAAGAAATGGTGGGAGAACAACGTTGAAAACGAGGAAGAAGTCGAGGAGGCAAAAACAGCTATACTCGAAAAGTTACTTCAAATGCACTCCCCAAGACGAACTACTCTCCAAAACTCAACCAGCAAAGCCGTAATACCAGTTCCAGGTCTAACAGCCACAGAAGCAGCCCTCCTCACTCAATTCAAACAACGAGCCTTCCTCAACACAAACACCATAAAAGACCGCTACCAAATCCTCATCTCCACTGCCTATCCCTCCTCCTCATCCACCTCCACCATGACCACCTCCACCATGACCACCTCCACCATGCCCACCTCCATCTCTATCGCGAAAACAATGATAGCCCACCGCCTCGCCAAAGAACTCCAACGCCTTCCCCCAGCAATCTCCCAAACCAGCGACTTCAGCACACAGATACTCACCAGCAGCCAACATGTCATCCAACTCGTTCTCACTCTCAGCAGCGTCGACACCGCCTTCCCACCTTCAACCTCCACCCCACCAATTGAAAGATGCGACTTTTGCGACGCCGATCTCCGGATGGAAGATCTCGAATCCGCGCAATGTGCGAATGGCCATCAGTTCGTGAGATGCGGGCTCACATTCCTGGCGATCCAGGCACCAGGGATTTCGAAATATTGTGGGATTTGCAGTCAGCCGTATTTCAGTGATGAGTTTGTGTGGGAGCAGGAAATTGCGAGTGCGGCGTCGACGCCAGTGTCAGGCCGTGTACGGCTGGAGATGAATGATATGGAAGTTGAGATGGAGATGGAGCAAGGCGCAGAGACGCTCGCGGAGATACGTGAAGGAGATCTACGAGGGAATGGAGGGGCAAATAAACAAAAGGGGAGTATTCTACCGTCTATGACTCTGGCAAGGCTATTGTTCTGGGCGTGTGATGCGTGCATATACTGTGGGGGCAAGTTCGTTGGATGATGGACCGATGTCTGTAGTATAGAGGATTAAGGGACCAAAAGGGATCCTTTTGTCGCTACAGAGAATTACAGCAAGCAGTTAGATGGCTTAATTCAATTTGGATGAAGTCCCTTGTTATACGTTGACGCATTATATATATTGACGACTTGTGTATATGTTCCAAGCCTAGAATGCCCTCATCTAGAATGGCTTTATCTAACCTCGTACATTTGCACTTTTGACATGGGAGCCTTTCCTTCGCCGATACCATCCACATCCAGCCTACCCCTTGACGATATCTTACATACCCAAATGCTTAGGTAGAGTACTTAAGAACCTTCATAGATCTGGAAAAGGTTCACTATCAATCTTTCTAATTCTCCTGTCCTCCCCTGTACCCAAGGCTAATAACCGTTTATTCCGGCCAACACAGAACTGTCTAGAACTATGGACCCACGGAGATGGGTAGAGGCAGGCATGGAAAGGCATAGTAAGTGACGTCAAAAAATCCACATACCTTTCAAGCTGGAGCTTTTCCCTGTGCCTTGGGCATTTTCTTATCCACGCCTAACTTATCCAGTTCGGAAGTCTTGTGATAATGTGGTGCCACTTCGACCAACCATTCAGGCTCCAGTGGCATATTGCTCCTCATATACTCCTTGCTCGTCAAAACCAGTTCATAGAAGATGACCCACTTAGGCCGAGATTCCATGAGCGTGGAGCTGGGATGCAAGTACACTGTCATTCCATTCTTGACTGTGCGGTACGAATCTCCTCCTCGTTGGAGACGCGCTGCATTGGGGAAGAAGCCTGCAGTAATAGCCTTGCGAATAGCAATATGATCTGAAATACCGCACGTCGACACGGCGACCTCGACGCGATCGCAGAGTTTCTGGAGTTGGTCGCGGACATCACGTGCGCGTGTGAGACTTCGTTGCTGGAGGAAATTTTCTTTTGACCAGATGGGACTATAGTCTGCATCCACCCACTGATTCCAGATGTTGAGGTAGGTGAGATGATCACCGCCTTCTTTGTTTGTAAATCGTGCGCGGGCAGAATCGGCATAAAGTTTCTTGTCTTTAGGCCGGAAGAAGAGAGCTGCGGATTCAGAGAGCATGGCGACGATGGAGAGGACTTCTTCGACGCAGCCAAATTTGTCTGCGGCGAGGATGGCTTTAGCGAGCATTGGGTCTGTTGGAAATTCCGCCATCTGACGACCGATTTTGGTGAGCTCGCCTTTGTCGTTTAGAGCTCCTAGGGCGTAGAGGTTCTCAAGAGCACGAATAAGAGTGTCTGCGGGCGGAGCGTCCATGAAGTCAAAGTTGATCAGGTCATTAATGCCGAGGGATTTAAGCATGAGGACAACAGAGTTTAGGTTGGTACGTTGGATCTCAGGTGTCGTACTCTCTTCCAGCTCATTGTAGAACGCCCATTTAGTGTAAAGCCTGAAACATTTGCCAGGACCGACGCGTCCAGCACGACCAGCTCGTTGATTCGCAGAGGCTCGAGAGCAAGGAGTCACGACCAACGACTCCATCCCGGTGCGAGCATTGAAAACATTCTCTTTGACAAGGCCAGGATCTATCACATAGACAATACCATCAATTGTCAATGATGTTTCTGCAATGTTTGTCGCAAGAACAACTTTTCTCGCCTTGGGAGGTGTCGGTTCAAATATCTTAGCCTGTAAATCTGTGGGAAGATTTGCATAGATCGGGCAAATGATCAACTCAGGAGCCCTAGATCCTAATTTACGCGCAGTGTCTTCAAGATTCTGTTGTGCTGCCTCAATTTCGTCTTGACCAGTTAGGAAAACTAGGATATCGCCCGAAGGTTGGGAAAGATGGATTTGGAAGATGGTGGTGACTGCTGCAGCAAGATAGTTGGCTTCGGGCTGAGGCGTGTAGTGAATGTCTACAGGGTAGCGTCGACCAGGGATGTTGAAGATTGGAGCATCGTCGAAATACCTGCTGAACTTTTGAGCATCCATGGTAGCAGAAGATATCAAAAGCTTCAGGTCAGGTCTATATCTCGCAATATCTTTGACTAGCCCGAAGAGAATATCCGTATGGAGAGTTCTCTCATGAGCTTCGTCGATCATGAGCGCTGAGTAGCCCCCGAGATCCGGCTCGGTGAGGAATTCTCGGAGAAGCATGCCATCCGTCATGTACTTCAAAATAGTCTTGTCGCTAGTCTTGTCCTCGAAGCGGATAGCATATCCAACTTCTTGTCCTAGTCTGACTCCCATTTCCTCAGCCACACGAGCTGCCACACTCATAGCAGCGACACGACGGGGTTGGGTGCAGCCCACTTTCAAACCCCCCTTGGTATATCCTGCTTCATGGAGATATTGAGGCAGCTGTGTGGTCTTGCCACTCCCGGTTTCGCCAACCACAATAAGGACTTGATGTTCTGCGACAGCAGCTAGGATCTGTTCTCGGAATGTGAACATGGGCAGACTCTTCCTTGTCTCATCGATAGTCTGCGCCTTCTTCTCGGCTGCATCTAGCATTTTCTGAAGCATCAGCTTTTCTGGATCGAGGCGGCTTGCTGCGTCGGCGATCCATTGTATGCCTTGGGTCTCGTCGAAGACGAATTCATAGTCATCTTCCTTTACTGCAGGGCGCTTTATTTGAGATCTTGCCTTCGCCGTCTGCTCATTCTCCCACTGGTCGATCTCGGTGACATATTTCTCTTCTTTGTGTCGTTTGTTCAGCACCTCTGCCTTGTTGCTATAGTCGGCGTCAGGGACAAGGTACCCATCGAGGTGATCATCGATGGCAAGCCGTTCCTCGGCAAGGCGGAGGGTTTCGCGATTCCGGGCGAACTCCTGGAGCTCGCGCTTGCTGAGCTTCGGGTTGGTGCGCTCCTCGTCTGCTTCCTCGGCAACCTGCTTTCGGAGAAGCGCAAGCTGTTCAGCTTCACGTTTCGCGAGGTAGTCTTGTCGAGAGCGCAGACGCAAATCGGTGAGCTCCTCAGGATTACGGCCCTGGGGCGGCATGTTGGCTGGTGTTGCGGGGAAGAATGCGGCACCGCCGCCGGCGGGGATATTGAACGAGGCTGTAGCTGGATGTTTAGTCGGACAGTTTAGCACAGGAGAAATTGAACAGGATCACAGCTTTGCGTACTCAAGGGGAAACAACCTGGGCGGTTGCAGTAATCGTGTTGGTTAAGTGAAGTTGTCGCGGAGCTTGTGCAGGTTGAAAGCTACGGCGGAAGACGGCGAAACCGTTTTTCCGATCACGGCAGGACTAAGCCATCTCGCTCTGCTGTCCATTTCATTCCAATGTCACCCACACACTTCACAGCTCCTCTCCAGTATTCAAGATGTGTCTGTTTGCGATAATGAAAATCCCATTGAACTCTAAAGAACTGCTAGTATCCCGTTGTTACAAGCAAAACCCGCTACATTGCCCAAGAATGCTGTGAAGCGGAGAGACGAGATATTTAAATGACGCTGCCCTGGCGGAGGGGAGAGCAAGCCTGCGCGCGCTCAAGATGTTATAGTCGCTGGAGCAATCGTCCTCAAAGATATCGATATACCGTCCACAGACTTCGTACTCCCAGCATTCCATTTGACCCTAGACACTGTCAGTCCTCCATCATCCAACAAAATTGAACGGAAACCTACAGGTATATGTCAGATTCGTTGGTTGGAGTCGCGTAGAACTTCATTTCCACAGTTTCTTCATCGTTTTTGTGGAAGGCCCATCCCCCATACAATCCAAAGTTGGAGATGGCGGAGTTACTCGGCAGTGTCTCATTACTAAAGGTGAAGCCTACAGCCTCGAAGGCGTCTGAGCTCAGGTCTATATACATTGTTGGCTGGGACACCCAGTTCATCGCACGGTCGGGTGTGGCCACGAACTCCGCGCTGTCCTCGGTCTTGGTCACTAGAGATGTTAGCAAGAATTCCAGAACTGAGAATGGGCAGACCTACGAGAAATGTTTGCCGACTCAGATACGAATGATGGAGCACGAGGGCCAACGTAGGCTTGACCTTCACAATATGTGAGTGTCTTATCTTTTGGACGCCCTGAGCTGACTAACCATCTCCATAGAAAAGTTTCAGGCCTGGGGTCAGACCAGTTCCATAAGCATACAGGCTGAAGTTGGAGTTCTGAGATACAGCCTCACCAACGCACGTCAGGATCACTACGACTAAAGAAGCTTTGAAAATCATACTGAACAATACGAGGTTGGAAAGAGTGACTTGAAGACAGAAGGCGTTTAGGTGCATTCGCAAACTTGGAACATTGCGTTTCAGAGGGGGGACTGCTTTGATATACATCAAATGTTCATCGATTGTACATCAATTTCCGTATCAACCGAGGAGGAGGAGATGCGTCGACAAACCAGCGAAGGACCACATTCGCAGCTGACGAGTCGCACTGCACTAATCCATCCTAACGACAGGGCCAACTGGCCCAGAACTGATACTCGAATAGGTCATCGGACCCCTCTCTCATCCTCAGTGGTCAAGACTGCAAGGCTTATGCGTTGCCAAACTTCTTTTTAGATCTTCACATCAGCTACGGATGAGCCGGCAACGCAAGCTATCGGTCTTAGCCACTGAATAGGAAATAATGTATGCCCGGACTATCCTCCCTTGATAATATTCTCCCAGCTTTAGCCCCCTCTCTGACATGGACCGCCGAGCGGTCCTTAACAAGGGAGATTATCCTTGTCAGGAATTTAACTAGTAACAGATGCCCCATTTTCTGGTAGAGAGGAGCCTTGAGAAAATGGTACTCAGAAAACAAGCTGCCAGTGCATATAATGGTAGCGTTTCGTTCCTGCATTAGGGACTCAGAAGGCTTACGACGCGCCTAAGCTTCTTGCTCCACAAGAGCCGCCATCACGAGGCTTATTTCCTGGCGACGCAATTATTTCGTTAGGTCTCCCCTGGCTGACTACGTCCAAAAGGTAGCAAGAACGGCAGCCCTGTCCTCATCAGTATATTATGCTCCGTAACCTTACCAGAAAGCTGGATCCGTTCGGAGGATTCACGACTCGATTGGCGACCGAAGGTCGGCGCCAAGGCCTCAACACGCGGCCTCCACATCCTTGTTTCAACCTCCCACGTCCTGGCTTCACTTGCATCTCAATTTCCCCAATTCTCGGCTTCGCATGAAACTTGCAACAATATCAAGGTTCTCCTAGACCTTTGGTGATCCTCAATCGGCCCTATCCAGGACAAGCACTCTCGGCACCGTACCCGCATCTCTCCGCCACCAGGAGGTACAGGACCTGGTTATCACATATGGCCATCAGGGTAGAGCTAGAACACCCCACAATATCTCATTGTGATCGTTGCTCTGAATCTACTCTTCTCCAGGTTTTATTTTACGGATCTTCGATAGTGTCGTAGGAGAACATACTCCACTCCACAACCACGAATCTTGCTGACCACATAGGAATGCATCTTTCACTGACGACGTCGTCAGCTAATGTGAAGACAGGGTCATTCAGAAGACTGTCGTTCAAGGCCTCCCAACTAGCAACAAGCATAAACAGATAAGATCCTGCAAGATTTCCTTTTTGGGCTACCTCACACATACTCCGTGTGCAGTTTGATGTTTTCGTTTATTCTCCTCCGTTCTTGCATTGCATGATTGTCGATGTTCTATAAACAATATCCTAGCTCCCGCGTGCATCACACACTTTCTGTACCCTGCACTACGTTCTAACTAGAATCGGTTGAAGGATCCGCACGGAAGGGAGCCGCAATGATTCGTTCAGCGCCATCAATACGCCTCAAGTCATGGTGAAAGGCCATGCACCTTGTAGGAAATCACTAACTATGTAACCTCGTTGCAGCTATTCGGGACCGGAAACTGTTGGAGAGTCTACTACGTATGCATCACTTCCTTTTTTTGAACACCATTTAGGCTCTAGGCGCGTCTCACTGAGGTTCATCACATTGAATTGTTACAGTAGTCCCTTGTAGCCCATTTCTCCGGGCTCCCATCGGTCTTTACACATTCCTGGCCGTGTGATGGACCATTGAGGCGATATGTGGCACACTACCTACGCATGCAGCTGTCGGTCCGGTGACAAGTAGAACAACGATACGCGGCGCACAGTGTGATGCTCGGTTCTCTATCACGTACATTCGTACATCCTCCACACTCCGAGTCAAAATCGGCGACCTGGCCCTTCTACATATATCTTCAATTGTTGCTTCGTGAGACCTTCTTCCCCCACGTTCGCTTCTTCTTCTCTCCTTTGAAGGCGACTTTCGTTTATCGTTATATCGGTTATCATTCTTAAGCTTGGGCTATCATTACCAACGTCACCATGACTTTCATCCGTGCATTCTTTTTATTGTTGACAGCAGTTGCTGCTGTTCCTGCCCCTCAGGCCGAATCATCGAGCCCAGTTTCAACAGCCGCCGGAACTGCTACAATCTCTTCAGCGTCTTCGACTGCTACATCCGTCTGCTCCGGAAACACTGCCAGTGATCGTAGCGTTTGGTGCAACTACAGCATTGACACCGACTATTATACTGGTGGCCCAGATACTGGTGTGACAGTTGAGGTCCGAATTTCCAAGATGTCCTTTGAGGAAATACTGACAACTCCAGTACTGGCTCGAAGTAACTAATGTCACACTTGCTCCAGATGGCGTCGAGCGCATTGTCCTTGCCGTTAATGGGACTGTGCCCGGGCCCACACTCGAAGCGAATTGGGTAAGAAACCCTTCTTCAATAGATAGTTTGGGGAATTCCCCTAAGAACACACAGGGAGACACGTTGGTCATTCACGTCCAAAATAGCCTCACTAATAATGGATCCGGCATTCATTGGCACGGCATCCGTCAAATGGGGACGAATCAATATGACGGTGTACCAAGCATCACGCAATGCCCAATAGCAGTAGGTTTATTACCTTTTTGAATAAACCAACCAGTGATCTAACATATCTTGCAGCCTGGCGACTCTTTGACATATACGTGGAAAGCCACCCAGTATGGAACGAGCTGGTAAGGCCTATATATGTTATATACGGACTTAATGCTAAGTGCCTAGGTATCATTCCCACTACTCCCTCCAAGCATGGGAGGGAGCTTTCGGTAAGCTATCTACTCCCTACTATAACAGCGATGTCCTAACGTATGTCAGGGCCGATCATCATTCATGGACCAGCCACCGCCAACTACGACGAAGAAATTGGCACAGTCTTCTTGAACGACTGGAGCCACAGCACCGTAGACGCTCTCTACACCTATGCTCAGACTTCCGGCCCTCCACTTATGGATACTGGCTTAATTAATGGCATGAACGTGTATGGCGACGGAGGCTCCCGATACGCAGCGAATATTGAATCCGGAAAGAAATATCTGATTCGGCTCGTTAACGGGGCTATTGACACTCATTTCAAGTTCTCCATTGATAACCATAACCTCACGGTCATTTCAAGCGATTTCGTTCCAGTCACTCCTTTCAGCATTGATGTTTTGGATATCACTATGGGTAGGTCGAACCTCATCTGGAACATCTTGTACGCTTAACTAACCTTTTGTGAAGGTCAACGGTACGACATTATCATAGAAGCAAACCAAGATACCGCCGACTACTGGATGCGCGCCATTCCCCAGCTTTCTTGCAGCAATAACGATTCCCCCGATAATATTCGAGGCATCATCCGCTATGATAGCAGTAGCACTTCTGACCCCACAAGTTCAGCATGGGCCCAAGATGATGACTGCGTCGATGTTGCCTTGTCAAGCCTAGTTCCTCATCTTTCACAAGCAGTCGTTGATCCAACAGGAGATGATCTAACGGTAACTGTCACCACGAACGAGGAGAATCTGTTCAGGTGGCAGATCGCCCTTGAAAGCATGCAGGCACGATGGGGAGACCCTACACTGATGCAGGTCTATGATGGTAATACGAGTTTTGAGGATGCGGAGTGTGTGTATAACCTTGCGGAAGCGGACCAGTGGGTTTACTGGGTCATTGAGACGGCCATTCCAGTTCCACATCCCATTCATTTGCACGGTAAATCCCTCCTATCTTCACCTCCACTTTTTGATTTCTCACATCTGCCGAACCATCATGTTCGGCATGCATGGAACCAGCATTATCACGCCAATTGCTGCATCCACCCTTGTCATTTACAAAGCCCTGGCTAATAATAAGCTGCAGGCCACGACTTCTTCATCCTAGCGGCTGCAGAAAGCGCAAGCTACGACTCCTCCGTGACCCTCAACCTCGACAATCCCCCGCGTCGTGATGTTGCAAATCTCCCAGCTTCGGGGTACTTAGTCCTTGCTTTCAAAACCGATAACCCAGGAGTTTGGTACGTACCCCATCTTCGCCGATCAATGCCCCTCTTGAAGCACCTCATCTTATTATCTTGGAATTCTTTCTGACTTTGAACAAGGCTCATGCATTGTCATATCGGATGGCACACATCCGAAGGTCTCGCGCTACAGTTTGTGGAGAGAGCGAGTGAGATCCCAGCGTTGGTAAAGTATGATGTTGCAAATGCGACCTGTGCAGCTTGGGATACTTGGGTTAGCCAGTCAGGCATTGTAGAGGAGGATTCTGGTGTTTGATTTCTCATTCTGGGTTTAAAACGAATCAAAGGACAAGTTTAAATAAACTGAGGCGTCTGAAGGAGGCTAGGCACGCAAAAGCCAGGTAAACGTAAGGGTTTACAGTTTCGCAAATGCGCAGCTATGAAGTTCTGAGGACGTGTTGCTTTCTGTTGTATGTAAAATATCATTACTGTTCGGAAACGAGCAAAGAATCATCATAGTGATGCTTCGTAATCTTGTCGTCATTGTTTCTATGGGCGGTAACAGAACGCTTGCCTCAATTCCTTAGCCATCAACCACCTCAACTCCTATCCAATAATCCAGAGACCAAACACCAGTGCAAAAATTCACCAACCCCCTAATGACTAATATACTGAAACACAGCACTAACTTCCTTACAGCCCTCTTCCGTCTCCTGTCTGAGTAACAAGTCCTGAATATTACCCAATGGGCCCTTTACCCCATCATTAACAAAATGGTTCCAGGTACTGGTATCCCCGTACAGCATAGCTGGGGCTTTAAGCACCTGCCTCCCGTCTTCTTTCCTACATCTCTTGCACTTAAACGTGTCATGCGTGTCACTCGTAGTGTTATCTCTATACTGAAATAGCTCACGTAGTGAATCGAGGCTAAAGTGGCGTTCGACATCCTCCGCAGAGTCGACGACACATGATGAGAGAGATTGTTTATGAGATTGGCGTTGGAAGATCTTCTCTTCAATTGTTCCGGTTGCTATGAAGCGGTATACGAAACAGTCTTTTTTCTGCCCGTCACGCCATACCCGAGCAAGTGCTTGTTGGTCGGCGGCGGGATTCCAGTCTGGGTCGAAAAGCACAAGGCGATTGGCACCGATCAGATTGAGACCACATCCGCCAGCTTTTGATGAGAGCAAGAAGACGAATTCAGTGCCTTCCGGGTCGTTAAATTTGTTGACCAGCTTTTGGCGTTTACTGACGTTCAAGGTCCCATCGAGGCGAAGGCAGCCATAGCCACGCGCGCGGCAGAGCTGAGCGAAAACATCAAGGGTTTGTGTGTAGTTGGAGATGAGGACAATTTTGTCGTTTGTTTCAGCGCGGATGCGGGCTAGCATGCGGTCTAGAACAAGCATTTTGCCAGAGTACCAGACTTTTACATCGCGGTCTCGGCCTCGGGCGTCTTTGTGAACAAAGTCCTCTGGCAAGAGGTTGTCGCAGCCTGGAAGATCGGATGGTAGGTCGAGAAGATCCGGGTGGTTACAAAGCTTCTTTAGCAGACCGATGGCCTTGAGCGGTTGGCTACCTTTACCACGAAGCAAGCTCTTGATATCGGGAGATTGGATGAAGTGGTTGTACATATCCTTCTGGAATGGCGATAGGTTGCAAAAGACAACATGTTCGTACTTAACGGGCAGATACTTCGAGAGGATATCATTCGTTCGCCGAATGATGAATTTGTTTACCAGAGTCAAAAGCTCAGCCAGGCGTTCATCACCTTTCTGCCGGTCTGCATCTGTTCCGGCTGCGTCACGGCCACGCAAAATGGGGATCTCATATTGCTTGCGAAACTCCATCCGAGTACCAAGATAATTTGGATTAGCAAAGTTGAGCAAGGAGAAGTACTCCGAAAGGTCGTTTTGAATTGGTGTCCCGGAAAGGATGACGCGCTTCTGGACATTTAGACCAGTCAAAGCAGTGAAGGTTTGACTTTCGCCGTTCTTAAGTCTGTGCCCTTCGTCACAGAGCAATAGCCCTATCGGAGTGTTCTTCAGCTCGTCGACATTGATGCGGAGGGTTTCATACGAAACAATAAGAACTGGTCTGACCACAGCGCGGCCGGACGCAATGGACCACTGGCGCATTTGCTGGACCAACTCCTCTTTGGAGGCTTTTCCGTCGATAGCAAAGGGAGTTATAGCATCCTTCCCGAGCCATTTGACTAGTTCATCTGCCCAATTTCTCACAAGACTAGAAGGACAGGCGATGACGCATTTCTGAATTGTGGGTTTACCGGCTTCGGGAGATTGTTTCAATAGCGTCCACATCAAGGTAATACATTGAAGCTAAACACGTCAGCATGGCTAGAGAGGCATTGAAGACTATTTGGTGCTTACGGTTTTGCCTAAGCCCATCTCATCTGCCATGATACAGCCATTTGCCATTGGATCAATCAAGCCAGTTGTACAACGATACAAAAACTTTACACCCTCGATCTGGTGAGGACGGAGGACTTTGGCTAATCGTGGATCAATTACCACAGGTACTCTGGGGTGCTCTTCGACCTTTTTTTTTAAGCCCAAAATATCTGCTAAACTCTTGTGCACTAGCGGGACATCCAAGCTTTTGACATCTTCCTGACTCAGCTTTTCCACTACTTCTTCCATCTGCACCGGCCTGTCATCGATGGTGGGGTCGTATAGTACGATAGCAAATTCTCCGCTCGGGTCATGCAGCGGCTTAGCAACGAAAACCCGACCCAGCCGCATTCCAAGCAGCGGCGCTGGTCTGAACGAGTTGTACGATCCGTTCTCTTTATTAAGTAATGGAATGGTGAAGCGTTGTTTAAATGTGCTCTCCTTATCCTTAGGTTTGAATACCGGAAATCGGTTGATGTCTCGGGTGGCAAGAGCCAGCCTCTCATCGTTCGTGTATGTTTTGTCGCCTTCACCGTCCTCTCCATCAGCGCCAGCATAATTGACCTTCCTCCTTTTTCTCGCGGGCTTTAAAGATGCGCGTGTGGTTGTGGCAGAGCCAGGGCATTTAAAGGGACGATGTAGCCGTTCGGTTGACTGAGGTGTCCCGCCGTACAGTCGCGACGCTTTTTGCTGCGGAGTGCCGGCTTCGCCTGCCGCGAGTGCCTTTGAACGATGCCTAGGAAGCAATTAGTAGGGAGTTAAACATTCTGTGGGTATATAACGCACATGTTCAGGTTAAATAGCGTGATTTATGGTGGTATTCTGGGATCAAGGCGAGATGAGACGCGACAGGAAGCTCGACAAATCAATTGGGTGTCGCGTATTCACGTGCGCGCTAGCCTGTTATAGAATAGTGGTTTTTGGAGCCTTCCATGGCTCCATCGGTCTTCATTGATACTACCAAACTTCTCAGAAATATCTTAAATTCAACAATATACAGATAATAATAATAAACGAACTCCTTCCCCTTGCTTCTTTCTCCTTGCACCAGCCCGCTCAATCAAATACCACACCCATCCGTCCTTGAGCTTTATGAGAGTTCTGTTCGCCAGTCAACATATATTAGATTATCCCAGACTAGGAGTACTTGCCATCAAATCAATCATCTTTGGAAGTTCCTCTAGCTTGTAAAGCGTTAGGTGAGGTTTAATGTTGTGTTTCGCGCTGAACTCGATAGCAGGCCTCATATTGTAGCATGCTTGACTGCAGGTTAATTACGAGTAAGTAATTGATTTCATGAAACTCACTTCCGTTGTTTGAGCCCTTCACTCGATAGCGACCAAGGGCAATGTCCAGCGCATTCAACTCGAGTGGTTGTCTCGGAATACCAACAATCATCAAAAGCCCTAGGCCAGGCTTGATAATTGCTGGAGTGTCATCGTAAGCCTTTTTAGAAGCTGTAAAGTTTACAGCAGCATCAACACCACCGCCGGTAATCTCTAGGACTTTCTTCTGCCAGTCCTTGTCTGTCATAGAGTTGAAAACATGATCAGCACCACAATTCTTGGCTTCTTCCAGGGCCTGATCAGCGATATCGAGACCGATGACCTTGTAACCCATTGCTCTAAGCGGTGTGAGCACTGGCTGATAAGCTGGACGAGAAAATTTAACGTACTTTGCGTATTGAACCCCCAAATGGCCTAACCCACCGCACCCGATGATAGCCATCCATTGCCCAGGCTGGAGCCCGCAGTCTTCCACTCCATGGAACGCTGTAACTCCGGCACAGAAAAGCGGTGCGGCCGTTTTTACGTCGAGCTCCGGAGGCAGGATCATCGTGGCCCGCGCATCCACGCAAACATACTCTTGGAAATATCCATCTAATGTAAATCCCTGCATTTTGGTGGTTCCTTTGGCACAATACGCATTATGGACTTTCCTACATTGCTCACATTCGAAACAGCACTCTACCGCGCAAATAAATCCAACGTTGTCCCCAGTTTTGAATTTTCTCGCGACCTCGCCCGAACCCGTAGAGACAACTACCCCTGTTGCTTCATGGCCAATTGTTACTGGATTCTTCCCAAGGATTAGGCCCTGATCATTAGGTTCGAACAACATAATATCTGAATGGCACAGCGACGCGCAGGCAACTTTAACGAGTACTTCATGCGGTTGCGGTTCTGGAATCGGTACTTCGTTGAGGTATAGCTTATTGTCCCGGGCATCGTATCTGCCTTCAGTCAACAAAATCTCTTCTTCGAGATACTGCTCACTAGCTCCATTCTCGGGGGTGGCTTACTGCTGCGCCTTCATTGTCGTTTTAGTCGGCTTGAGATAATCGAGAGAACCCATTGTAAAGTATGAGACTTGTCTAACGCTTTCGTAAATCCGTAAGTTATTCAAAAGGGTCCACCCTCCGGTCCTCCGGCATGTTCATTTTATTTATTTAGACACTTGGTGAGGGTAACCGCGGGAAAGCACTACCGCTCACCTTCGTGAGGAAGATGGTTCCCGATAAGGGATGCTGGCCTCAATGACGCTTCCCCTCAGAATACTAGACACGAGAACAAACGCCATGAAAGCCTAGAAAATGAGATTAGGGGGACCAAGATATGAGTATGTCCTCCAACCCCCAGGTTCTCTCACCCTTACGTCCTGTAGTTCTAAGATCTAACCCTTGCGTAACATTACAGCATGAACCCAGTTCACCTTTCAAATGAATAAGCCGGAGACGGTGTGCTCTCTCAAAACCTACGCTCTTCGTCTCAACACACCTCTCCCACAAGGAAGGTGGTCGGTTTGTAACTGGCGTTTAGAGGTCGAAGCTCCACAACCCCGCACCAGGACAATGAGCTTCCCCGCGTGTCCGGAAATGGAGAGGCGCCTTGGACATTTTAAAAATCTCCGAAACGTCCTCTCTTCCTCAGAGCCGTGGTTGATTTCGAATAAGACCAATAATCGTTGCTCCATAAACATCCAGGTCGAGAGATAATCATCGCGTCCCTATATCACTAACACCATTTCAGGAATAGCGTCCTTATTTCATCTGTAGTCACCTTTCACCTTAAGCCTCACCACATTTACCTAACCTCGCCCTCTTCCAGGTTAAAGCGCCATATGTAGCTCAGCGCTTATCGATTTTTTACATTGCAAACTTTGCAAATGGTACGAAACATAGGGGCAGCCCGTTCCCTCATGTCACGTCACCTCAACTCACGCTTCTTCTAAATTGAAAAGTATCTAACGCTTTCCATACATTGATAACGCCGGAAATTTGATTGAATGCGAGAATCTCATCTTGGCTCGCTTGTCTAAGTTGGCCGCAACGTCGACCTCGAGTCTACGACTTCGGAACTGTGCCTTGCTTACTCAACTCCGATACACGAACCAGGGGTTGCCAGGTTGAGCAACGCGTGATACCAAGACTTCAGTTTGCTCCTCTCGGCGCTCAATGCTTTTGCTTAATTAGGAATCGGTCGTTTCATGTCTGGATTTCGATGCTCGGAACTCTCACCCTCGGGAGATTTTCTGGATATCGGATTGCCATCTATACCCCTTCGTACATAAATACACATCATAGTGAGACGGCCTCCTTATTGCAGTTCGATTTCGCTCATTTCGTCTCGATATAAGTATGGAAGGTTTCGCTGTCAGGGTATCTATAAACTTCTATCTACACTTTCCTTCAATTACATCTTGACTCTCTCCTAGAGAGAATCCATCTTTCATTCTCATTAACATCAAACACTACCCGGCATGACGTCCCTTCTTTCGAATTCCCTATTTCTCTTACTCGGCTCCGTACTCGCTGCTCCCTTTACTCCAAATCTCGTCCCCCGAGCCCTGAACCCTTCATGCGCACCCGGCGGTAACTTCGATCTCTCACTCTGGAACCTCCAACTTCCTACAGGCACCCAAGGCCACATTGATCAAATCACCTCCTCTACACTTAAAGGCTGTTCCGGGTATTCTACTTCCAATTACTTCTTCACTGACTCCAAAGACGGCGCTCTTATCATGAAAGTCCCAGGGTCGCCGTCGAGCGCTGGATGTGTGACGACCAGCGGAAGTAAACATTGCCGTACAGAATTGAGGGAGGTAAATCCATCAAGCTGGGATCCCAGGAAGCAAGTCAACAGGTTGAAGGCAAAGCTTTCAGTTCCAACGCCTGATGATTCGAAATACGGTACCGTAATCGGCCAAATCCATGTTGACGATAGCGTATCTTCCAAACCGGTTTGCGAACTCTTTTACAATAAAAACGGCGATATCGCCATGGGTGTGGAGCAGATTCCGGATGAGTCGAGCCTCAAATATACGGCGATTGGGAACGTCCCGAAGAACCAGACTTTCACGTATGAGATTAGGTACGAGGGCGGAAAGTTGAGTGTGGGTATCAATGGAGAGGTTTTCAAGACTTTAGGGACGGGGGGTTTGGAGAGTCCGAAGAGTTATTTTAAGGTTGGGAATTATAATCAGGGAGACTCGGCGTCGAGTGTGAGGTTTCTGTCTATCGATGTGGCCCACTCTTAGCGGATTTCTGGGGGTTTTGTTGCGGGATTGGCTTGTTGATTATCCCCTTCGGTTGAGCTCCATTCTTGTCCTCCATGATGGCACTGTTCTAGAAAATGTTCTTCCGAACGATATGCTATTTGCTATACGCTCTAGAAAAGAGAGCCGAACGCCTAATCAGGTTTAGCGCAACTCAACATTTACGGAGGATTTGTTCTTTTTAACCCGTCTCTAGATCCCCTACCAGTCTATGTGCACTTTGTCATCATTCATCGCATATCACTAGTCGACACATTAATGATTTGCATGTCGACACCTCTCCGACTTGCTTAATGCTGCAGCAACGCAATTCCATCCTGTCTATCATGAACACCCGCAACTTTACTCGTAATCTCTGGGTTACAACCGTCCTCCTTGTCCATTTACCGATATGTAAAGCAACAAATATAGATTCCAATGAAAGAGTAGGATGGACTTCCGCCCCAAACTCAAGAGGCACTATCGATATCCTGTGGACTTGCCTCTTCACGGTCTTTCTCTGCTGCTGGACCGCCATTCACCCCGGTATTCCCCACCCTAAGTCACTATGGTGGCAACGGTATTTAGACCGGACGATTTGCCTCCTAGTAGGCGCCATTGCTCCAGAAATATTCATTTACATCGCCTTCTTCGAGCGTATGGATGTGATGGTGATTCACCAAGAACCACCACCGAACGTTAGTTACAAGAAATGGACGACCGTCCATCGTTTCTACTTCTTGATGGGTGGATACTGCATTGGTTGGCATCCACCTGAGGAAGCTGAGATTGCAAGAGTTGGATACTTACGTATCGGCGTCCTTTATGAACTTCTTCGCGATGGGCGAATCGACCCTAAAAATCTGATTACCAAAGAAGACATTCTTGACAAAGGAAAAGCGGATGGCTTGGTAAAGACCGTCACACTTCTTCAGATTGTGTGGGTGCTTGTGCAGAGTATCGCACGCTGCATTCAACACCTTCCCCTCACCACTCTGGAGATCAGCACCCTGGCATATATACCCTGTGCGGCGATCGTCTTCGGCCTTTGGTGGAACAAACCATACGATGTCAGCGTGCCTACAATCATAGACATGGCGACTTACGCGTCGCCTCATTATCGAGCTGTTGAGACAGAGCAGTATACGATCATCCCGGCCACGTACCAAACTTACGGCATGGCGCGCCAGTTTCGAGATGCCGTAGTGTCTAGTTTAGTTCCAATTGGCTTTGGAGGGTGGGTCTCTGTCGTGGTATTCTTTCTAGTGGGATCGATCCACCTTGCTGCGTGGAACTTCTCTTTCCCTTCTCCCTTCGAGAAGTGGGCCTGGCGAGCCTGTTCACTCGTCTTGACAATTAGCATTCCATTTTCCTGGGTTCTAACTCGAGGGGTACTCAGGCTGGTTAGGCTCGTTTTGGACATGGGAGAGGCGAAGGCAATATGGCTCGCGGGAACAATCCAGGGAATCGGAGTAGGCCTCTATGTAATTGCGAGACTCTATTTGTTGGTTGAAGTTTTCGTAAGCTTAAGGGCGGTACCGAAGGATGCATATGATACCCCTGATTGGACTAGATTCCTGCCGCACGTATCATAGTCATTGAAAGAGAAACGATTTTTTTCAGAGAAGACGTTGTGTGAGCGTTGCGCCACTTGTGACAAAAAAAAAAAACGTTCTGCGCTGTGCCTCTGCTGGGTTCCTTCAGGCATCCATGCAAATGCGCATTTGCGCGCACAAGTTCGCGAAACTCGATTCCCTCGATAAACGCCAAAAAAGAAGAAAGGAGCGCAATTCGAATTATCATGTGTATCGAATTAGTGAGATATACTTCAATTTTAGTAATTCGAAGAATATAAAACTTGCTAGTCGCAATTTAACATGGCTACCATGGACCAATTTCCCAATAACCAAAACAACGGCCTTTGACAACTAAGTTTCAAGTCGACAAAACTCAAGATGGTCGAAGGACAACGTACTCTCAAGCGGAGTCCGAAGAAGAGTTCGAAGAGGTGAGTGATCTTATCGTAGTTCATTCGAATGTCAAAGAAGGCTGACGAGAACGCAGTCAAAACTCGCCAGCATTACTCGCATACTTATCTAGTCCAGCGACACTACAAGAACGCCTTGCTTCGGGAATATCGATGGCGGCTGATGAGGACGTAAGGAAGAGGGATTTAGAGCAGAGGATAGAGCAGTTGCTGAGTGCGATGCAGAACGTGGGACTGGAGGAAGAACAGAGGCGACTAGAAGAGCAACCTTGAGAGAGCCCGTGCATTTTTGGGGGTAATAGAATAGTTGAGAATAGCACGAGAGGAAGGCGATTGAGTGGTCTCTAAGGACTTGGATTGTAGTGCAATGTGTTAGGAGGGGATGTTGTGGCTGATAGGGGTTGCTGTGGCTGAAAGGTGATGCTGTGCCTGCAGGCAGGTGGTTAAGCGGTCCTTCATCCTCGGACGAAACCCTCGCCACAGCGAGGTTAAATCAACTTCTTTTGCCTTTGAATTCCTTCTCTCTACCCTCACAAATGGTCTAGTGATTGTGAAATCTTTGAAACCAACGAAGAAGTGTGGTTGTTGTGAGATCGGGCGAAAAACCCGCCGTTGATCAGCTTGAACCCCATTTGAAGGTCGTTTTCAACATTCATGCTGACGATAACAGGAATGTAAAATTACATGAACATCACTTAAGAATACGGCTTCGGGACCAGTCGTCATTGCACCGTCACAGAACCATGGAGTGGGAATATCTTCCATGCCACCGTGGATCATATACCCCAAACTTGACACACGCTGTCGTCAGGCCATAGAGCGACCGCCAATCACAAACTTCACAATACTAAAGGATTTCCACAAATCATGCGGGAGGGAGCGGTAAATTGAAGATGGACACGTAAAGCCAGGAATACAGGAGGAATAAAGAGCTTTGATTGAAGGATGTCGGTGGCTTAGAAGATACGAAATTGGAACTCCCGACGTCAGCGTGACTGTTGCGGAATCCGAACTCTAATCTGGTAAGCCTCACCTGCTTGAAGAAGCAGTTGCGCGACGAAGATGCAAGAAGAACTCAACTTAAAGACTCGTTTGGCCAGAACGTGCATGACAAAGAAGAGGTGCAAAGACTGGAGTTGATGATTGTTGGTTTGAGACACTCGCCTCACGCAGAACCACGGTTTGGGCGAGTCAACGCGAAGGAAGTTAGAACAAATGGCCATGAGACATTGACCCGCATTATTGCAGGTGCACAGCACGAATGACCACTGTGTCGGGGAGGAAATTAGCGAAAAGGTCGCCCTTTGGAGTCGTTTGAAGGAGCCTGCATTTACAGCTGAAGCCCACCACTGTCTGTTTACTCAGGGACAAGGACCAAAGTCGCGAGGACGTTCTAAGTTACAAGACGATGGACGAAACTTTTCGTTCAGTCTTACAGGTCTCACGAAACGTGGTGTGAAGGATCTTAGCGGGTACCTGCGTCCTTGAAGAAACTCTGGCCGGCGATGCTGCGGTGTTGTGTCGCTCGAGCAGCATTCTCCGGGGGAGCCCCGTTTTTCCTGTCACAATGCTACCCACGGATGGAAGCTGTCGCTGTCTTGTTGGGAGATCCACGGGTCTGCTGTCAGCATTCTTGGGCGGGTTCTTCTGCAGCGAGCCGTCTATTTTTGCACGCGACACAGCCACGCACCAAGACCGCACGCGACTGGTCACTCAAATCGCCCGCCGAAGCCTGCCTGCGCTTGGAAGCATCACTCAACCGCCGAAGATCACTGCTCATCCGGCAGTGTGACTGCAGAGCCGCTACTATATTAAACGATCATCGTGGTGGTGAGAGCGCTTCAAGGGCATCGATACTGGTGTTCTGGTGTTTGTGTTCAGAGCTGTTGCGCGCAAGCATCAGCGGTAAAGAACGCTGGGCGCCCATGAGTGCTGGCTCGTCGAATGGCGGATAGCGGTCCAGCCGTCGTTCAGGCTGGGAGCTAGCGGGGAGGAACCATGGCGGACGCCCTTTGCCTGGTCTCTCCTCGGCCACGATTGGCCCACTTTGCAGCGTCGCATTGCTCAGCTCTTGGGAAGTGAGTGGTGACCGAGCGCAAAAGCGAGGAGGCGCAAGCACTCGTGGCGCTGTCTGAGTGACCCAGAACTGTGTCGGTTTTAGTTCTTAAGAAGACGCTGGCAGGCCACGCAGCAGCAGGACCCGCTGAAACACTTGAAGGAAGGATTTTCTGGACGCCTCTGGACTTCATTCTAAGAACTATTCACCATTCCAACGCCGTGCGACCGTTGACAATCCTGCGCGTTTGTGCACCCGCTGCCCGGAGCGTTTCTCGAAATTACGAATCCCTTCCTCTTTCGGCACGTCGGCTCCCTCGCCCCTGCCGTCTTGGCCAGCCGTGGCTCAAACCCCAAACCTGCTCAAACACTCCCTCTCGACACACCCACCACCACCACCACCTCCTCTCCTCATCACCCATTCTCATCGGCGCTTCGTCGTCTGTCCCTCGTTTCACCTTCACTTTTTCCGTCGGTTCCACAGCTTCTTGCATTCTTGGCTCCTCTATCGACATCTTCACCTTCGCCTTCAGCGTCTTCAACTTCGACTGCGACTTCTACTCTACGGCACGAGAAAGGTTGATCCTGCGGCCCTACTCCGTTTAATCCGTCCATTTTCTCCTCTGTCCATTAACGATTGTTTCCTGTTTACGGCCCCCTCAAGGCTCGTTTAACCTATTTGTTTATCGCATATCTCTTAGGGCATCACAGCCGACCCCCCTTCACGGGCTCACCCGCCTCCGGGCGACCACACATATCCACCATGAGAGTTCATAGCACGTATTCTACAATGCTCGCGCCCTTCCTACTACTAGCATCCATGCCTCTAGTTGCCCTCGGTGCTGACGTCCTGAAGACTGACGGCTTCAGCTCCTGCGCCAGCAACTCAGACATCAAAGTAAACAGGCTGGACATCGAGTTCGACAAGTCCACGAAGAAGATTACGTTCGATGTTGCGGGCTCCAGTAGCAAGGAACAGAAAGTCATGGCAACCTTGGTTGTCAACGCTTATGGCAAGGAAGTGTACAGGAACAAGTTCAACCCTTGCGACGAGAACACTAAGGTGCCGGATCTGTGTCCTGGTAAGTTGCATGTTTTTTCCTATCTTGACGTATCACTAACAAATTTAGTTCCGAGTGGTAATTTTGCAGCCAAAGGAACACAGAGCATCCCCGACTCGTATATCTCCCAGATCCCTTCCATCGCCTTCAACGTCCCCGATCTCGACAGCCAGGCTACACTAGAACTCACGGCAGTTGATGGCGGCCAGCAATTGGCGTGTATCACATCTCAAGTCAACAACGGAAAGTCCCTTTCGGTTCCAGGAGTTTCCTATGCTGCCGCTGGTATCGCTGGTGCTGCCCTCGTTGTTTCTGGCCTCTCCGCCCTCGCTAGTGCTGGCCACGCCGGTGCTCCAACACACAGCCCAACCTTCACCGAAGTCATGGGGTGGTTCCAATCCATGGCTCTCAACGGAATGATGAGCGTGCAATATCCTGGCGTCTATTCCAGTTTCTCAAAGAACTTTGGTTTCAGTACTGGACTGATCTACTGGGAGGGCATGCAAACTTCAATCGATGGTTTCCGAAATAAAACCGGTGGCAACTTGACTGAAGATAGCGTCAAATATCTGAAGACGGCAACCCTCGTTCATACGAATCCTGGAAACATTACCAAGCGAGGTCTTGACACTGTCTTTCTCTGGGGCCGCGACGAACTGCAAACCCAGGTCAACGGAACCCAGAACAGCACCGGAGGAGATGACAAGGTCCAGCACGCCGTGAAAGGGATCCAAGGCTATGTTGAGGAACTTAGCATTCCTGATGGTAATACTTTCATGACAGTGCTACTCATCTTTGCCATAGTCATCGCCGCCATCACCGTCGGCATCCTTCTCTTCAAAGTCATTCTCGAGACCTGGGCGCTCTTCGGAAGCTTCCCCAAACGTTTAACCAGCTTCCGTAAGCGGTACTGGTGGCTCCTTGCGAAAACCATCACCAACTTGATTCTTGTTCTCTATGGCATCTGGACTCTATACTGCGTGTACCAGTTTAAGAACGGAGATTCCTGGGCTGCCAAACTTCTTGCTGGTATTACACTAGTCGCTTTCACTGCCATTCTTGCCTTCTTTACTTGGAAGATCTGGAGCATTGCCCACAAGTTCCAAAGGATGGAGGGCGATGCCTCGGCTCTCTACGACAACAAGGAAGTCTGGAGGAAATACAGCATCTTCTACGAGAATTACAAGAAGAGCTATTGGTGGATCTTCGTCCCAGCAATTGTCTACATGTTCGCCAAGGGCTGCGTAATTGCTGGTGCTGACGGTCATGGACTTGCTCAGGCCGCCGGCCAGCTGATCGTCGAGTCTCTTCTTCTCATTCTCCTGCTTTGGGTTCGTCCATTCTCTCTCAAGTCTGGTAACTGGATCAACATCGTCATCCAAGTCGTCCGTGTGTTGTCTGTGGTCTGCATTCTGGTGTTCGTCGAGGAGCTTGGCGTTGCACAAACCACAAAGACAATTACCGGTCTTGTGTTAGTTGTGATGCAAGCAGTCTTGACTGGTCTCCTGGCTATTCTCATTGCTGTCAACGCCCTCATCATTTGCTGCCGCGACAACCCACATCGCAAGAAGAGGAAGGAAGCCGGTAAGTCACACTTCTGTTTTCTCTCCAAAGATTGTCATACTGATATAATTTTAATAGAGAAAATGCGCGACCTTGACAATCTGACTCCTCTCGACGCCCGGAACTCCCTTCTCATGGACCCTGTTGAATACAAGAGTACCTCCGTACCCGCTCCATTCGGCACCCGCGGTGGCTACGATCCAGTGCCCCTTAGCGAACAACAAGTCGGACCCAGGGGTACTCGACGGTTCCAGGAGGGCCAGGAACACCTTCTAAGCGAGGCGGCGAGCATTGACGGACAACGAAGCCACAGCCATACACGAAGCATCAGCGGGGATAGAAGTCAGAGCCCGCCAGTTTCAAGGGCACCACGACTGCCTGAAATTGATTTAGGTGTTCAGCAAGGTGGATACCAACAAGGTGGATACGCTCCCCAGGGAGCATACCGAGGCAACGCATACTAGATACTCGAAACTCGATACCCAAAAGTAATTCGGATTGTACATTTTTTTTGGAGGCCGGCATCAGCCTTTTGGTAGTGTATATGTCACATTTTGTGTGCTTGTGGAACATTGTGGGGTAAAGCGTCTTTTGCTTCAAGGTTTGGAGAGGCATAATTTTACACATCATGGGAATGGACGGGTAATCTAGAAACCCGGTTCCCCTACGACACGAACGTCTTTCATTTTCCAGTTTTCGGCTGTGTGCAGTCAGCCTTATAGATCTCAGACAGAAAGTTGTAATTTACGAAACGTCGGCCAGTGGCCCGCGCACAAGATAAATTCTGTTGGTAGAGACAATAGCATTCGTTATATTACATCCAGACCTGAAACTCGTGCCTTGGAGTAACGTCATGTGTGTCCCTTCTCGAACCTCTCCCCACGTGGAAATCTCAACCTTGGAAATAAGACGCCACGAGTTTGGATGATCTTACCCAGATCCCGATCAAAGAATCGTGCTCAGAGATACGCACAACCAGGGCGTTGGGAATTGCCCAGATAGCAGATATTGGCCCAGGCCCGAAGTGTGAAGTTGTGACGCCACCGCCTGCGCCAGTCAATATCGCTGGGTCCGTTCTCGCCCTTTCCGATAGCTTCTGTGGGCCTTGTAACATGCTGGCATGCCCGACCCCCGTACAAACTCCCTAAAACACCGAGTCCGTCGACTTTTATTCCTGCATCCAAATCCTATTTGGGAAATGTGATAAGAGGTGCCAGCCTTGGCCAAAAAGACTGGCTGCACAATAGTTCCTGCGAATTTTGTGGCAGGCTGAGGTTTGGAATCTCCTCATCACCTTGCACTTTTCTCCGTGGAACTCTTGTTCTGGGTTTTCGATTCCCTAGTGATGAGATTGCTACGTTTTTGAACAGAGTCAACGCGTTGACGCTGCCGTTCTTTCGTGTTCTTCAGTGTACTCAACCTTGGGTCGAGCACGATTTGACAGCCCAACATTATAATATTTCTAGACCGTTACGTTTCACACTGAGATCTGTTCGAAATTCTTTCCGCTACGCTACGAGTCTACTGCTCCCCTTACAATCCCACATTTTCGTTCTTTCCATACCAGTACCCAGTCACTCTGACTACAGAGCAAGCAATGTGGTTCACAATCCGCACGATCACAGCGCTATCCGCCCTATTACCCCTCGCCCTCTCTACTTCATCCCCGAAACGCGGACTCTGCCACGTCCCCTCATCGGAGCACTCCACCGACGACAAAATCTGGATCTCCACCCCCGGCTCAGACCTAAGCTGGTACTACAACTACGGTTACGAGCCCTCAGCCGCCTACACCAACAGCAAGCTAGAATTCGTGCCTATGCTCTGGGGCGCCTCCGAAAAGGACGTCGGCACACCCTTCCTGGACTCTGTAACCGCGCAAATTAATGGAGGATCCAAAATCTCCTACGTCCTCGGTTTTAACGAACCCGACGGTACCACATTCACAGGCGGATCCAATATCTCTGCTGATCTCGCAGCCTCGACGTGGAAGAAGCAGATCGAGCCTCTGAAAAAGCTGAATGTATCACTAGGCGCTCCGGCGGTGACGGGCTCGCCGAATGGGTTTACGTGGTTGGAGAATTGGCTTAAGGCGTGTGATGGGGGTTGTAACCCTGATTTTATCCCCGTGCACTGGTATGGAAATTTTGAGGGTATGGCGAGCCATATTGGACAGGTTATGGGGACATATCCGAATATGACTATATGGGTGACGGAGTGGGGATTTCCGAACCAAGAGCTGCGGGTGACGCAGGAGTTTTATAATATTAGCACGCAGTGGTTCGATCGTATGGAGTGAGTATTGCCCTCTTTCTCTAATACTTGCGCGAGCTGTAGGAATGCAGGAGGCTGATGTTGAGGTGCTTGCAGGATTATCACGCACTATTCGTATTTCGGCGCGTTTCGATCCGATGTCTCGAATGTAGGGCCAAATGCCACAATGTTGACACAGAAAGGGGAGTTGACGGATATCGGTTCTTGGTATCTGGGTGGCGTGGCGACGAATAATATCCCTAAGAGTGATGCGGGACAGATTGCAAGATTCGCAGGTTGGAGCCTTGTCGTTCTGGCTGCGAGTGTGTGGATAATGTTGTAGTAAGAATGGCGGACATTTAGGCGACACGATGTCATAGAGGATTTGGCTTGGTAAAGGAGTTAGTGGGCTAGTACGTATGGAGCATCCTTGGGCATTGATGCTTACGGGCTAGGGGAAAGAGGCATTGGAATAGATGATGCTTCTAGGTAAGCTTTAATTCTACTGCTACACGACATCTGCCTCAACCAAGAGCCTTCATTCTTAGTTCACACCCAGTCTATTCATAGAACAAACTGACAGTCTTTTCCTGCATACCCTATGGGACGTGAGTGATATAATCTCCTTGAATGTGAGAAAGAATCCTTAAAATACCATTCCTGTAGCCAAAGCCTATAAATCCCTTCCTTCCTACGTAGATCAAAACCTAACCCAAAAGGCCCAAGCGCCATTATCTCGCAGCAGGAATCTTACATCCCCAAATTCTAGATTCCAATTTGAGAGAAAAGGGTTCTGAGAATAATTTGAATTCAAGGAAGGTTCTTGGACCTTTTTCCTTATCGTTGGTTATAAAGGCGTGAGGAAACTCAAGAAATTCCTTAAACAAATGAGCTGAGAGTTATTCTGAGAGATAATGAGATATTTCGGGACAAGAAGGTACTGGAGAAAGGACAGAGAAGGTTTGGAAGCATTATATGGTTGCACAGTATAATGTGGTGTTACCCAGATGATGTTATTGTAGAAGGTAAAGTGGTGAATATATGGCCGCAGACGCGGTTCGAAGGATGCATACGACTCCAAAAACATGATATCATAACAAGAGTACAACAAATAAAATTCTAGGTACAGAGGCAGACACACATGCAAACTCCTTAACAACATGTGCACCTACCTGTACATACACACGCAACTCCACTCGCTTTATATGATAATGGAAACTACTATCACTGCTCTTTACCCTCTCCAACGGCCCAAAACATTTAGTAATTGTTTCTCCCTCACTGCCTTCGAGTCCGAAGTTGGAATCACCAATTGCTGCAGCCCCAGGGGGACGTAGCGTTTGAAACTCGGCTTCTTTGGCCCCTTTCGCTCTACGGATTTGGGACAATGTGCGCGCTTGGACGCTTCCTCATGATACCCTGGAGGACGACGGGTGGAAACGATCACTGGGTCAATGGCCGACATGAAGGTGTCTCCATATTTGCCCTTTGTGGAGTTAAACTCATTAGGTTCTGCTTTTTCAGACACATTTGACAGAGGTGAGGAGGGAGGAACGCTTTTCATTCTCTTTGCACTCATGATCAGTGTCCTCCAGAAGTCTGGGTTTTTTTGTTCTTCCCCGGCGCGGTATTCTCGCCTTTGGCGTTATCTGTTTTCAGAATGTTTTCAAAGGTTGTTGCTAGGGGCGGGGGCGACGGCGTTGCGGAATCCACACTACCTATAATATGGAATCCTGGAAGTAGAAGTGTATATATACCGAATTGTCTTCCCCAGCGACATTCGCTCGGGTAATCACGCATGTTCCAGCAGCCTTTGCTCATCCCCGACTCCCTATTCCCTGATGTTTCATTCTCGGAATTATCTGATGAACCTGAACTGTAGTCGTGGATCGAGCTTTTTCTTCCGCTCCTCCTCCATTGGCCCCAAGCCTTCCAACCTTGGTAGTCGAACTCGCTAGCGCAAGCTCGATGGCGGTTATTTCTCCTCGGAGTCTTCACTTTCCGCCAGTTCTTGACAGTCGTGTTGCCAGCGCAGAAGAAGTGCCCGTATTCAAGACAGCGCCGCGTGACGTCAAGGGAGTCGGTTCGTTGGCACTGGTGGCATTGCCAAAGCCACTGGAGGGCGGATGGTGGGAGAGGAACTTCCGGTTCGGGTGCTGGATAGCGGTGTATGGATTTGGAAGGAATATAAGGCAGTGCGAAGGGATTGTGGGGTGAGAATTAGGAGAGAGGGATGACCACCCGGAGGGTTTGAACCGCGTCGGGTAGATTTTCAGATCATGATTTGGCGATGGTTTGGGCAATTTCGTGGCGGATTCCTGATATATACTGCCTTGGAATCCTGAATGAACGTGTTCGATACAGTGGTGTTCAAAGAGCAGATAGTTAAGTCGGTTCGTGAAAGAAGGGCAAAGTCCGGGTTTCTTGACTGGATGTCACGAATGCGGAAGCGCTATGTACATATACTCTTAATCATCAAACTTGGGCCTCTTTAAAGGGAAGGAAGAAAGTAAAAAGAGGAGAACAGGCCATATCGCGATACGGCGAGCGAACCTTTGTTGAGGAACCGGCGACATCGTAATGGGATGCTGGATGATGTCGTTTGTCCTCAATCCTGGAGGACCAGCACTCGATCGATATGGCTACTATTCAAGGCTGCAATTTCTTTGTCAACGGATGCAGCATGTGTATCTTCTCATCCGCTTGGGCACAACCACATGTCTATTAGTGTTGTTGATTCCGGCGCCACGATGACGATTTACACACCCGTGCCGATTCCCACAAGAGCGGCCCAGCCCAAGGATATAAGCGCTGTGAGAAGGTGGGAAGAAGGCAGGTTGTAGAGACGCTAAAGTCTTTGCCCAATACTGGATCGACTAGAGACAATGATAGAGATGTTTGATGGGTATTGAGTTTGTTGACTTTAGAATGACAAAGAACGGAGCCTGACAGGTGCCGGATACCTTACCCTCGTAGTGACATCGCGAAGGCTCATTAGTGTCAGTCAAATAATGCATGTTGGGACTTCACACAGAGTGTTAACGAGAAAGACTTAATCTGTTCCAGTCGCTTGCAAAACCCGCTTCCCCTTTCGTGCAAATATTTCGCATAGTCTTGCAGGTGTCTTTCCAAACGATCCAATATACTCCGTCTGCCTAATCTAAACCGCGTCCATTTCTAACCACTCCGCTTCCAGCTGAGGCACTGCTGTTGGCTTGCTCTGATCCCCATTCAACTAAAGCCCTTAAACAAGATATGGAACGGGGATGATCCACTCCTAGAACGCGTTGTTGAAGCTGTGCACATTCCCTTATTAGACTAATAGCTTCAGCATTTCGGCCTTGCCGTTTCATCGTGTAGGCAAGATTTCCTATGCTGGTAAGTGTATCAGGATGATCCGCTCAGAGCTTCTTCTTGCTCGTCTCCATCACTTCCACCTCCAGCTCTTCGGCAGCGTCCCATCGGCCTTGATTCCACTACGTTGACGCCAGATTGGCCATGCTGGTTAGTGTATCAGGATGGTCCGCTCCGAGCTTCTTCTTGCGAGTCTCCATCACTTCCACCTCCAGCTTTTCGGCAGCGTCCCATCGGCCTTGATTCCAGTAGGTTGACGCCAGATTGGCCATGCTGGATAGCGTGGAGGGATGGTCCGCCCCGAGCTTCTTCTTGCTCGTCTCCATCACTTCCACCTCCAGCT